TTTTTCCTTTCCGCGTCTTACGCATGCGCCATCAAGCGTCGCATAACCACTCCGAATTTATGTATGCTTAGTGCATGTTACCCGTATAGGCACATTTTCTATAAAGCAAACCCTTGTTTTAGAAATCAGTTGTAATAAAAAACAACACCTCGTAACCAAAAAAAAAAGTTTGTTATTTGAAGGAAGCTTTTAGATTGCTGGAGGGATTTCGTGTTGCTGAGGTATAGCAATAGAAACGATTTTCACATAATAATCTTGCCAATAAAAAAAGGGTTGTCAAATAATAGTGAGCTTGGGGTTGTCAAATTAGATATTTTACTATTTGGCAACCCCGGGTTGTCACGCAAAGAAAAAAAATTGAGAAAAATAATTAAGGGGGGGGTTGTCAAATAAGAGTGACAACCCGGGTTGTCAAATAGATTCACCCACAATCTTTAGTGCGCAAAGAACTCATTTCTCAGTCTCGTCACCAGCCTGAGGACGAAGCTCGTGCACAAGCACAGGCTGGGACCAAACTTGACATTTTGGCTGGAGGTCTCTTTCTTTAAATTTGAAAAAGTTTCTAAGTCAAACACACCGCTAGGAAAGGCTCTTTTTTTTTTCTAAGTCATTTACACCATAGGAAATAGCTTTTTTTTTTTTTTTAAAAATCATTTTTTTTCAAGCAAAGTCCTACAGATCAGAGGAAAATGGCCTACGTGTGAAGCATGCTACTGTTTTTCTTCACAATCTCATTTATTCATCCGATTATCACTACGAAATTTACCTCTAGAAAAATTAAAAGAAATAAAAAAAAGCTATCCCCTATGGTGTAAATGACTTAGAAAAAAAGAACCTTTCCTAGCGGTGTGTTTGACTTAGAAACTCTTTCAAATTTAAAAAAAGAGACCTCCAGCCAAAATGTCAAGTTTGAACTTCGTCCTCTGTCACGTCATAATGACCCAGAAATGGCACGTGGCTGATTTGAAAAAAATATTTTCTCACGCAAAGCCTAACCTCGAAATAAAGGAACAAATTTATCAGTTGTCGCTCCTTTCTTTCCTTTGCTCCACTTCATTTTCGCCACCTTTTTCATATTTCACCACTTACCTCTTTTATTCATTCCAAGCCTTCATTTATTGCCTTTCTTTTCCTTTCCTTCTTTTTTTTTTGCCTTACACATTTTTCATTATTGTTTCCATACCGTGACCACGGGTGAAAGAGTAAGAATATACCTTCGCCTATTTAACCATCATTCTCCCTGCATTTCAACCACACTCAGTCCCACTCATCTTAATTTTCAATGGCCGCACAAGGAGCTCAACACAAAAAAACATGGCTGCAAATGATTCCACAGAGAGCCAAGCACAAAAAAAAATGACTGCAAATAAGCCTGAGGATGCCTCCACACTCAATAAACGAAAAAGAGTAAACCAGCGCCCACAACGAAAAAAGCGCGCCACTGCTACTGCTGAACTGCGTTGTCGAGGGAGAAGCAACGTCGTTCCCAGTAGAGATTTTCTGCGATAAATCGGTCGGGATGCTCAAGCAAGCCATCAAACAGAGAAGCCAATGCATTTAGGATATTGACGCTGACCAGCTCACCCTCTACAAGGTTCCATCCCTGACAAAGGCGAGGCCATCTTTGAGTCAGAAATCGAGTCAAAAGAGGCTCTCACAATCGCGTCAATGGAGCTTGGGGACATATTTAATTCTGAACTTCCAAGGAAACTATCCATGTTTTTGTCAAGCCACCACAGCGAGGTATATCCTTGGCTCTTGATGGACTGATTGTTGATATTTTCAGCTGATGAAGCTTGGTTTGTATCTTAAACGGCCATGTGCATAATATCACCATTTGGTTTGTGTCTTGATAACTCAACGTTCTTTCTCATTATTCGCTTTTGATACATAGGTCAGAAAAGAAAACAAGATGGAGATTCTGGTGAGTGCTTTTGGCCGAGAATCTGGTTATTGATCATTTTAGAGTGATGTGCAATAAATCAAAAATATTGACTTTGATCACTCTATCTCCTTTATCAGAGTCACCCTCTAAAAAAGTCGTCCAAGTATAATAGAGGTGGTCTTAGGGATGCGATTACAGAAGCAGGGCTTGTAACGAAAGGGATAGTGAATGGTGACCCTGCATCTCGCGTCTAAACTCGAAAGAGAGGGTCAAGCTGCTTTCGTACATGGGGAGAAGTTATCAGAAGATAGTATTTACTGCAGCATTGTTAGCGTGGCTTGCGAGCTCCGAAATTCTGGTGGTATCAAGGGTTCCAAAATGTTGACTGCCCCTGAGGGTTGTATCTTCCCTGTTGCCAAACAAGGCATCTTTATATCAGAGATGAATATAAAGAGCTTTATGACCATATTACATCCGGATTAAGTACCCCTCATGAAGTACCTCGTTTGAACCGACTCTTTGTCACTGGAACGCCTGGAATTGGGAAGTCAGCCTTTTTGGTCTATTTTGCCATCCGCCTCCTTGCCGAACACGATGAGGAAAATCCACCGATTATTATTTTCCAAGAGAAGCAGCATACCAAATGTTATGTTTATGGAGGAACAACTTGCCAACGTAAAGGGAATATAACGATGTTTGAAGATTTCCTTAACCAACGTGAAACGTGGTATTTAGTTGATAGTGGTGAAAATCCTCAACCAGGTAAAGCCAGGACGATATTTTCAGCATCGCCAAGAACTCTCTATGGGCATTACGATGAACTCACCAAGGAAAATACACCAAATAGCTACTATCACATGTCACTCTGGAGTCTGGATGAGCTTAAGGAATGTAGAGCCAATGTAAAGTTTTTTCATGTAGTGAGTGAAGCATTTTTGGAGGAGCTTTTTTACGACTTGGGGGGCGTGCCAAGACAGGTTCTACAGTGTCCAGCCGATGTACTATCCAAAAATCAAAAACATACTGAGCGTGCTAAAGAAGCTGCGTTATTCCGCGTCAATGATGCTATTAGAACACTCGAGAAACCAGCAGATCTTCTAAGGCTCTTTGCACGAGGAAAAGATGCGAGTGGATTTAGTCGTTTACTCCATAGAGTCCCCACTTCTGACCATCTCGACTTCTACCTGGTGTGGGCATCTCGTTGGGTCGAATCACAGATTATGGACAAAATAAAAGATAACACTTGGGTCGATGTGTTGGCGAAACTTGTCGCAGGCGGAGAGGATATAGATAAAGGCCCACTGGTTGAAATCTATGCTCATCACTTATTTCGACGTGGTGATATTAGATTTCCCTTTAGGGATCTCCAGTCAGGCGAAACAGGATTTCTTGATTTTCCAGCAAATCCAGAAGAGGTATTTATCCGGACTTCAGAGGAATTATCAAGGCTCACTCAAGCAGCTGGCAAGTTATTTGTACCAGAATATTCTAAATTTCCGTGCATTGATTTTGCATTGGGACCCAACAAGCTATTTCAGGTCACAGTATCAGAGGAGCATCCGATCAAGCAAGCACCATTCAAGGAGATAATTGATTGTATTACTGGACCCTGCTTGAAGGGAGACCAATCAAAGTCGAAGGGAGACCGATCAAAGTCGAAGGGAAGTGATGATACTATTTTCCTCTATTTTGTGGTGCCAGGAGTCGTATATGACGATTTTAAAGTTCAGAACTTTCTTACCGCCAGAAATACGGTCGTCCAGAAGCCATATAAATGCTTAAAACATGTAAGTCAGCGTGTCATAAAAATCGACATCGAAGCTGCATATTCAGGAGGATCAGCCGGTACGAATCTGGAGAATTAAATCGAATAGCAATCAAGTGGATGAAATTTTGTCTTTTTTTAAAAAAAGCATTATACCCGTTCCTTGAGAAATTTTTACAATGGTTCATTCTTTATGAATGAAGCCATCATTATCCACTTACCCTTTAGACAAAGGCGATAGCGCTTTTAAATCGGTCCTACACACATAACCGCTGTTGCATATTTCGTTTAATTGCAGCCCTCCAGCCCACATAAATAGGATCTTTATATATAGAAAACAAATGAATAAATGCTCGGATAATGTGGTGCTGCGTGCAATGTTTTAACCTAATTGATATTACTTATACATGATCTCTGTCACTCAGGAAATTAAAACAAAACCTGTGAGGAAAAAATAAACCTCAACGTGCAGATTATTATTTTTTGCCAAAGGAAAATGTCCCACGACAGAGTAAAAAACCTCTGCGATACTCTCTATGAGCGTTATGATGCCATTCTCTTGGATCGTGTTATTCGTCTATTTCTTGAGTTGGCTTTATCAGATGGCTGTACCTTTTTTGGCTTATTAACCTCTGGTGTTGCTTCAGGAGATGCTTCGACTCGGGAATTTTTTCAAATTTAAAAAAAAAAGACCTTCAGCCAAAATGTCAAATTTGGTCCCAGCCTGAGAGAGAAGTGCCTGCAAGAGCAAGCCAGATTTGCCTTTCAGTACGTGCATGTGCACATGAACTTCGTCCTCCAGACTGGTGACGAGCCTATGACGAGCCTACGTGTCGTGGACTGCACTGCATTTTCTGCGCCTCATCGCCACCACTTAATTTTACAACCATCAGCTCCTCTCTCTTCATTAGCAATCTCCTTTACTTTTACCCTTTCATCATCTCTGCCGTTCTCATTATTACTGCCCTTTATTTCGATATTTTTTATTTTTTTATTTTTTTATTTTTTTTTACTTTTTACGCGTCATCACCATTTTTTTTATTTTGTGGCACTACTTTTTTTCAGCCTTTTCAATCTATCCAGCATCAATGCTCTTGCATTAATTAGCTCTATCCTTCCTCATTACCCATATTAGATCAATCTTTAGGTTTGTTAGCATGTTTATTTCCTGTTTGAATGAGCGCAGGCCCAGAAAAGACATCTGTCCAATATACACTGGTACTTTTTTAGCACGTTCCTTATTTAGTTCGCGGTAGGAAGTAGACGGAAAGTGGAGCATGGCAGAGTGGTCAACTGCTCTTTACTACTTTATTTTTATTTTTAATTTTTTATGTCACACTTTGCAAGATCCTAACTGATATTTAATGAGTATTGGACTTCTAGCAATGAGTTTTCAAGGAATCGCTCCTGAGCAAGTACAATGGCTAAAGGATAAAGTCAAAAAGGGAGAAGTTGTCTCCATGTGTGACTTTGCAGAAAATTCCAAGTACTTATATGAAAAAGATGCCGAAAAGGCTTATGTGGCCCTTTTGAAAAATTCCACCGTTATCTCTTAAGCAACACGAATAGCTCTGCAGAACAACTACGAGGTTTGGAAGCGCAATGAGGGGCCAGCGTTCTGGGCGTCCCAGAAAGCAGTGTTAGCAGCAACACATACTGCTGGTGAGTTAGTAACTGAAAGTGGATATGTGGCAAATAACCTGGCTCGGAAGGGCAGGATATCCATCGTCTCGTCACAGACAGAGGAATTGTTTGGTGGTATGATGGCTGTTATGATTATTATTATTATTATTATTGAATACTTGGGTACTTAGTATTTAACAATCAATATCTAGTCCAACGAAAAAGTCGAGTAGCACCCTTCCTGCCACCTAGACATCCTCCAACAGGTAAACACACCTGATAATGAGGAGTCTGGGCTAATCTCCTCCAGAATTCATGTATTCAATTAGCGTAATTAATATTGATAAAGGGGGATTTTGATGCGTCAGTAGAGTAAGTATCGAAAAAAAAATTCTCTGATCTATTTTTCATATTTATTTATTTACTTTTTCCTCAAACAGGCGAGGTCCCTTGGATACGAAGTTGTAGACGTTCAAGAGTATTACACTTGTGCTAAATGTCCTCGTCCCAACTGCAACGCTTATTTCAAGCGTTTCGGATGGCACAGACCATGTCTCAATAATTTAATAGGACATGGAGATATTTTACATTTTTAAGTGTCCAATCAATTTAATCATGCACGCGTATCGATCACTGAAGAAATCCATCATTGAACTCTGGTTATAGCATGGGGAGCCATGGACGATGTTTGGGGGAATGACGCCATTGAGATCTAATTATTTTTGGAAGGGTGTGAAACGGATTTATTCAAAGCCCATGATTTTTTCAATGATGTCTTGTGCGAATCCTGTACTTCAGGCTGGCTTGTGCGTTTTGTCATGAATCGGGGAAAAGGATAGGATCGCCAATTGCTTGCCTAGAATGTTTTCAACGTGAAGATGCGTTAAAAAGAAAAAGAAAAAACGATCCTCCTCCACGAACGCCACACTTCGGTTGCACTTATTTGTTGTGAACCACAAGTGTTTATTGTTAATATGTATAGACATATATTTACTTTTGATTCCATCAGATATACTCTCTAGCATGAACGGAATCGATCCTTTTACTCATCTCCTCAGAAAAGAGACTTGTGGAACCATTTTTTTTTCTTTGCTTATAAAAATAACTTTATATAACATGTGCATGTACATGATCTTCATGGCTCAATAGCAAAGACGCTCTTCCTGAATGTTCTCTTTATTCATTTCATTCTTCCCTTCTTCCTGTTCTCTGTTCTTGTGAGCATCCAGCACAGTGCTGAACAGCATCATGGCGTTATTATTTTTATTTTTTTCCACGTTCATCTCCTTATTACATGATACTGCATCTTTTTTTTATGTCAGTCGTGAACACAAGCAAAAAAAAAAAAAAAAAAAAAAACATTTACACAAAAAAAAAACAAAAAAAAAACAAAACAAAAAAAAAAGAATAAGGAGGGGGAAGGATAGAAAGAAAGAAAGAAAGAAGAAGGAAGGAAGGAAAGAAAATAAGGTAAAGAAAAGAAAGAGAGTGTGTGGATGTTGTATGCGAGAGAGAGAGAAAGAGTGAGAGCGTTGAACGGGGTTCAATCAGCGACAAAGAGTATCAAGAGTTGTTAACCCAACAAAAAAAAAGAAAAAAAAAAAAAAAAAAGGTTCGTCGTATTGGACAGTTTGATCATCTAACGAACCAACAAAGGCAAAGGATGGCATTGCAGGACGTATAGAAAGCACTGGGATAGAACAAGGCCAACAAAGCTGTTTTTTGCTTTGTCCAAACAATGAATGGCGTGTTTAAATAAATAAAAAAAGTAGTGTAACCATTGTTTTCAACGTGACAACAGTCCTTGTTCAATCCAAGTTCCAGAGACTGGGCTGTGGGATGTGTGTAGTGAGATGTGGGGGAGAGGATGTAAGGATGTGGGGAGGAGAAAAAACACTTTTTCTTCCCCCATTGCATTTTCTCTTTTAAAAAGAGTGTAGAGAGAGAAAGAGATGTTCACTTAAATAGAAAAAGTAGCACAAACCCCCTTCGACCCCATCATAATGCAAATCTTTGTTTATGGGAATAACCCTTTTTTGTAATCAATGCGCTTTCTTTTCTAAACTTCTTTTCGACCCGTTATAACATTGTCCAAGGGGAAAAGGAGAGGGGACAAAAGAAAAAAGAATCACTCCATTACCCATTGTCTTTTTTTTTTTTTTTTTTTTTTTTTTTTTTTCCAATTCCCATTTCATTCTTTTTCACTTCTGTAGTGACAACGAACTAAAGGAGACACCTTGCTTTGATACTCAAAGAAATTCTTTATAAAACATTTTTCTTACCCCACAAAAACATTTTTTTTTTTTTTTTTTGCTTTTTATCTTTCATCTCATCCTCAATTGCATTATTATCAACATCATAACGACCTTTTCCCCTTTCTCTCTCCTAAACTACAAAAACTTTTCAGCAATTATTTATTACAAAGGAGCTATCGCAAATGGCAATGGCTGCAGGACAGACTGGAGTTATCATGACCCTGATCAGCTTGAATATGTACTTGGCAAAGTCATCTTGGGCTTTGTCCTATGCAATAGCATCCTTTGTCACCATGGCTCTGACCTGGGTCGCTATCACAGGAGCCGCTACTCGATACCGTAAAGTTAATTGGGTCCTCTGTATACTAAGTAACCAGCTATCCGAATTACCATTGTCCGTCATGTGCATGGACGCCTGTTTTTACACGTGGTTGACTCTCACCGGTACATTTCGTAAGTTGCATTGCGTTGCGTTGCGTTGCGTTGTGTTGTGTTGCGTTGCATTTCATTAATTTTGCCGGAGGGATTAAAAAGAAAAAAAAAAGCTTTTTATACAGAATATGAACATCTAACCATGTTTTACTCATTTATCGCATGAAACATAAAAAAATAACAAAAATCAAACCCTCTTGGGAATTAGAGGAGTCTTCGCTGGTACGGTTCTTCTATTATACAAACATCATCACAGCCGTTGGTCTATTACATCTCTTCAAGCGATCCTTCGAGGTTCAGGATCTAGGACAACAGTACTTGGATCAGCTATCTAAGAAGAGTGACGATAGGATAGAGCTCCCAGGGATTACATCGTAAAGCAAAAGCAAAAAGCAAAAAGCAAAAAGCAAAAAGCAAAAAGCAAAAAGCAAAAAGCAAGCAGATGATGTGACAAAAAAAAAAAAAAAAAAAAAAAAAAGACCAACACAAACTAATCAGATATCTTTTTTTTTTTTTTCTTTTTATATAACTTGACAAATATATACATATAGACGAAGATTCTGGCAGCAACTCCTTAACCCTTTCATCTGGCCAAAGGACTGCACCATTTATGAAAACAGTAAATATTCCTTTGCTTGTTATCGTGGGAAAGGACTTGAACAATCAATCGTGGCTGTCATATTTATTTATTTTTTAATATCTCTATTCAACATAGTTCCATACTGGACAGCAGCAGAACGGTTGGATGCAGAGAGAACAGATGGGTGGAAATCAGCTGTTGACATGGAGTTGGATGTTTATCAGCCTCACTCCGTCGTGGCAGGAGACGATAGACCTGTTCTTGTAAGTTTTGACCGAAACCATATCATATGCTGATCGGATGCGGAGTAAAAAAAAAAAAAAAAAAAAAAAAAGAAAACTGAAACTTTTTTTTATTTTTTTACTTTTTTTTTTTTTTTTTGGGGGGGTTACATAGTTTTACATGCATGGAGGTGGATGGACTATGGGCAGTAAAAAGTTGGTGGGTCCACTTTTGACAGAGATGATTACATATGACTGGATTGTGGTTTCGGTAGACTATCGGTTAAAGAGCAAGGCAGGATACCCAACTCAACTGATCGACTGCAAACGTGCTCTACGATGGGTCAAGGATGAGATCCGAATCTTTGGTGGAAATCCTCAAAACATCGTCGTTGCAGGTGATTCAGCAGGAGGACAGATAGCTCTGATGTTAGCAACCACAGCCAACAGGCCAGAGTATCAACCCGGATTTGAGGATGTGGATACCTCAGTCAGAGGAGTCCTCGGACTAAGCCCTGTGGTCAACCTAGTGGATGAAGGAGATCATTGCAACCATAGATCCAGGACCAGATTCATCAAGGAAGTTGCACTTCGGGAAGGATCTCCTGAATCTGAAGAAAGTATGAATTTATTTCAGGAAAAAATAAAAAAAAAAAAGCAAGTCAGATAAACGAAAAACGGATAGTGCATTGATCATCTGGTCTTTTATACCATGCACCACCCCATTTAGATGTCAATTTCTTAAAAGATCACTCACCCAGATTTACACTTCGAGGAGCAGGCTTTCCTTGTATGGTGGTTCAGTAAGTTGAGACCCTTTTATTGGTTGGTTGATTTATTTGGAGCGCTATCACAAATCGTGAATCCCTTATTGACAAACTGCTTGTCTTTTCAATCATCTTCTTTGTCAGTGGTGATATCGATACATTGGTACCTGTGCAGCATACGCGAGATTTTGTACAGCATTTCCGTAAAAGTAAGTTTTTTTTTTTTTTTTTTTTTTTTTTCTTCTCTTATTGAGTTTTATATAGTTCATTGGAAGTCTAGATTTAACTTTTACTAATATTATTATTATTTATTGTTTTTAAAAAAAAGCATGCACGGCGCCTATTGTATATCTAGAAGTCCCAGGAGGCCACCATTGCTTCCACCTGATATCTTCGCCACGGTCCTGGTACATTGCGATCACTGCAGGTCAATGGCTCAGTTACCACTTTGATGGCATCAACAACATTGATATCAAGAAAGACGGCAAGCAACCAAGAGCTGAGGAGCTTGTTGAATGGGGCTGGTCTACTTAAAAAAAGAGATTCCTAGTTTTCATGGCATGCTTTCAAGGCATTTTGATACCCACACACACACACATTTGCGATGATAAAAAAAAAAAAAAAAAAAAAAAAAAAAGTTAGTGTCTGTCTGGCGTGTAAATTGAAAATACTAAAAGTTGATTAATATTTTAGCTTGGTTTTTCGATCGCTTTGTGCGCTGCTACTTTGCTTTGCCCTGCCTGCTCTGGCTGACTGCTGTGTTTGTTATTTACTTTTTTGCAATTTGTTTCAGCTTCACATTGTCTCACGCCCCCCAGGAGTCCGTGACGAAACAAAAAACAACCTTAAAAGCATATCGATACCTGTATGCACTTGTTCATGGACATGGATCATAAGATAATAAATATCTGTCTACTGTCCTCAACTTTAGGCTATTCGGTCCGTCTAATTATCATTTCGTGGCTCTCACGAATGCTCACTTTTCTACTCTTCTATTCATCCATGTACAAAATAAAAAAGCTTGTTAGTTTTTACACCTTTGCTTGATCACACCTTGCCCACTTTTTCATCATTCCTCATTTCATCTCTACCTCTCTTTGTCTCCATTGCATGACTCTTTACATCCATTAGATTTGCTTAATTTCTTTATTTTGACAGTTGCTCTTAAAGAGCAAACACAAACTGCTACGTTCCTTTGGCTTCGCCAGACTTCACTTCCCCCTTCCTCACCGTAATAATAAAGTCTTTTAATCTCTAAAAAAAATGTCTCTCCCCATACCACAGCACTCTCACTACAGAAGCACTGCTTCTCTTGACAAGAACTCTTTCCTCATACCACAAAAGTTCTCACGACGTCCCACTTCATTTACTTCTCCTATCATTTCTACTTTGGTAGTTCTTGCCTTTGTAGGATGGCCTTCATTCTTTGTACAGCTGACAATGGCAGTCGCTCCACGCCCCGTTGGTGGTTTTGCTATCTGTCAGACCACTTCCTCACTACATATCCAGGGTGGAGTGACCTATTCTGATGATGGAACCTATCTCACCACTACGAATCAACACTTTCGATTGGATCTCTCTAAAGGATTTTCTTTATCCGGAGCCTCAAACCCACCCGTTTGGGTTAATATGACCACTCATTACTCTCCTTTTCAGAGATTCCATGCCGGTGCCTGTACACCAGACTCGGCTACGTTTCTCACTGTCGGAAACGCAGACTCTGTCAACACCGGGGCCTCAGGAGGTGGATTCATGATGGCCTACAGTGTTACCAAGGGCACATGGATTGCGGTCACCCAGGCTGTGAGTGAAGCAACTGGCTCCAATAACAACGGCTCTGGGAGGCGGTATGATCAAACCGGAGCAGGTGCGGGGATCGTCGGTGCAGGACGGACTATGCCTGGCTTCGCTCTTGCAACAACGACGAATAACAAAGCTATCACTGGACAAGGTGTGGTCATCGGTGGTGGCTGGATCTCTCAAAAGGGTTCTACTCATTCTGCATTGGCGACAGAGTTGACAAACTTGGTTACAGAGGCAGATTTGGTAACCATCGGAAGCGATGGCTCCGTAGAGTCGCTCACTTGGTCGGTTGTTCCCAAAGCAGGGAATGGTGGCTACAACGTTAATCGTAATTTGGGGTCACTAGCAGGCGCCAAGGTGGTGATCTTGCCCTCATCAGGCAAGGCTGTGGTATTGGGCGGGGTGACCGGTGGACGATCTAATGGGTTATCCTTTTCTACTATACCAATCATTGACATGGCAACAGGGGTTGTCATTCTTCAGGTATAATTCCAACTTATTTCTTGATTAGAAAAAAAAAAAAAAAAAAAGCATACGGGAACTGTGTCATATAATATGATGCTTATTTTATTCTATTCTATTCTATTCTATTTTTTTTTTTTATTTATTTATTATCGGTCATAGAGAACTCAATCAAGCACACCAAACGCGACACCCCAAGAGCGCTATGGTCACTGTGTTGCGCTCTGTAAGTGTTTTTTTTTTAATCTTTTATTATTTTTCTGAGAAAGATTGTATTATGAAATTGATAGTGTTGACTGACTGACTTTTTTTTTTTTTTTTTTTTTTTTTTTTCGAATGTGGTTTCATTTTTGATACTCGAAACCATTTCAGCTGCTGATGGAAACACAATCTATGTGTTTGGGGGTTCGCTCGTCTCGAATGATATGCTTACAAACAACTTTTTTGCGCTCGATATCAGGACATGGACATGGCTTCAACCAACGGTCAAAACGTCGTTAGCTTCACCACCACCTGTGAGAGATCATCAATGTGTCATTATTGGTAACCAATTTTTGTCTTTATTCGGATTCAATACCAACGGGGTACCGGATTCAGGTAGTAGTGCCAGAGCTACACCTCCTATTTATGTGCTCTCCACTTCACAATGGGAATGGTCTGCTCAGTATACACCCCTACCAGGGACACCAGCGCCACCTACACCTCCTGATGTTCCGACGGATGACAAAAAGAGCAAGATCAACGGTGTGGGAATTGCGTTTGGTGTGATCTTTGGTCTGGCATTTCTGGGTGTAATTGGATACATGATATTTTCACACAAGCGCAAACAGAGACGGAAAGCAGAGAGATTGAAGTTGATCGAGCTAGAGGAACAAAAGAAAGAGGAGGTCAGACTTGAGAAGGAAAGGTTGGAGAAAATGAGGGACGCTCCCTTACCACCAACACCGCCTATGATGGCTCATGTATATAATAATGACAACAATAACAATAATAATAATTCAAATTACCAAGGACAGGGACAAGGTTATGACTATAATACCAATATGCATACTAATAAAAACGGTGGAGCGTACTATCAATCACCACCGCCGCCCCAGATGTCTGGCGCTCCCTCCACAAACTATTATCAAGCACAAGATCCCTTCCAGAACACAACTTATCAGCACTATCAGCCTCAATACCAGCAGCAACAGCAAATACAGCCACCACTGACAAGCAATTCGTACTATCCACAGACAGGAGATGTTTATGATAGGGCTCAATTTAACCATCCATCCTCATCAGGGCCTTCATCTGCGTTTATCCCAGAGGAGATGGGTTCAAGATCATCGGCCATGGATGCAAACTACGTTGGAGGATATCCAGGTCATCATCAAACAGCTAATTATAAGATGTCACTGGAATCAGAAGGAGGAACGCGTCTACCACCTGGACCATCATATCGTTAGTAGATAATTAAATAATAAAATAAAATAGTTGTAATTTGTTATATTGGAAATGCGGAGCCTTATTCGTAAAGTCGCTCAGACCAACAATGGAAATTCAAAAGGTTTTAATTCAGTGTTTCAATTGATCTTCAATTACCCAATAGTCACGTGTAGAATGAACACCAAAAAAAAAAAAAAAAAAAAAAGAATGTGAGATCTTTTTTCTTTTCTATTCTTCCTTTCCGGATTCCCATTAAACTTTCATTTCCATTCTTTTTTTTTTTTTTTTTTTTATTTTTTTTTAGCTTCACTCCTTCCTCTCCCTAAGCTTCAGTAAAAAAGATAAAAAAAGAAAATATGGCTCAGAACGCTGATGTTAAGCACAATGTAGTTTGCGTCGTCATTGACGGCTGGGGCATCTCACCTGAGAAGGACGACCGTGGTGATGCTATCCGTAACGCAAAGACACAATATATGAACAAGTTTGAGAAGGAGTATCCCTTCACGACCTTGGGTGCTCATGGTCTTGATGTTGGTCTTCCTGATGGCCTCATGGGTAACTCTGAAGTAGGCCACTTGAACATTGGTGCTGGTCGTATTGTCTATCAGGTACGAAAAAAAAAAAAAAAAAAAAAAAAAAAAAGAGCCTTTCCTCAATTGAAAACGTTACGCCAGATGAGGTCATTGTTCGATTTCCTTTTTTTTTCTTTCTTTCTTTCTTTCTTTCTTTTTTTTTGCCTTCACAGTTTACTCGGAAAAAAAAAAAAAAAAAAAAAAAAAAAAGGTTCCAATTGATGAATGATTAATTTTTGTTCATACTTTATTCTTTTTTATTTTATTTTTTTTTTTTATTTTTTTTTTTTATTCAATTAAATAGGATATTGTACGCATTGATCTCGCAGCTTCCAAGAAGCAGTTTGGTCAATTGGAGAATATCAAGGCCTCCTTTGAGCATGCTAAGAATGGAAACGGTCGTCTTCATTTTATGGGCTTGGTAAGTATTCTATAACTTTACTTGTGAACAAAATTGGTTGGAAGAAATACTAAATACCGATCAAGCTTATCTCAATTCTTGTCTGTGCTCAAGTTTGGGGCACAGTTCTTTTTTTTTAATGAATTGTTTTACTTTTTTTCCTTATCAATGTTTCGTGTGTATTATGTTATTCAGAGATAAAGAAAATATTTCCCACAAAAAAAAAAAAAGAACTAATCTGTTCCTTCTTCCCAACCCCAAATGCTCTTTTTTTTTTTTTATACAAAATATAGATCTCGGATGGAGGAGTTCACAGTCACCAGAATCACCTTTACTCTCTTTTGGATGCTGCCAAGGAAGCTGGTGTTCCTGAGGTCTACATTCATTTCTTTGGCGATGGTCGTGATACTTCTCCTCGCTCCGCTTCTGGATACTTGAAACAGCTCTTGGAAAAGATTGAGCAGATCAACTATGGAAAGTTGGCCACGATTACAGGTCGTTACTATGCCATGGATCGTGATAAGCGCTGGGAGCGTATCAAGATCGCTGTTGATGGTCTTGTCAGTGGCGAGGGTGAGAAGACCAATGACCCTGTCCAGGTAAAAAAGGAAACTAAAGATTACATTGATCAGGAAGGATTGATTTCATGACTTGCTTTTTTTTTTTTTATCTTTTAGTTTTTAATCTATTTTGTATTTTTGTCAAATAGGCTATTGAGGACAACTACAAGAAAGATGTCACGGATGAATTCTTAAAGCCCATTATTGTTAATGAGGAAGGAATGATCCGTGATGATGATACGATCTTCTGCTTCAACTACCGTTCTGATCGTATGCGTGAGATCTCTTCAGTCTTGGGAATCAGTCCTACACCCATGGAGGTCAAGGTCCCAAAGAACTTGCACATCACTACCATGACTCAATACAAGAGTGATTTCCCTTTCCCTGTTGCCTTCCCTGCTCAGTCCATGACCAATGTCTTGGCAGAATGGCTTGCCAAGAAGAAAGTGCCTCAGTGCCACGTTGCAGAGACTGAAAAGTACGCTCACGTCACATTCTTCTTCAACGGTGGAACGGAGGCTCAGTTCGAGGCTGAGCATCGTGACTTGATTGCTTCACCCAAGGTTGCTACCTATGACTTGAAGCCTGAGATGTCAGCTGCTGAGGTGGGTGAGAAGGTCGCTGAGGAGATTGCTACAGGCAAGTTCCCCTTCATCATGTGCAACTTTGCTCCCCCCGACATGGTTGGACACACTGGTGTGTATGAGGCTGCTATCAAGGGTGTCGAGGCCACAGATGCTGCTATTGGTGCCATCTATGAAGCTTGCAAGAAGCACAACTACATCCTCTTTATCACAGCTGACCACGGAAATGCTGAAAAGATGTTGTCCGATGACTTCTCGACCCCTCACACTGCTCACACCTGTGCTCGTGTTCCCTTCGTCATGACCAGCAACACTCACAAGTTCAATGATACCAAGGGCGCTCTGTGCGATGTTGCCCCCACCATCCTCCGTGTTATGGGCTTGGATATCCCATCTGAGATGACTGGCCACAGCTTGCTCCAGGAATAGAGGGAAAAACAAATGTACAGGGAAAACAGTATACAGCTTGACACATAGAGGTCCTATTATTACATCAGCATCCAGAAAAAACAAAAAAGCTAGAGCCAGCTTGTAGATGATGGAACAGTCTTTAATAAACTGAAATAAATTACATCTATACTTTTCTACAACATAATCATCGACGACGTTGCCGTCTCTTTTTAGGGTCTATTGCAAAAGGTTGATCAAATGCTTCTAACAGTCTCTTCACTTTACGTTCGCCGAACCCTGGTAATACGCCCAATTCGTCAGCAGGTGCATTCATGATATTCTTGAACGACTATTTTTTTTTTTTTTTCAAAAAAAAAAAAATGTGTGAGAATCTTAAGCTGTAGCAGAGAGGATAAGTATCAGAAGAAGAAAAAAAAAAAAAGGCATAGCTATTTGTCCATATTTTCCCGTTACTTACACCAAATGTCGACGCAAGTGTTACCACATCAGTCTTGTTGATAGACTGGATCTGAGTCAAACAGTCTGTCAATTTGGAAATATAGTCGTTGCTAATCCTCTCTTTGATAGCATCAGGGGCCTTATTTTCGTAAGCTTTGTACGTTTCAATGTAACGAGCAGCCTCTTCATTGCTCCATGCACAGACCAATGTAAGGTTATTTAGCATTGCCACCCGTGTCAATTCGCGGATGGCTTGCTGATGCATTTCCTTTAAATATATTTAATAATAAAAAAAAAAAAAAAAAAAAAAAAGAATAAGGATTGTATATATTTTACAATTAATCGCCATTAATCACAATAAATAAATGAAATAAATAAATAAAAAGATCGGAGCGACGAGAGAAAGGGCAATTAGAGACTACTTACCACGTCGACAAGAACCAAAAGGACGCGAAGCACGAATGTTTTTCCTAACGTAGAAATTCGATTATATATATACTCCGGATGCAGTCGATGATACCGGATACTTACATGAACGAAAACAAGCCAATAATGAGAATAATGGGATAATAATCACCAACGAAAAAAAAAAAGAAAAAAGAAAAAAAAAAGAAAAGAAGCTTTTAAATATTTTATTATTTTTTCTAATATTGGTAATATATATCGTCACAAAGCATTCCTTACCTTAAATACAAGATACAGGATGTCAGTCCAACAATGAAATCAGGCACGATCTCACCATATTCGTAAGGTACATTTTTGATGAATTGAAGCAAGGGATTCCCGCGTTGTGAAGGTTTGACAACAACAGTTGATTTTGATTTTGGAACAAATACAGGAGTGGTATTTGCTTGCTCAGTAGTAGTTCCTGCTGTTGCTGCTGTTGCTGATGTTGCAGCGGCGGATGATGATGACGATGATGGCTGTATCGCTGAGGTAATGACACCTGTACTATTAGCGCTAGTATCATTAGTCATGGCAGGGGTATCATTGTCTATATCGAAGATATCATCATCCAGTATGACATCTCCTAGGTCGTCCTCAAAACCAAAGTCATCGTCTATAGGTGGTGAGATGGCTTGTTGCTGCTTCTGCTTTTGTTGTTGATGATAGTGTTGACGAGAGCTTACTATCCCAGGGGTTTTTTGAGTACTATCCTGAGTATTGAGTTTGGTGGCACTCCCAGACGACTGACCACTGGAATTAGAAGGGTCCTCTAGACTAATAATGCCTTTAGGTTTGAAGAGTAATGGTGGTTTGTCCGCGTCAAGCTGCCTCCGTCGCTCCTCTAATTCCTCGCGCGAAGGCATCTTGAAACCTTTTACAGTTTTCGCAGAGCCATTGTCTTCTGAATTCATGGCGGAAAAAAAAAAAAAAAAAAGTGGAAAAAAAAAGTGTAAAAAAAAAAAAAAGACCGCGACGACAAATTAGTGGCAAAGGTTTGCTTTTGAAATCACCTGATTATAGTGGCTTGTCTCTTCGGGATTTTTGGTGAGGTAGGCCCCTCTGGTCCGGACATGGCAAATTAAGTAAAGACATGCGGTGATCTTGATTGATTCAGTTCATCTTTTTTATAAATACCTACTTCAACAATCACATTATTCATCATGCTGCGTGCATCACGTCCAGTGGCTCGCACTGTCTCTGCTGCTATCAGCAGAGCTACTGCTTCCCCTTTGACCCAGGTTCGGGCTGCTCATACTGCCCATTCGAATGGTCATGCTGGTACCAGAGCCGACCCTGCTATTCCTGGTGATGAAACCGGCTTTTTGCCTGGTGACAAGATCACTGGCGACACTCAGATTGGATCCTATCCCAACTTGCCAATGTACAACCAGCAATGGCGTGATGGAAGCATCGCTTCCGGATACTCGGATCGTCAGGATCGTCGCAACTTTGGTGAAACTGTAATGTCACATACAATCAGATATCCGGATATATATATTATATTATATTTTTTTATATTTTTATTTTTTCATATTTTACCTCATTTCAGAGCGGAAATCCAGGATGAAAGGGGAACTCAATTCTGATCCGAAGGAAACAAACAAAAAAAAAAAAAAAAAAAAAGTGATAATGAGGGCTAATTGATAATATGATCAAGGAGGCTATTGGACATGGCAATTGGATTATGAACAGAAGAATATCGCAGAAATGAAGCGATACGGATGAGTTAGGTGCGTTAGCATCAATGCAGGATGAAATATCTTTCTCTATACGAGCAATTGCATAAACAATATCAGGAACCCATAAAAAAAAGAAAAGACGCGATTGAAAACGACAAAGAGTGTCTTATTAGTTGTGTCTGCACAATAACCCTATTCATCTTGACACGGATAAGGACAGATCTATCAATATATCCTTGTCTTGTTGCCATAAAGGACTTCACCTCTTTATTTTATTTTATTTTATTTTTTTTGTTCTTTTTCTTTATTTTTGCTTCTATGAAAACCGTATATATTTTTTGTCTTTTTATTTTATTTTAATTTGTTTTATTTTAATTATTTATTCCTTATAGGTCCCTGAGGAAGATGAGATGCTCAACATCTTTTCTCCTGATGTCTGGATCTTCCCTGCCTCATTGGGTGTGAAGCGCCTTTTGACTGCTGCCGCTGCTTTCATAGGCTTTGGATACCTTCTCAAGGAGACTTTGCCCGAGCCTCATTTCGAACGCCGTACCTATCCTCATGATGGCCTTCTGGACGCCCTTGGTATTGATGCTTCGGATGAAGTCATGGTTGCCAAGCGTGGTGCCCGTGCAGAATAAAACAAAGTAATAAAAAAGAAAAAGAAAAGAAAAGAAAAAAAAAATTGAACGCCTTTCTACTTTCCTTACTCCTTCACTCCCCCACTCTTTCTCCCCCTCTTGATTAAATTACATAAAAACATCAACAAATGATGATAAAGTGAATAGAAGCAAAAAAAAAAAAAAAAAAAAAAAAAAAGATAAAATAACAAATGAAGCAAATTTCAAACATAATAGATGCTCAATGTATGGTTATAAAAGGAGCTTGAGGCTAGAATGTTGGAATAGCTTGAATTAAGGAAATATAAAGAAATGGCGAGTGTATTGAAGTACACGACTAAAAAGCAGATTGAGCTCAATGCTTTTTTTTTTTTTATTAAAAAATGTCATATGAACGCGTTTTAATATGTCTATAGATTTTCTATGGTTATGGAAGGGAGTGATGAAGAGACAGTCCTCTTCCTTTGCTTAACAAAACGCGTCAGACTCGTTTCAAAGTGGTGGGAGGGAGTTTTTTTTTTCCCTTTAGTACTTGCAGAACATGACATAGCACCAGTTCATCCGGATCTTATCAAGGAAGCTCTCGTACTTCTTTTCCTTCTTTCCGGCTTTAGTATCTTCATGCACCTTTCCCTTCTTTCCTACCTTCTCTTCCGCCCTCTTCTCTCTCTTTCCTCCAGACTGTCCTTTCTTGGGATGACCTTGTTCATTGGACGGCTTATAGGGCTCGTTTTCAGACAGTGTATCGAGTTCGTCAACGGAAAGTGGATAGAGCTCTTCCTCTTCCTCCTCCTGTTCCTCCTCCTCTTCCTCCTCCTGTTCCTCCTCCTCTTCCTCCTCCTCTTCCTCCTCCTCTTCCTCCTCTTCCTCCTCTTCCTCCTCTTCCTCCTCTTCCTCCTCTTCCTCCTCTTCCTCCTCCTCTTCCTCCTCCTCTTCCTCCTCCTCTTCTTCTTCCTCTTCTTGTTCCTCTTCTTGGTCCTCCTCTTGCTCTTCTTCGTCCTTCTTAACCTTGTCTTCATCCTCATCTCCCTCATTGTAGTCCTTGTAGACAGGCATCCTTCGTTTAACTAAATCCTTGGAGCCTTCCTGCGGCTTCGACACAAGAGCAACGACCGACTTAGGAGCCGCGGTGACCGGGTGCCCTGGATAAATGCGTGGAAGAGCATTCTCAGCAGCTTGAGAGACTGGGTACCCCGGTGGATAGTATGGCTGGCTATTCACAGCACGACGGTAGCCATGACTGCCTTCACTAGCTTCAGCTGCATTAATCACAGGGATGTGCTCTGTATTGTTATCGATCCAGAGAGCACCTTCCTGAACAATGCTTGTGACAACGGGAACAGGCGCTTCAGTTGTTGGCACCGGCGCTGCTTGGGCCACGAAAGAGGTTGCCAAGAAGATAGCAAAGGTCAGAGTACAGTGTTTAATAAAAAACATGGTGATGGAGTAGGGGAAAGACTTTGGAAATACTGGCAGAAGTAATGGTAGTAGTGGTTAAGTGCTGGTAAAAGGTAGTGCTTTTGTGAGAGTAAGATTTGAAAATGCTAGTGTTGGTACCGTAAATGACGGTGCGATAGCGAGGGCTTTTTATACCCGTTTTGAACGAGAGTTATCACTTCTTTTTTTTTCCTTCTTCCTTCCTTTACTCTTTTTCCTTCATGGGTTTGAGCTTGAAGCGCACGAGTCATGGTACTGTCAGACCAAAGATCGCCAGCCAGCCAAGCAGTCCACCGGTCAGCCTCCTCTCCTCTTGCCCTTCCCTCAATTTAAATCCGTGGGAGATAAAAGGAGCTGTAGAGCAGTTAGAGGCGTTCCATAGACTGGTTTTAGGATGGCCCTCTGTATAGCCTCTATCTGCAGAGTACGCGTTTATAGCCAAGGCAAAGGATTGAGGCTAGAATGGGTCCGTTAGTGATGGGTTTAATGTTCATGCTTGTCATAATTGGCCTCATATGCCACTCAAGCCTCCTCCCCTCTCAGAGAAACCATTCAATACGAATTAGTTGCGAATTAATTTCACAAAGCTCTTTCCAGGAAAGAGTGGTTTCTTGTGCATATGTTATCCAAGATAAAATGACAGTAGCGAAGAGTTACCACACACCCAGCCAACATCTTTTTTTTTTTTACTTTTTATTTTTTTTATTATTCTTTTTTCGTGAAAAAAATGGCAGCTAAGGGCTAGCAGCATAATATTGTACAAGTTTATTGGGTCTAATGAATCTCTATAGGGGGTTTTTTTTTTTTTTTTTTTTTTTCAGCTTCTATTGTCTATTGAGGTCCTTCAGCCTTCTTTCTAGGGAAATCTTTTGCAAACGTTTGTGAAACAATCAGAGGAAACGCAATTGTTGCATCCGTATGGACCTTGATTGACTTGCCATCCATCCTGATCTTCCCCCATGAAACAGCCTCATCAGGTCTGGCGCCCGCATCACTGCCATCGAACTCTTGCCCCGTGTTGATAAAGACTGCATAGTCTGCTCCATTACGCTATTTTGATAGATGTCAGAGCAGTGTTAAGCATTGATTTCGATATGAGTTTGGACTAGCTTTAAGTCTCACTCTTTGTTTCCTTTTTCTTTTTTTAAAGTTTTAGGTAAGTGCTACAATGGCACAATAACAACATTCTCACATTTAAAATTATATTGATTTCAGTTGCTCTTACCATAAGGTTTGCATTGCAAATATGATGCTTGACAACACCTCCGCCAAGGATGATGACTCCAGTCTTCTTTGCAAATACTGCCTGGTTGTTCATGGCTCGAATGTCAGAAACAATATCAATGATCAACCCAGGGCTCTTGTACGAGTGAAAGTAGATCATATCACCAAGCGATCCGTCCGTCAGTGCCGGGCAAAAGACTGGAATGTCGTTCTATAGGGTGTTCCAACAGTATACATATAAGCCATCTTAATTAGTAAAGGAGTTGATTCAAATATATTCCAGTTCCTACATTTTTCTCTCATATCGTTCGATATATTTTTTTAAGGGTATTATTACCTTATATGCCCAGTAGTAGATCGATTCTTCATGTGCAATTTCTTTGCCTAACCTCCTGATCACACTGCTAGGGGTCCAATGAGCCTTGATCTTCTCATCGTTCTGTTCCTCCAACATCTTATCCAGAATAGGGACCACCCAATCTTCAAATTTACAATAGTTGTCATTCGGGACCAACAGGTTACCGATCCTGTTCAGACCTTGCTTCCTCAGTTTAGTGCCCTCCAAACTGAAATCACCCAAGTAAGTTGGTGCTAAACACTTGATGAAATCCTCTTCGACCCCTCCTGCGGATGAGACCAGACAATCGACTAGTTTATGTTGAACCAAGAAGCAGATCACCTCACGAACACCGGACGAGACCAGATTAGAAGTATAGCCCAAAAAGATCTTGCATTTGACTGATTGACGATATTCCGGATCCAGTAACTGGGGATCAACAGCGCTGTCGGATGTGGGTTCAGGCAAAGGTTCGTCTGAGAGACGCCACAGACGCATTTCGTTGATGATCTCAATTGCACGACCCATGGCTGAAGCCTGAAAGCCTGAAGTAATGAATGTTGAGAGGAGCGAGTCCAGTGTAACAGTCTGGTTAAAGTCGGGGCCTTTGATCACAACAGAGCCCTTGGGCATCTCGGCTGATGCCATAAAGACCGCTGCTTGTGTCGTATCGGGAAGTGCTTCTTTTGAATCCATGGTGAATGACCAATGAAGAGGTGGATGTTGACAAACATAAGCTTGTTACCTAGGATAAAAAACATGTGCAACGGCAAATGTGGCTTGCTCTTGTAGATACCTTTTTTTTTTTTTTTTTTTTTTTGGTCCAGGAATGGAATGTGCTCCTGGTAACTGGTATGACTCGTCAGTCGTCACCAGCCTGTGTAGCTTTTGTGCAATACTAGCACTCACTGACAGGCTGGGACCAAGGAAAGAGTCTCCTACTTCAATGATCGCCGTTTCCTCATTTCCTTCACTCCAATTATTACCGTCGAAAGTCCTCTCTTTCTTCAGTCTTCGTCTTTAAAGTCATGAAAAAATATTGACTGTCACCCAGGGCCTATTTGAATGCTTGTTTCCTATCATAAAGCCAGAATGTTCAGGAAATTGTTCAGTGCTACTACAGAGACAATGGGTCTGCTGAAGCTATCGATTCCTGACAACAACAAATGATTCGTCCTGATCACCGAGAGAGCATGCCACTCATGCCGCTGCCAATTTTGCCCTCAAACATATCAAAGACGAGCCGGAACGAGCCTCTCAGGATAAAGTCTTGCATTTTCCAGCGAGCGGCATCCCACAGGAAAAGATCGAAGGACTCGAGCTCGAGTTTGTTAGTGAAGTTTTCAAGGAGAGAGGGTCCTTGCTGTTCGCCAGCTCTTATCAGATATTGCATATGCCAACAGTAGTTGTTCGAAGGATCCATTGTTAGCTGGCATTTCCATTTTTATTCATAAGGTCAGAACCTTGTGTGACGGTCATGGTGGGACCTTAATAAAAGGTTCCCACCTGGCAACAATAATAAAAACAAGTTTTTTGATCTCGTTGAGTCGTCGTTTCAGAAATACTTCAAAAGGAGGTACTTCAGGTCAATCAAAGAGCTGATGGCCCAGGATCAAGCAAGGCTGCACAGCAAGAAAATTGCTGCTACTAGAAAGCCGATGATAATGCCCAATGGCGCGGAAATGCCAGCTTATGTCGAGTACCAATACTGCCATGACCATACGTTAGGCAGCCTTACTGATCTTGGCACCCGACAAATATCGAGTGATACTCCAAATCTTTATCAAGACGCGTGTGCATTTTGTTACTCCACCATTGAAGCTCACTATATCTTGATATTAAATAGTTAGAGGCATCTAGAGGCATATAATATCATATTTTGCATCATCCCTGAAGGTTTCAAGCGTTTTAGAGCAATACTGAACGAATTCTCTAGTTTTTTTCGGAGTATATTGAATGGAAATAATAACATGATCCTTTATTGGAGTGAATTTTTCTGGGAAATAGAAAAGTTTAGCTCTCAAACAGAAGTCCAAGCCGCACAGAAGGACACTCACTAGCATGGAGGTTTTGCCATTGGTTTAAAAAAAAAATCGCTACACCTCCATTAGCCTCCTCTCACAATGAGTTCAGTACCAAGTATCACAGCAACTTATAGCGCCGAAACCACAACAGGGACTGCTAATTCGGCTGAAAATACCTCAGGGTCCTTGACCTTCGAGACGCCCATTCTTCTCTCCAATGACGGCAGTGGTGCTGCTGACGATTCCGCACAGACCAAGAAGGAGCTATACTTAGAAGCACTCGCAAAGGCGCTGTCCACTATCCAAGAATCCATCAATACGAAATTAACAGAACGTCTAGTCCAGCAGGGTGTCCTCTCAGAGACGACGGACAAAGACCCAAGTGTCAATACCAAGCTGAGGACAAAAGTCCCTGGTCAACCTAATAACAGCAAGAAGGGTCAAACTAAAAAGCAACAACAACGGCAGCAACAAGGACAAGAGCAGGAACAAGAACAGGGGCAGGAACAGGAGCAGAGCACGAAGGAAATTACAAAGGGCAAAGAGCAGAACTCAAATCCATCATCATCCGATGCTTCAACCACAGTAACACCTACTCTTGAAGGTGCATCCATTTCATCCGCAACTATTCCTGTAGCGACACCATCAGAGGATGTAGAAATGAAAGATGATAATCCATACAGGCCTAAAGGGGGTATCTATGGCGATGATGACGAGGAGGCGGAACAGCGCGAGAAGGATGAAGTTGATTTGGTTATGGAAGCTGATCCTGGTGAAGTGGATGGTGCCTGCTTAGAGCTGCCCAAGGAACAACAGCAGACAAACAAAAAGAGGAATGACATGCCCATTGATAATGCGTCACAACTGACAACAGCAAAGAAATCGAAAGGATCAGACGATGATTAAATAAAAGCTTTTTTTTTTTTTTTTTTTTTTTTTTTTTAATCATGTGTTTTTTTTATTATCTATTCATCAAATAGTATACATATTCATCAAACAGAAAAAAAAAAAAAAGAAAAATGGAAGGCATATGAAAGGCTAACGCGTTTTACAAATGAACACGTTGGTATCCATTAAAAGGAGAATGAAGTGGAGAGGAGGAGTGAAAGGCTAGCTTTCGAGGTATAGGGCATAAACGTTCTTGTCTGGAAATCTAAGACTTTAAAATAGAAATTGAAATAATGCAAATGATGCCCCGAGAAAAAGAAAAAGACGCTCCAGACGACTAAAACTTTTGTTCCAGAGGTTGAATGTGATGTTGAGGGAAGCGAACGTTCAAGGCATAGACATGTGTTCTAAAGATCAAAAAAAAAAAAAAAAAAAAAAAGTTAATACACATGACAATGGGAAAAAAAAAAAAAAAAAAAAGAGAGACATGTGCTACTGCCGCTACTTACCGATCGAGAATAATCTGCCATGTCTCAGGGTCCACTCGTTTGGGTGTCTCATGAACACGTTCATCCATGGTGACAGCATATCCACGTTCTGACAGAATGCTAATGACAATTTCGACAATCTTGGGGTCTGACAAGATTGGATTTTGACTGATCAGAGCAAAAACGAAATTGCAGAAGATTAATTTATGTGTGCATACTCTGGATTCATTTCCTCTTAGGTAGTCATATATCCTTACGATCTCACAAGTGCCTGCCCACTGATGGCATGGCGAGCGACCATAGGAGTCACTTCCTGGTCAATAAAGCCGACAGCTTTAGCAAAGATCTCAGGCTCTGCCTCGCAATAATGCTCCAGTCGTCTAATTAGATCCTGGCGTCTATTGTTCGGAGGTAGAGATATATATAAAGCATCAGCTAGCTGATAATAAATGTAATATGATACCATAAAACACCCTGAATATATAAATTACTTACGCATGAACACCAATCTTGGTGGCAAGAGGGATATGTGAAATGGCTTCATAGGTGTCATGCTCTAGCTCTAACGAAGATTGATATTCAAACTCCTTGAGGATAATGCGCATCACACTGTCAATACTTCCAACAGCGTTGATCAAGTCTATAGATATTAATGAAAGGTGTTAGACAATTAAACTTGTAACCGTCTTTCGCACACACTCAGCTTTGATGCCAACACTTACGGAATGGGAAAATTTTGCTGAGCTTCAATAAACACGAGTAGTGGTCCTTGAAAATCTGATATCTGGCGCGGATGAGCTATAGGCGCAAGAAAATAACGAATCAAGACCGAGTTAGACAAAAAAAAAACCTCCCCCCTTCACCTTAAAAGCAGCTATTATTTCATGAAAAGGCAATGTACTATTTTACCATCTCATCATAGTCAGTAACGCGCTCTTCCTTAATTTCACCCTTGCCAGATCGAAGAACTTGTGCGTTGTGCTCTTTCACCAACTTTCCGCGCATTAATTGTCGGTTAACCGAGATTTCTTCGTCCACATATAACACGCAGATACGGAAGGTAGGTCTGGGGAAGAAGTCTTTCAAAGGTGTATGTTTAAACTCTTTTCGTAACTCATGCATTCTCTCATGAAACAACTTCAAGCATTCAACCTGGACCTCGCTTCTTGGGAACCCGTCGACCAGTACACCCACTTCTGGCTCACAATCCAGCAGGGCATTCAACAAATTCTCGACTACCTTCCCGTCACTGATCATGAGGCCTTTGTTTATCAGCTCTTTACATTCAGGTGTTGACAGAAGTGATGACATGGAAATAGGTGGGTTTGTGATGCCTCTAGCACGTAAAATGGCGGGTGTATGGGTGCCTTTTCCTGATCCTGGAGCACCCATCAACCAAATGATTTCCTTGGGGAATCGCATGTTTTCACGGCCGACTACGTCCTGCACATTCTTGAATGCTTGATTAAAAATTAGTTTGGCATCCTTAATTTCAGAGACTCTATTATCATTAATAGATTATAAAGCCCCCCTTCCGATCTTGTTAGTGGTGGGTAATGATAGGAAAAACACTCAAACAACGACAGACTTGTCCATGGAATGAGACTTGACATAAATGATGTCATAGCAGATCAAGGGATATCAAACCCCTGGTGTGCCGATGACCAAGGTGTGCTTTGTTAATGGCCATTCGTGATCATCATAAGGATCCCTTGTCGTTTGTTCATTATAGTCAGTTGACCGATGAAGAGATAATTTTCAAAGACAAAGGAAAATGACGATCAAGAACGGTTGGTGGGCACAGATCAGGGTCGTGCAATTTTTTTTTTTTTTTTTTTTTTTTTTTTTTTTTCAGGAACAAAATGGATGAAAGCTGCAAGCCTGGAGGATACAAAAGATCAAGCTTTGTACATATACGCACCTCTTTTCATGTTTGTCTTTTTGAGCAGTTTCATTCATATTCTCCTCTTGAACAGTAGCGGTAGCCAAGGCTGGAGCTAAGGATCATAGAGTAACGGTTGATTGAGCATAGAAACTTGTTTAATTAAAAGTAGAGAAAGATGAAGGATGGGGGAAGAGTAGAGGGAAAACAAGGACAAAATCGAACAAAGCGAGGTTACTCCATATATTAGAATAGCACTTACCCTGATTAACGTTCGTTTTCTCCTTGTTGACAATTGGTGAGTTGGTAGTATATTGCCGAAGAGGGTTCGCTGTTGAACTGGCGAGCAAGGCTTTTCGAGTAACGCTGGTTCTTCCATGGAGGAATCGATTCGAGTTGATTAGTAAATGGCTGTTACACAAAGACGACTTTGACCAGAGGGTGTTTTGAGTGATCCGTGTGAATGTAGGTGTAATTTGTTTAAACGCAACTTGTCTAATGGTGGCAGCGATCATTTTAGAAGTGGACATGATGGGGGTGATGGTGAATGAGGGGAAAGACGAAGCTCATACTTAGCCCAGCCCCACAGAAACACCTATAAATATGTATTTATATATATTTTTATGTTATTTTTTATTCCAAGGATCCTTTGTCCCACATGACCTGAAATCTCCATCTTCCTTGTTTGCAGATTGCACTGAAAGTGAAAATATGTATTTGTACAGATATAAATATTTTTATTTCATTTTTTTTTTTTACACACAGACCAAGCAAGGTCGGGAGGGACATGAGGGTGATAGAAAACTATGTGGCACAAAGACGAAGAAATCATTGCTTTCTTTTTTAGCAGACGAGACATGCTTAGTTAGCTAAAGCCTTCTTTTCGTCATCCACCTTGTCATCGACAATTGCAACCTGGACATAGTCTTCGGAAGTCTCCTCTTGCTGGATCTTGGCATAACGTGCTGCACGACGCTTCAGACTCAACAGACGAAGGAACAGACGAAGGGTAGTAGCTGAAACAACAAAAAAGGACATGGCAATAATACCGATGCAGGTCAATGCGAGCCAGTCGAGCGTGCGGAACCAGTCATCGATGGACTCCATGGCATCCTCGAAGCTTCCTTCAGCGGGTTTCCGGCCGAAGGTAATAGGAGTGTAGTTGCCGAGAGTACCATCAGGCATGATCTCAATGATCTGCTGAGCAAGGTCAGTCTGAGTAATCTCGTGGCCGTTCACCTCAACAATTCTCTCCTGGAGAGTAACACGACGGATAATGGATCCATCATCAGCAGTAACATATTCGGTCGAGGCAGTCACTTGAACGGTCACCAGACCGCGATCGAAGGCATTCATCAGATCCTCAGCCTTGGTCTCGGGATCCAAGGCTGGGCCAACGATGACACCAGCCTCAACCTCTACAGTAACCGTAATGGGTTCTTCAGGTTTATACTGAGACTCCATGCATACAGGGACATTGTTGAGTAGAACCTGGTTAAATGGTAAAAAATAAAAGAGTAGAAATAGAATTGTATGAGTCGATGAAGGTAAAATGCAGGACGTTGCTGTGTTTCATCTCGTAATGAAAATAAAAGAGCAAAGGTTGGGCTGTGCTCATTTGGACAGGGTATAATTTGATAGACATACCTCATGGTTTTGAACATCGAAGTTGAAAGCAACGGCCATGATACGCTCGGCAAGGAAAGTGCCGTCGTCGGCCAAAAGATCGTCGGTTCGCTGGACAGTGACAACAAAAGTGTCCACACCAGATTTGTCATGGATCTCCTTGACCTCTAATTCAGTTTCAGAGATATCGACCAATCTCTTGTCGACCTCTTGTGCGGTGACAAAGGCTATTCAGTGATAGGAAGCGCAGAAGCGGAGTTATAGTTGTTATGCACACATCGAATAAAAGCCATGGCGAAGCACAACATTATTATTATTATTATTGTTCTTTTTCTCATTGTTTTAACAGATGTCTCTGTAACCGAATGCTATGGTCATGACCATAAATTTGATGTTGGAAACAGAGAGGGGAAAAACTACAGACATTTGTCTATGTGGGTGTGGATGTGTAATGGATTCTTAACTTACCAGTCAAGGCCAAGAGGGCCGTTGCGACGGTAAGGAACTTCATGAAGAGATTACAACAGCACGTTAGGAGATAAAGAAAAATGAGGAGAAAAGAAAAGTGGTTGAAACAAAAGTTGGAATGGGAATGAACAGAGAGTCGCTCACAGGGCGAACAGTGTCTATATGCCTGCGGCGAATTCTCATAATAAGGGGTTCATCTCTCGCCAAGAAAAGATGGTATGTACGTATAATTTTGTACGAAGTTCACGAGACTAAAAATCAAACTATACATTATCAGAGGGTCGCTCTTTTTGATTAGACCTTTTCAAATATAAATGGTTTACTTAACAGAATTCTTATAATTGAAAAGACTAACCAAAAAGAGCGATAAGCTTGACCCTCTGTATATTTTGTATTGTTTCTGCTCTTGGTTGCAAATCTTTATCTGGAGCAAAGTAACACAGTTTGAATAGGCTCTCATGATAAAAGGGCAGAAGATAATAAAAGGGTTGATGCTTTACTGTGGATATGAAAGAGAATTTGGCTTTACGACCATATCACCAACTGCTTTGGTATAAGGGTCGAGAATAATTGTAGAAATGATTAACAGGGGTTGCTATCATGATCCTTATGCCGAGATGGTGAGGTTTTGGCATCTTACTTGATCCTTTGTAACCGCGATAACAATAGGCTCTTTGCTAGGATATTGCATACTGATTACTAATCATAACGGCGCGTTTAAAACAAACACTTTATTAAACTCTAGTGATTAAGACTATCTATTTGTAGTATACCATACGTGAATAAATTTTATACGATTCCATAGATCGTTTTAATAAAAAAAAAAAAACATTGCCACTGAAGAAGGATGCCAATCTTGAAGAATCATGAGTGATGAAGGGTAAGGTTCATGTAATGTTTTAAGAAAGGAAAACGCTAATCTTTTTTTTTTTTTTTTTTGGTCTTGCATAAATGGAAGAGAGGGTTCACTTTTCAAGCAACCCCGTTTCGTGCTGTTTTGTGTCTGTGTGTCTGTGTATAAAAAGTGTAGAACCAAAAAAAATCCGATCCTTCAAGAACTCACCAGATAATTTTGTAAACGAGACATTTAATGTAAAAATAAAATAAAAAGCAAACGGGAGAGTAATTGCCAGAAACGTCTCGATTTTGCTAATTTGGGTTCTTCATTTATCGTAAAATGAAAGAGCGTCATTTATTCAATTTATTCTATATATTTGAATAAGATTATGCTGTCTAAAAAAGGCAAATGTCTGGCAGACCAGTCTGTTTTGATCGTGCAATTGTGGAAGACGCGAGATTTTGCTGGAAATGTTGGTGATAGTTTGATGTCATTCTCTGCATATTTGCACATGGAAGGTGATGGAAAAATATGCCCCGTCTTGTGCGTATAAAAATGGCCCAAACGCACATCGTTTCTTTTTCTTTATCGTTTCTCACACTCCATTCGCATCCACACGCATAAGCACTCGACTTTTCTGTACAAAAGACTATCTCGCTCTCTACTTTTCTCATAACAAACATCAAGTCCATTCATACACCTATAACAGAACCAAAGAAATAATAACAATGCCAGAAGGAAAAGGTATGTATAAACCCTCTATCCTGACATCCTCCATTCCTTTCCTCCCTACCTCTCCAATGAAGACCTGCTCTTTTGGATACCGGTTGTGTTCCCTTTTTCATTTTGCACCTCCGCTCTTCATAAATGTGGAAACACTGGGCTCAGAAAACTCTATGCAGGCATTCTGAACCAATTCCAAATGGGACTGTACTTCGATCCTTCCCTTATCACGTTTATATCATTTATACTTTGGGGATAGCTTCTAACCACCTTTATCGTTTTACCTTTTATTTAATAGCCGTCGGTATCGATCTCGGAACTACTTACTCTTGTGTAGCTGTTTGGCAGAACGACCGTGTTGAGATCATCGCCAATGACCAGGGTAACCGCACAACCCCCTCCTATGTTGCCTTCACTGACACTGAGCGTCTCATCGGAGATGCTGCCAAGAATCAAGTAGCAATGAACCCGACCAACACTGTGTTCGACGCCAAGCGCTTGATCGGTCGCCGCTTCGACGATAAAGATGTCCAATCTGATATGAAACATTGGCCTTTTAAGGTCATCGAAAAGGCTACCAAGCCTTATATTCAAGTTGAATACAAAGGAGAGAAGAAGGAATTTACCCCAGAGGAGATTTCATCCATGGTCTTGACCAAGATGCGTGAGACTGCAGAGGCTTACCTTGGTACTACCGTCACCAATGCTGTCGTCACCGTCCCTGCATACTTTAATGACTCTCAGCGTCAGGCCACAAAAGACGCTGGTATGATTGCTGGAATGAACATTCTCCGTATCATCAACGAACCCACCGCAGCTGCCATCGCCTATGGTTTGGACAAGAAGACAGCAGGCGAGAAGAACGTTCTCATCTTTGATCTCGGTGGTGGTACGTTCGATGTGTCCCTTCTTACTATTGAGGACGGTATCTTCGAGGTCAAGGCCACTGCCGGTGACACCCATTTGGGAGGAGAAGATTTCGATAACCGTCTTGTCAACCACTTCGTCCAGGAATTCAAGCGCAAGCACAAGAAGGACCTCTCTTCCAACCCTCGTGCTCTCCGTCGTCTTCGTACTGCCTGTGAACGTGCTAAGCGTTCCCTGTCATCCTCTGCTCAAACTTCCATTGAGATTGACTCCCTCTTTGAGGGTATTGATTTCTATACTTCCTTGACCCGTGCTCGTTTCGAGGAGCTCAACCAGGATCTCTTCCGCAACACCATGGAGCCCGTTGAGAAGGTTCTTCGCGATTCTAAGATCGATAAAGGCGCTGTTGACGAGATTGTCCTTGTCGGTGGTTCCACCCGTATCCCCAAGATCCAAAAGATGGTCTCTGACTTCTTCAACGGTAAGGAGCCCAACAAGTCTATCAACCCAGATGAAGCCGTTGCCTATGGTGCCGCTGTCCAGGCTGCGATTTTGACCGGCGATACTTCCGAGAAGACCCAGGACCTTCTCCTGCTCGATGTCGCTCCTCTGTCTCTTGGTATTGAGACCGCAGGAGGTGTCATGACTGCCCTTATCAAACGTAATACCACTGTTCCCACTAAGAAATCAGAGACATTCTCTACCTATGCTGATAACCAGCCTGGCGTTTTGATTCAAGTCTATGAAGGTGAGCGTGCTCGCACCAAAGATAATAACTTGCTCGGCAAGTTCGAGCTCACAGGTATTCCTCCCGCACCTCGTGGTGTTCCTCAGATCGAGGTCGTTTTCGATATTGATGCCAACGGTATTTTGAACGTCTCTGCTGCTGAGAAATCCACTGGACGTGCAAACAAGATCACCATTACCAACGATAAGGGTCGCTTGTCCAAGGAGGATATTGAGCGCATGGTTGCAGAGGCCGAGAAGTACAAGGCCGAGGATGAGGCCGCTGCTTCACGTATTCAGGCTAAGAATGGACTCGAGTCTTTTGCATTCAATATCAAGAACTCATTGAATGACGAGAAGGTCGGCGGTAAGCTCGATGCCGCTGACAAGAAGAAACTCGAGGATGCTTGCCAAGAGGTTATTAGCTGGCTGGATGGTAACCAGGAAGCAGAAAAGGAAGAGTTTGAGGCCAAGCAGAAGCATCTTGAGGAGATCTCTAACCCCATCATGATGAAGATCTATGGCGCTGCTGGTGGACCAGCTCCAGGTGCTGCTGGCGGTGCTCCTGGTGGCTTCCCTGGTGAGGGCGGCTCTGAGCCAACGATCGAGGAGGTTGATTAAAAGAGACAACCCTATTCTCCACGAGATACAATAATTCATATTCATTCGCCTGTATATTTTTCCCCCTTCATCATTTGCCATAGCAACAAGAGACACTGCAAATCAATTTTCGAAAGCAAAAAAAAAAAAAAACCAGTTATTGCGAGCAATTGACGTTTGTACATAATAATAAAAAACTGTGTTCTTGTAATATTTGCCACTAAATAAAATGACAGCCACATAAAACTCTGGTGCATAACATGGTCATAGTTTTGAGGTTGGGGATTGGGGTCGGTTTCTTTTGTATCCCTGTGTCTTGCATTACCCCAGATTCATTCAACTTGATCCTATTGATTCCTTGTAGAAACTGCAGACTTATATATTTCGCTTTTTCTTTCTTTCCTGCTGAATCTTGCCTCATTATAAGGCCCCAAACTACTCTGTAATTTACTTCGCCTTTCATTTCCTCAATTACACATTCTTATTTCATTGACAGTTGCATTATTCTTAACTTAATCACCGGTATTGACGCTCTCCTGTGTAAATTTGAGTAAAAAAATATCTTTCCTCAATTCTCTGGCTGTGAGCAATAATAAAGCTTCAATGAATAATATTGACCAAAACTTGGAGTTGCTACAAGCCTCGTCTTCCAACGCACGTGGGGCTAATACAACCCAAGGCCAAGGTTTGAGTGGTAAAGTGCCTAAAGCTGACTTACCCTCAGTAACATCAGATACTGGAGAATCTACATCTGCCCCAACAATGAAACAGCTCCCTAGACCTTCCAGCACAGCTCGAGGGAATGTTGCAGCCTTTTTAACGAAACTTTACAAGTAAGCACAAATGAGTATACATTTGCTCGCTGCATAAGCCGCAGCAGCTAATATCAAGCTTTGTAAATTCTATAGAATGGTTAGCGATGAGGCATCAAACGACTTGATCAAGTGGTCTGATGACGGACAGTCTTTTATTGGTATGTTAACATAAATACCTCTGAGCGACATCATACATAGAATCAATTTCATCCCGTTGGATATTCTCAATCTTAACACGTATCCGCTGGTATTGAAATGCCCCTGAATAGTACTCAAGCATGTGGATTTTGCGAACGAATTGTTACCAAAATTCTTCAAACATAATAAGCTTCCATCGTTTGTCCGGCAGCTTAACATGTATGGGTTTCATAAAGTACCCCATCTACAGCAAGGTGTTCTTCTTCCGGACTCAAGCTCAGAGCAATTGGAGTTTAGCAACCCTCATTTTCAGAAGAATCAGCCCGATCTGCTTTGCTTAGTCTCGCGTAAAAAAGCTTCAAACGGGAACGAAGATAAGGATGCTCTTACATTGGATCTTTCACATATACTACAAGAAGTTTCAGCCATCAAAAAACACCAGCAAGCCATCTCAGCAGATCTTAAGAAAATCGAGAGGGACCATCTATCGCTTTGGCAAGAGTCTATATCTGCAAGAGAAAGACATCGGTGTCAACAGGAGACGATTGACAAAATCCTACGATTTTTGGCCAGTGTGTTTTCAGGAGATAACAAGAGATCAATTGTTCCTAATAAGAAACCTAGATTGGCGATTATTGAAGGAGACCAGGACGACACTTTCGGCGGCGATGTTAGTAGTGAAAATAGCGAAGACCATGGAGAATATGATGAGATAGCAAAGACATTAGGTGTCAAACGCAAGCGTGCATCAACGACGGAGCAAGACACAAGCCCTGCTCCATCATCAACCAGTATGAGTTCGGCCCCCAGTTTAAATGAAGTAACTCCTGGTAAGTTGAATATCTCTGTCTCTGCCTCTACTTCAAACCCTTTTCTGCCGTCTTATTCATATTTTTTTACTGGTAACTAGCAACATTAGCTTTACTTGCCGATATGAGCCAAACTCCTCCTGTGTCATCCATTTCCAGTTCGACTTTGGCGTCCATATCGACCTCTAGTCCGGAGACTACCACTTCAAAACCTAAATCTTTAAATAAAACAGAGCCGGTAACGCCTGATACCACTGTAAGTCTGCCAGATTACCCTACTAGTCAACCTTTTAAGTTCGATCCCTCAAGTCTGAAGATCCCAGCTGGACCTCTTCCAAATGAGATCAATCCTGCACAGCAAGACTTACTTCGATCAATATCAATGGCAAATGCAAGGGAAGCAACCATGACTCCTTTACCCCAATCCTTTACTCAAACACCCGCAGGAGCTAATGTTGTAAGAGATATTGAAAGGATTGCAAAGGAAATGGAACAGTTGCAGCGCAGTATCGAGGCTCTCGAAGCCCACGGATTGGATATGAATGATTTTAACTTTGACAGTGATTACCTGAATAACCCTGAATTCGGTAAGCCATCCTCTCACACAACATAAATGCATTTATCCTTTTGAGATAGCTAAGAAGGACTGAAACTTATAGAGGTGGCTATCATTATTCATATTAATAATTTACATAGTCTCCGCTGCGTACGGAGACCTGAGTAATATTAGTGAAAGCGGTATCCCACATCAAGTCCCAATAGGAAATGAAAATGGTATCATGAATGAGTTAATCCATTCGAACCAAGACGACCTAGACTTTATCACACCAGCATTTGATCACCAGCATCTCTCATCGGAGCAGACCATGCCCACGCCTAACACAGTTGATGCCGACTCATTAAAAGCACCACCCACATCGAATCTTACATCATTTGCTGTCTCAGCTGCAACTTCTCCTCTATCCTCTGCTTATCCTGTTTCTGAAAAATTGTCTACGGCTGTTACGAAGCCTTAATTAGCCTGCGGAATTTAGATGATATATTACGTTTAGATGTAACACTGCATAGAATACATTTTTCTCTTTTCTGCTTCCCATTAAAGGCATATGTACTGGTACTAATTACAGTAATAATAATGATGACAATAAATGCCTCAAGTATAGTCAATGAGATATGATTGTATGAATAGAGTTTCTATGCTTTTTTTCTTTGAGCTTAAATTAGTTTCTAATGAACACTGCGTGGCTTGTTTATGGTATACCCAAACGCGGGGTCAATTATTCGATTTGCAAGCAATAAGGGAGTGGACCAACCTACGACTTTTCACTTGAATCTACCCAACAAACGCCCTTTTTGCATCTACGCGTGCTTGCATTCAAAAGCATATTCAATTTTTCATCATACATCCTGCCTCGCTTCTCCCTCCCTTCCCTCCCCATCCATCGTTTAAATATCATCTTCATAACAACATCAGCGAAACAGCTTTCTCCAGAGAACAGTTAACATCTTGTCATGGCGTCCTTCATGTCGATGCAGTATGATTCAGACTCAGACTCTGCAGAAGACCTCGACTTTGAGCCAACGAGTGAACCAAGCTCTGGTAGGAGGTGCCACAATTAGTTCATATTATTATTCGTTCCTTTTATTTTTGTATTATTCGGCGATTCCGGTTATACCTTTATCAGTCGGTACTTGACTGAGCTTTCCCTTGTTTTGGGTTAAAGCTTTGGCTTTAGAGTTGGTCAAATATACGATACAGGAACTAACATACAACACACACACAAAACTATTACTCTCGCCTGTAGATGATAATAATGGATCTGAAACGGATGAAGCAATGGAGGAGAGTGGTGATGATGACGGTCAAAAGCAAGGCAGTAGTACTTCGAAGCTAACATCGACGGAAGCGTGTTCAAGACCCTCAAAAAAGGGACGCAAAAAGAGTGCTGCGACAGAGGGTGGAAGAGGAAGAGAAGTAAAAGGAAAGGGACCATTGACACAAACAAAGGAGCCATCGCAATCGATTGCTACTACAGCAACAGAAGATGTTACTGAGATGTCGACAGCACAGCTCGCAGCAGCGACAGGGGCCACTGTATGTTTACGAAAAACAATTCACTTTTTTTGTGAAACATGTGGGCAAATTCTACGTATTAACGTATTTTGATAATATTAATGTTTAAATATATATCTCTCTCTCCAGCCTGCTATTGTTGCATCGGAAGAGGTCGTGAAAAAGAAGAAGGGTCCCAAGAAAGGAACTAAATACAAAAAAAGGACTCCTGCTACGGGAAAGGAAGCTGGAACCAAATCAGCAACAAAAACACCCAAGGTTCCTAAAGTAACCAAGAAGGCAGCAGCCGTAGCAGCCGCACAGGTACCACGTCCGATAGTCGGACGATTTGGCTTCCAAAACAATCCGATTGATTTAGGTATTTTTTTTATTTTTATTTTATTTTTTTTAGATTTTTTCCGTCAGTCAACATATTAACAAAACGATGATTTTCTACTATTTTTTTTTATTTTTTTATTTTTATTTTTTAATCCAACACTAAAGACCACCCGCTAGAAACATTCAAATGGCCCTATTCACCTTTCACAGCAGAGTTCAAGACACAACATCAAGCACGCGATAAAATGGCGAGTGATATTCATCGGGCTCTCCAAGAACTAACAGATGCAAACGGTCGAGCCACATGGCGTTTACAGGAATTAGATCATCAACTCCAAATGAGTCGCCAAGATTTAAAGACAAGCCTGGACGAGATACAATTCCGAAAAAGTCAGCTACGAGACATGAGTATCCTAGCCGTCGATATTGTAAAGAAACTGTCGTTGCCACGACCAGAGCCGCAGGAACTACTAAGGAGACAATCGCTTCCGTCATTACCGTCCTCTGGAGCTGGTTCTGGAAATGAAAGTGGCCCAGGGGGTTATGCTTCATCGTACAAAACAATAGCGAGTCATTTAGATGGCGATCATATGGATTTGGACGGCGATAATGAATTTGAGAGTGGTGGCGAACAGCAGCATAGTCATGAAAATACCAACCAACAAGGCCAGCATGCCATTCAAAGGCAGCAGCTACATAATCTTAAAGGAGTGAACGAGGGCAATGTCAGATCATTTTTGGAGAAGATTAGAGCGTTGGAACAGGCTCAACGCCAAGTCGTAGTCTAAGCTGCCGACTTTTTTTTTATTTTTTTTTTTATATATTTATTTATTTAGCCAAAGGAATTTGTTTTCTGATCTCTGATTATCTTTCTGTTTTTTTTTTTTTTTTTTTTTTTTGCGCGATTGGTTTTATTCCTTGTATCTTCATTGCTTAATTATTATTATTATTATTATTATTTTGAGCCCATCAGTTTTGACGTTAATAATTGTAAAATATATACTTGACGATGCCTTTATCTACACTGACAACCCGAACGCGTACACAAAGGCAATCAATGTCTTGTTCTCAAAGCGATAAACAGCGGAACCTAATATTGAAAACAGGAGTTAACTCATTAAAGAAAGAAAAACCTGTAAAATCTTTGTTTATAAGGACATAGAAATACAATGTTCTGAATTGTTACCGTCACACTCTGCATCCCATAGACTCGTTGAAGAAATATGAACACCTGCTCCAACAGACTCGAGTATGGTACTTGTTACTTTTTCATCCATTATAATAATGGTAATAATAATTAGAGAGTAGTCGCAGCAAAATAAAGCAAAATTAAAAATTAAATTAAAAAGTTGAAGATTTTACCGATGTACTTGAAGGTGCCTTTGAGTTGTGTCAATCGGGAAATGGCCTCTCGATAAATGGTAGCTTGCCATTCGGGAACTAAGTCGGGACGGTATTCTGCATCCTTGAGAGTTTTTTTAACGACCTACAAACACATTGAATCCAAGTTTATATATATTAGTTTAAAACTTGGAATAAACATACATAGTCAATAGAGCATGCGCTCATGGCACCGTCTGGCGGCTATTTTATTTATAAAGCTTACATCCTCAAGGATCACCGTTGCTGCTTTGATATCGAATTTGTTCTTCTATTTAGACATAATGCACTGAATGAGCAACTGAAAGATGTGGAGGAGCATTAAAACGACCTTTTGACATTGATTAAAGACAACGGTTGTGATGTGTTTGCATACTTCGTCTTGTGCCATGTCGTTTAAAAATGAAGAGATGTGTTAAGAAGGATGTGCGCGTGAGAAGCACGAGACTAGCCGCCGTTGTTTTTATATTTATATTTTTAGATGTCAATTGAATATGTTTTACCCCCCAACTGATCAGAGAGATTCAACACAGAGATAGATAGACACATGCATATCTGTCACCTTGACCAATCTTAAAACTTTTTTTTTTTTTTTTTTTTTTTTTCACAAGCATTTTTTCATTGTCGCCATCAAGTTTATTAATCTTTGTTCTAGTTCTTTAAAAATGTCAATAAAAGAAAAAAGAAAAGAAGAAAAAAAAAAAAAAAAACGCAATTTATTATTAGACTTCATTCATTCATTCATTCCATGTGCTCATTTAATGAAGCAAATGACAAAATCTCCATCGACAGTGAAAAGATCCCGGAAAATTTATTATCGCAGGTGCTGCGCTCTATCCGAGCCAATACTATTTAGAAGGATAATTTTATATTTTTTTCTTTTGGAACTACCGATGATGATTTATAAATGGCCTTACTCCCTCCACCCCCTCTCTTTCATTCATTTCCAGCAATCATCATCCAGACATCAAGTGGACCCACAACAGTAGGTATGCATGGACAGAATGAGATTGAGAGGACTAGAGCATTGAGAGGAAGAGTTAAAAGGAGGCTAGGACAAACTCTTGTAGAATGGAGGGCGCAGCCTGATAATGGGGACAGTATGAGAACGTAGTGTAAAGAAAGGAAGAGAGAGGAGGAAGAATAAATAATAGGAAAAAAAGAGAAGTTCTAAAGAAAATAAGAGATGCAGAGCTGGTTCCTGGCTCGCTTCTGTTTTTGAGGTGGAACACCGTCTCCACGTTGAAGCATAAAAGAGTAGCTTATCATGGAGTAGCTATTGTGTTTAGCAGGAAAAAAAAAAAAAAAAAAAAAAAAAAAAAGACTGGTTTTCTAGCTGGCATGGCAGCTCTGAACTTTTTTTTTTTTTTTTTTTTTTTCCTGCTCTTGGGTGAAATGGCAACCATTGCAAAGAGTAATGTCCTACTGGCTCTTTTTTTTTTTTTTTTGCGCGTCATTCTATCCTGTATCAAGTGCTTGATATAATTACTGCCCCAGTTCACATTGTCCACTGTCAGACCCCTTTTTGACAGCAATTTTATACTCTACTTTCAGACACTCGCATCCCATCCAAACACCTGTGTTGATTGAGGTCACAATCCATTCCACTCCTCGTCAGAGACTTAAATTTACACGGCCACAACTCCTTAGACATTTAGTGAACTCATTTTAGAAAATCTTAATTCTTGTCTTGGACTTAAAGGTGCATGAGCTCGTTATTCGACTAAGAATCTTAAGCAGAACATGGATCCTACCTTCAATTACCAGGTATGTGCAACTCTTATTCATACTTCATTTCTTGAAAAAAAAAAAAAAAAAAAAAAAGAGGCGTTGCCTTTTTGGAAACGCGCTTTCAACTGGAAAGGCTTTTAGTGCCACCAAAGTAAAAATAAAATAAAACCTTAATGCTGCTAAATACATCTCTCCACTTATTCGTTCGTCTATAAACGTTTATGTGCACTCATAAATCCGATAGGCACATTTGCCCACAGGTCAGATCCTATTACAACAACAACAGCAGCAACAGCAACATCCACAACAGCAGCCACTACAAATCTCACAAGGGTTTAATCCACTCCATTCTTATCAACAGCAAGCATTTCATGCACAGCAGTTTTCGTCGCCGCAGCAAGCTCTACAGCGGCTGGATCTCCATGCAGCTAATCTCACACCTCAGCAACAATTATACTTTCAACAGCAGCAGCAACAATACCAATTTCAACAACAACAGCTATACCTTCAACAGCAACCACATCAACCGCAGCAACAGCAATCGCAACAACAGCAACATGGTTTTGGCTATGCCTCACCAGCTCAATTTAATAGTCCGACAATAGCCTTTAACCAACCTCTGTCATTTGATACATCGGCAACATCCTTTGGCATAGATCAAGGCCATTTAACATCACCATCTTTAAGCCAAGCACAAATAACCTCACCATTATTGGCCTCGACTCAGGCTCAAGTACAATCACAGGCACTTACAATGGCGCAGGCCCAGGAGTTGGCGCGACAGCAGGCCCAAATTCAGGCTCAGGCACGAGCAGCTCAAGCTCAAGCTCAAGCACGGGTTCAAGCAGCGCAAGCATTGCAAGTGCAGGCTTTAGCACAAGTACAAATACAAGCACAATCTCAAGCTCAGGCACATGCTCAGTACTTAACCCAGGCCCAAACCATGTTACACCAGCCACTGGTTGTGTCTCCTGGCCCTTATAGCCAGGTCTCACCTCAGTTAGCGCAACAGACGTCGCCGCTAGGCGGCTCTGCTACGACCCCAATTACCTCGCCAGTGACAACACCTCAACTTGCAGCAGCAGCGATCGCAAAGCCTCAGCGACAACCAGCCAATCGTGGGAAAGCAGCCAAAGCATCAGGTACTGGCCGAAAACCAAGTGGACAGCTACAGCACCCACAGCAACAACGGCCTCCAGAAGAACAAACTCAACAACCTCAGGAGTTAGTCCAACCAAACCATACACAGATACAAGCACAGAACCATGTACAGCAACAACAACAGCAGCAGCAACAGCAGCAGCAGCAGCAGCAACAACCACAGCAGGCACAACCACCGCTTGTACAACAGCATCAAAGTTTCCAGCAACAATATTATACACAATATAAACAACCCCACCAACCCCTACAGCAACAACAACAACATCAGCAGGCTCAACAACAGATACAACGTCAATTGCATAAGCAGCAAAAACAGCCAGCTGTCCAAAAATCATCTAGGGCCGCTGCACAGCGCAGCTCTGATTCTGAATCCGACTCTGACTCGTCGAGTTCAGACGATGGATCCTCAACTTCTTCCTCAGGATCGTCAGGATCAGAATCAGAGTCAGATCAGGAATTTAAAGGGAAGACACCACCACCTGCCAAGAAGCCTACAGGAAGGAAAAAGACTGTAACCAAGACAAGCGGCAACATATCTCGATGGGCTGTTCCCTATGACCCTGTATTAGTACCAATGGGTAGTAAGACATTAGAAAAGATTTTAGCTTGGAGGATGAATAATGGGGTTGAGGAACTCCTCATCAAGTACAAGGTAGGGGTGGATTTATAGCTTGTATAGGGACTTTTGTCGGGAGTTTAAATTAATACTTAAGCACATATATGTTTATTTATATTGCTTCCTAGTTCTCAAGTTATCTGCATGTCGAGTGGGTGCCAAGGAAGCGGATCGAGGATGGTGAACATCTGGGGAAAAACCGGGTCAAGAAGTTTATGGAGAAAAATGGAACTTATACTGATTATGAGTATTTCAATCCTGCGCTTATGAAGGCAAGGTTTTATAACACTGGCATTATATTTTTGAACTTGTTTTATTCGACCAATATAAACCAATATTAATTTGCTCAATCTTTTGACACCTTTACAGGTAGATCGCATTATCGACGAAGGAGAGCTTACAACGGCGGACGGTGAAATACAAATCTTTTTCTTAGTTAAATGGTGCAATACACCATATGATGGTTCAACATGGGAGAAGCGTGATGAGATATTGAAGCTAGATGCGACCAAAGTTCACGAGTTTTATGCGCGCAAGATCATTCCGGATGCCAATGCGGCGCGTCAATTACCTCGTCCACCTAGAGGAGCATTCCGTAAGCTGAAAGAATCGCCTGTTTTCAAGCATGGTAACCAGCTCCGGCAGTATCAAATGGAGGGCCTGAATTGGCTTTTGGACTGTTGGTTCAATGGACAAGCATGTATCATGGCAGATGAGATGGGTCTGGGCAAGACAGTGCAGTCTGTGACATTCTTGAATGAGATTCATAGCACATACCATATCCGAGGCCCCTTCTTGGTTATTGCGCCGCTCTCAACTATACCCCATTGGCACCGTGAATTTGAAGCATGGACAGGAATGAACGTGATTGTATTTCACGGGAATATACCCTCTAGAAATTTAATTGTCGATACCGAGTATTACTACAAAGATGCTCAGGTAAGCGTGCTACTCTTCCTTCGTTCCTTTTCTTTACCGAAGTTGCAGTTACTGATTTGTTGTATTCATACTCTAGGGGCAAATCGTGCCTAATCTTTACAAGTTTGATGTTTTAATCACGACCTACGAGATGGTTTGTTCATATTTCAATCTTTTAATGCATCTTTTTTTTTTGTCTAATGAGCAATCCGTTAAAAATTGCTCCTAATTATCATTTTTACCATTTGACACGCAGATCGTTGCGGCTTCATCCATGTTGAAGCCTATTGCATGGAGAGCAATCATTGTGGATGAAGCACACAGGTTGAAGAATTCAGTAAGTCTTAATTAGACAATTAGAAAAGGCAGGTCCTGATAGTTTAGCCATGTTCTATTATTTGCAAAATTCACTTACACTCAGTACTCTCAAACACGGGGCTGATAGGCATCAAAAGTGTCAGAAATCTTAAAGACGTATAATCTTGAGCACCGTGTGCTTTTAACGGGAACACCTTTACAAAACTCCTTGGACGAATTGTTTGCACTACTGAACTTTCTGGAGCCAACACGCTTTGTGTAAGTTACACAATGCCTCAGGACCTTTCTTTCTTTTTTTTTTTTTTTTTTTTTTTTTTTTAAGTAACAGGACTAACAATAGATGATTTGCTTCTGCGTCATATAGTAATGAGAAGGCCTTTTTGGCAGAATATGGAAATCTGAAAACGGCGGCGGAGGTTGATAGACTCCAGCAACTATTGAAGCCTCTAATGTTACGTCGTTTCAAAGAGGATGTTGAAAAATCCATTCCAGTCAAAGAAGAAACAATTATAGAGGTTGAACTGACGACGACACAGAAAGCATTTTATAGAGCAATCCTGGAAAAGAACTTTGGATTCTTAAAAAAAGGTGGTGCGGCAGGACCTAGTCTTATTAACATTATGATGGAGCTACGCAAGTGCTGCATCCATCCTTATCTGATTTCTGGTGCAGAAGATCGTATCGTCGCCGAGAGGAATGCCGTCACTCCTGAGGCCCAATACCGATGCTTGATTGAAGCATCTGGTAAGTTAGTCTTGATTGATAAACTACTCAAGAGACTGAAGGAGGGCGGACATAAAGTGTTGATCTTTTCACAAATGACGCGCTGTCTTGACCTATTGCAAGACTATCTTCGTGGGCGTGGATATCCCTATGAGCGTATTGATGGATCTATTCGAGGAGATATGCGTCAAGCAGCTATTGACCGCTTCTCGACTACACCAGACTCGTTTGTTTTCTTGCTTTGCACTCGTGCTGGAGGCGTCGGTATCAATTTAACAGCAGCCGACACGGTTGTTATCTTTGATAGTGACTGGAATCCTCAAAACGACCTACAGGCAACAGCCCGCTGCCATCGCATCGGCCAGACAAAACCAGTCCAGATTTACCGACTCGTGACTAGGAATACTTATGAAAAAGAGATGTTTGATAGGGCTAGTATCAAACTTGGGTTAGACAAAGCCGTGCTACAGAAGATGGATGTGATGCCAAGTTCGGACGATCTTTCCGACATGCCCAAACCTCCATCGTCCTTGAGCAAGAAGGAAGTGGAGGAGCTATTAAAGAAAGGCGCGTATGGAGCTCTTCTGGATGATGATGAGACTAGTGCAAGGTTTTGTGAAGAGGATATCGACCAGATTCTAGAGCGCCGCACTACCGTCATTAAGCATACTGGCAATGAGAAAGGCTCCGTCTTTTCGAAGGCGACTTTTTCATCGACGCCCAGTGGTGAAGAAGTAGACGTTAACGACCCGCAATTTTGGGATAAGTGGGCAGAGCGCGCCAACGTGGACATCCAGGATATCACCACCAAAGACCAATTAATCCTAAATGCTCCAAGAAGTCGCAGGCAAGTTCAGCGGTTCGGTAGGGGGCAGGGTGATTCTGACTCAGAAGACAAAGAGTATGTTTCAGATCCCGATTTTGATGATGGCAGAGATCAAAAGGACTCGAAAGAGGCGAATAAGAAGAGGGAGGCGCCTCGACCTTGGAGCATGGCTGAAAAGTTGATGTTTGAGCGGAAGCTTATGATCTATGGCTATGGTAAATGGGACCAGATGAGGATCTTCTTCCCTCGACGTACAGAGAAGGACCTTAACGCTGTAGGCCATTGCATGGTACAACAGATCCTTCGTGATATGGCCATGGACACGGACGAAGATCGTAAATTGATTGAGGAAATCCAAGCCGTCTTGATTGAGTGCGACATAAGTTGTGGCTACGAGGGGCCTTCTATTAATGATATTCCATATGAGAGGGCAAGCAAGAAGGCAACCATCGAGTTTAGGTCATTTCTACTAGAGGCAACACAGGATTATATCGAACACATTCGTCGAAAGGGACGTAATCTAGTTCTACGGGTGCAACTTATTCATACCATCCGAAACCTTGTTCCACGCGACTGGGGCTTAGCAAAACAGATGGTAATCCCACACGTTTCAGGAGCACCACCTGCAACCTGGTGGGGTGAAAATGAAGACAGAGACCTAATGTTGGCTATTATCAAGTATGGATATCTTGTGACAGAGGCACAATATGAAGCGGTTAGGAATGATCCAGAATTCTGCTTCTATGGCCGGCGATACGACCTGAATGCAAATCGAGATGCCAATGATGATGATGATGGCGAGGATGCCACACAACAATCAAGGCAAACCAGTTACGGAGGCAGCGGTAGCAGCGAAGTTCTACCTTGGCCTTCCAAGTCCGACATTGGCCTGCGCCTGCGACGCATCCTCTCAGCACTTCAGCGTCAACATCAATTGGAGGTCCGTAAATCTACATTAGTGGAGAAGGACAAAACCAAGGAGAAACTGCGCCAGGACCGGCAGCGCCAACGGGAGGAAGCGGCACAGGAAAAGAAGCACCAGAAGGAGCTTGAGATTGCCTCTCGGTGGACAAAGAAAGACAAAACGGAATTCTATAAAACTGTAGTTTCCTATGGCGTCGTACGTACCCGTGGAGGAGTCTTACCCGGCTCCCCCACCCTAGGCACGCCAAATAGTGCCCAGAGTGGAAGACCTCGAACTGGCTCATCTGCTACTCATGGTCGGCGTCAACAGCTTGTGCGCCAAACGCCTCTCGCTCATGATTGGGCTCGATTCAAGGAACTCGCAGGATTGGTCAAAAAGCCTAATGAAGTAATGGAGGAATATTATGAACACTTTGTAAAAGCTTGCCAGCAAATCGTTGATAGAGGCAACAATAGCGCGCCAAATCCACAGAGCCGAGAGTCTAGCCTGCCATCGACCCAACAAGCGAATATGGCAGAAGACGAGGAGGAAAAGGAGGACAGGGATGATGGAGATGTGCTACCGCTTGACAGAGCTAGACGAGTGATTAAACGCATTGAGCTGATGAACATCATCCGCGACGAGGTCTTAGCTAACCCTAGAGTAAGTCCCTGAAAGCGACACCTATCTGTTTTTATCAATGATATGCCTCAAATATTTGTTCACTCCATTATCGAGCGCTAATAAGTACACACATGCTCACCTTGATGTAAATGCCACAGCTGGATGAGCTCTTGGCTGCTTGTAGACGCTCTCCTGGGCTACCAAGCTGGTGGATTGTGGGTATCCATGACCGTCCCTTCCTAGAAGGATTAGCCAAGCACGGAATCAGTCGTCAGGATTTGATAGTGAGCGATGAGACACTACCTTTTGCTGCGATTAGTCGTCAATTTGCAGCATTACAAAAGGAACGCCTTGAAAAGAAAGTCGAGTCGGGCGACAGTACAGATATGGGCATGAAGCAGGAGAATACAGTGGTGAAATTAGTCAGCGCGACAGCTCTTTCTGATCGGGTAGGCAATTCATTAGATACCCCAATGATTGAGTCTACAACAGTGCAACAGTCAGTGAGACAGGGTGACTCGATGGTTATTAAGAAGGAGGAGAGCATTGAAACTTCCTTCCAAGACGGGAGAACTGGACCAGTACATGATATAAAAGAAGTTGATAAGGATGTCAAAGTAGAAAAAGCCAAGGTAGAGGGCTCTGGGGATGGTGCTCATATGCCGAATGACACACGACAAGACATCAAGCCCTTGCCCGTTGCTACTGCCAAAGCCAAGCCATCGGAGCCAGAAGAATTCGTGTGGCTCAAGGAGGCTGTGGTTTTGCGCCGTGTGGATCATTTGATTGACATTGTACTTAATCCAAAACCTGTGTCAAGGAAGAAACGCAAGCACCATGAGGCACAGATGCTGCTGAATAACTCGAGCTCTGTAAGGACAAGTGGCCAGGCCCTGGACAAAGGTGTCCAGAACCAAGATGATTATGAAAGCGAAGCTGAGCGCAGTGAGCGTGATGATTCAGAGGCTCCTGTCCCTTCAGCTCCTGCGAGCCCAAATAAAAAGATAAAGCCGCCAGCAAAGAATAAGAAGAGTAAGCTCAACGAATCCAAGGCTACAGTCAACAAGCCAAGTTCGCCATTAGTCACGATTTCAAAAGACAAAGATGATGATAGCAAAGATGGTTCCTCCACTAACAAATCTTCAGGACTCAAGCTCGTGATCAAACTCAAGGTTCCTACTACTTCTCTCACAGCTAACACGGCAAACAAAACATCTGAGCCTAAGAAGCAGACAAATACAACCTCTAGTTCCAAGCGTGTCCAGGAATATGATAGTGCTGACAGCAGCGAATCAAGTAGTAGTGATACGGATGAAATGATGGCATTGGCAAGTAAGCAGGTCGCATACCTCCAGCGTAAGATCAAAGAAAAAAAATTACAACGTGCAAACAGCCCCATTGTTGGCGGCATGTCTTCTTCCTCTTCGAAACCAAAAGGGTTTATTGGGACGAGCAAATCTTTGTCTCCAATACGGACCAATCCTTCTCACCGCCCTGTTCCATTTCAAAAAGAATCCCTTCACCATAAGCCTAAACGCCATCGCGGGAGGTCAATGTCAGTTTCATCGTCATCCTCTGCTTCGGACAGATCGTCTGGATCCTCTCGAAAGACATCCTCCCGCTCTTCATCGCGATTGAGATCTCGATCAAGATCACGAAGTAGATCATCCTCGTCTTCTAGATCAAGCTCATCATCGGAGTCGTCGTCAATATCCGGTTCTGATTCTGTTCACCGTCGTGAGCGGCGTAGGGACTCGAAACATCGCAGGAGCTATGGTACATCGCGTAGAAGACGCTCAAGAAGTCGATCCTACTCCAGAATGGACTCCAAAGCACGGAATCGCCTAAAATCATCGACAAGACACCGTTCAAGACCAATATCTAGATCAAGATCGAGGTCGAGATCAAGTTCAAGATTAAGACCGAGATCAAGGTCAAGGTCAAGGTCAAGGTCGAGTTCAAGATCGAGTTCAAGATCAAGGTCAAGGTCAAGGTCAAGGTTAAGATCATTTAGATTCAGATCCATGACTAGATCCAGATCGAGGTCGAGACCAAGAACAAGATCCGGATCTCGCTCTCCATCTTTCCAATATGACAGAACTACTCATTATTATAGCCCGTCTTCTTCATCCAAGGGCATCAAGGTGGTGAAACCTCCACAGACACTGATTAGTAACAAACCAAATCATAGTGGCCCCCATTTCTCGTTACACAACAGTGGTGGTAACAGCATCAAAAGCGAGTCAAGGGGCAAGATTAGGCCAGAAAAAAAAGTAGGCTATCAAAATGGCTTAAATCTACAGACTGCCTTCCCTGGAGGTACGCCATCATCTAGTAGTGGAAAGCGGAAAGTCAAGGAGGATTTGAGTGCTAGGAAACTGTACCCTCTGGGCAAGCGTGACAAACCCTCGGATGATGAAAAACTGTGCAAGAAGCCTAAAATCTAAACAAGGAATTGGCATATCGTGACATAAACTTGAAGACAAATAAACAGCATTATGATCGTGCTCTTAGCCCTTGATTTTAGCACTTTTCAAACAACTAAAATGTCTTGCATTGTCATTGTTACGAAGCATGCGTATGCGTTTATGAACTAAGTGTTTATTTTATTTTAGGTTAAGACAAAAAATGTGATCTATTGTTTTTGTTGGCTTTGACTTCAAGTAAACACAACGGAACACTCTTTAGTAAAGTCTAAATGGCTATTGTGCTTTTTTGCCTTTTCTTTTTCTTATTTCCCCACAAAACCCATTAAAGAACATTTATAACCTTTCATACCCTCACAATCAACGCACCACAACAAAATGTCTGGATATCCAAATAATAACACAGCAGCTAATGAGAATATACAACAGCAGGACCAAAGCGACCAACTACCTATAACAGCCTTGATTAATGGTGTCCCATTGCCTGCGCCATCGCAGGTGCAGCCTGGGGCAGATGCACAACTCGGTGGTCAGTTGGACAGTGTCGAATACATATCCTCATCTCGTCCACCTGTAGGACCGTTGGACCTACCCAGTGATGATATGGCGAATGCGTCTCCTCCTGCACATCTTTCTCATCCTCCTATTCAGGCCCAGCACGGCTCTACTCCACAAAATGATATCAACAAGCAGTCCATGGGAACACAAACAGAACAACAGAATAATAGCCCTATAGTCCATGTTGCATCAGAGGAAGCTGTTGCTGCGGCACGATCCGCAAAAGCCGTAGATGCTGCGGATGCCGCTGCTCAATCAAGACGAGGTCGTCGTCGATCGTCCTTAGCCGTATTGGCGGATAAGTTTCGTGATAAGCCCTGGTCTCGATCACATTCGCGCGGTAGAGACAAAAGTGGAGAAAAAGATGAATTCACACAACCTCTTCCTCGTTCACGTTCGAATTCATCTTTTGGTCGCCGTCTATCGCTCACATTCTCTCGTCATGCTCATGATGAGGACGAAGAAGAGCATGCGGCGGCAGCAGGGCCATATAAAGCTGCCAAGTTGGCACAACAAGAGTATATGGCAAAAATCAGGGCTGAACAAGAGAGATTGGGTATTACACACAATGTTGATGGATTGCCAATACCTCAGCAGGATCAAGGGCAACGTCGTAGATCGAGTGTAACTCACCTCTTGGGACTGGACAAGCCCTTGTTGTCAAGATAATAAAAGGACGCCAGAATGATTGTTGGCTCTCCACCGTACCCACATCGTCCCTGCAACTCGGACTTTTTTCTTTTACTTTGCTGAATCTTTTTAATAATAAATCATCGAATTTGGAAAAATGTTAAAACCTTGTAAATGCAAACAGTATGAATGATCAATCAAAGCTGTCCGCATGGCATATTAAAGTACAGCCCGTTCCATTTGGTCGCGATCCCTTATATTTTTTGAATACTCTTAAATGTATTGGCAGCCAATTGACTCGCTTGTTATTGCAAGTGGTGTGACTGGTCACTAATCTGTCGAGCCAGCTTAAAGGAATCTTTGCGCAAAGCCTTTGTAGTCATAGGCGGGTCCGCCTCACCTAGAAACTACCGAGTATAAAAGCCAAAGAAACTTCCTTCTTAATAAAGTCTTCAGTTTTCCCCATATGTCTTATTCTTCACCTGCAGTTCATCTTGCCATTTATCTTTTTCCCCTTTTCACAACAAGCATTTGTCTTCCGGTAACTCAGTTTGTGAGCTCACCTATAAAGCTCCCATCTTTTCTTTTGACATTCTATGGCGCTGTTTGTAGTCAAGGTTATTTGACTCTATTTTCTCTTGTCAATCTTGTTGACACTCTTTGTCCTGCCTTTTCCTGATTGTGTCTATCTTTCTGTCCCTTAAGCAAAGATATTTTTTACAACAATGCCACCAAGCCAATTTATTAGGATTAAGATATGTGGGGTCTATATGTTGTCTAAATAGTCCTCCCCATAAAAAAACACCATCTAGACCAAGCATAGAAATAAAGAGATTAGTCAAGAAAGCACTGTCAAGCTAATACTTACAACTTTTTCAAGACGAAGGTCTTTCCCGACCTAGTCATGTTTGTAGTAGCTCATGAAAAATTTTAGACAGACAAATAGTAACCAGGGAGCAGAAGTGAGAATAGGATGTGGGTTCACACATCACATCCATGGGGCATTTATCCAAATTTGTATCAAAATAAAACTGCAAGTTTGTCTCGGGCACCACACCATGGGGCATAGAGCCGTTAGTATGTCTGTATTATAAATCTTCATGTAACACGTGTACTGTGGAATATGCAACTGATCATATCCTATTGTTGTTGCCGGATTGGTGTCTTTCCTCCCCATGGATTCAACGAAGGCTATTTTGATATCTCGAGTTTGGACTCAACCTGTCAGTGAGCATTGGTGCAACGCATATAAGGCACACAGGCTGTTGACGAGCCTACTTCTCACCTTCACCGTTTGACGCAGGTCAGGGTTGTGACGGTCTAGCGAAGAAAACGTAAGGGCATTAACAATACCAGGATCGCATTAGACGGTAGTTGTGGTATTTGCAGATGAAAATAGGGAAGAACTGCGCAAACCCAGCGGATCAAATAAAAGAAAAGGTGAGTCGACTCAAGCGGAGGACGACAAGTCCAATAGGCCAAGCAGGGATAAGGGACCAAGGAAAAAGTAGCGATCGTTTCTTTTACTTCTTTTTACTCGCCATTGTTTACGATAATGGCACAGACACAATTTTGTAATATAGCACTAATAGATAAATTAAAATATCGCTATTCAATAAACCTGAGCAAGGAGAAGTGAGCACACCAAGCGGATTGCCGCAGCTGCATCATCAGAATTTTCTCAAGCAAGTGGCAAGTTGTTTCTATTGTTTATTCCTATCTTTCCACCCATAAGTTTTGTGTTGGGGCCCGACAAGCCAGTCCAGGTCACATCAGAGGAGCATCCGATCAAGCAAGCATCATTCAAGGAGATGATTGATAATATTTACTGGATCATGCTTGCAGAGAAACCGATCAAACCTCGGAGAAAAGTGACAATATCACATTTCTCCGTTCCATGGTCCCAGGCGACATACACGTCAAGCTTAAAGTTTAGGAGCTCGTTATCAACAACGATCAGAGCGTTAAGGCAACACCTAGATATTTAAAACATGCGGACAGTGTGTCATAAAAACTCGCATCAATACCGCATATGCAGGAGGATCGCCGAGGTTCAAGCATGAAGAAAAGAGTCGAATGTCAATCAAGTGAAAGGAATTTTGCCTTGTAATGAAAATACCATATCTATTGAGTATCCTTTACAATCGTTCATCCTTTATGAACGAAGCCATCACTATCCACTTGCCCTTTTGACAAACGGGATGGCGCTTTTTAATCGGTCCTACACACACACCTAAATCACTAGCCTCATTTTTACCAATCATCTCTTGTTTCCATCATCTGCATTGCCATCTATTATTCTAACATTTTATTATTCTAACATTTGATCTACTCCACAATTCTCGTTTCCATCTCTCTGACCTTATTAAGCACACTATCTTAATTAAAGGTAATTAATTGATTAATTAGAGCATGATGACTCTTTTTACGCGAAATATACCATCCTTTTTTCTCATTCCTCGTTCGTTCTCAATCAAATCAATGTTCTGCGGCGAGAATGGCAGAAAAAAGAGAGCCTTTCCCGTGGTGTGTCCGACTTGGGAATTTTTTCAAATTTAAAAAAGAGACCTCCAGCCCAAATGTCAAGTTTGGTCCCAGCCTGAGAGAGAAGTGTCTGCAAGAGCAAGCCAGATTTGCCTTTCAGTACGTGCATGTGCACATGAACTTCGTCCTCCAGACTGGTGACGAGCCTATGACGAGCCTACGTGTCGTGGACTGCACTGCATTTTCTGCGCCTCATCGCCACCACTTAATTTTACAGCCATCAGCTCCTCTCTCTTCATTAGCAATCTCCTTTACTTTTACCCTTTCATCATCTCTGCTGTTCTCATTATTACTGCCCTTTATTTCGATATTTTTTATTTTTTTATTTTTTTATTTTTTTTTACTTTTTACGCGTCATCACCATTTTTTTATTTTGTGGCACTACTTTTTTTCAGCCTTTTCAATCTATCCAGCATCAATGCTCTTGCATTAATTAGCTCTATCCTTCCTCATTACCCATATTAGATCAATCTTTAGGTTTGTTAGCATGTTTATTTCCTGTTTGAATGAGCGCAGGCCCAGAAAAGACATCTGTCCAATATACACTGGTACTTTTTTAGCACGTTCCTTATTTAGTTCGCGGTAGGAAGTAGACGGAAAGTGGAGCACGGCAGAGTGGTCAACTGCTCTTTACTACTTTATTTTTATTTTTAATTTTTTATGTCACACTTTGCAAGATCCTAACTGATATTTAATGAGTATTGGACTTCTAGCAATGAGTTTTCAAGGAATCGCTCCTGAGCAAGTACAATGGCTAAAGGATAAAGTCAAAAAGGGAGAAGTTGTCTCCATGTGCGACTTTGCAGAAAATTCCAAGTACTTGTATGAAAAAGATGCCGAAAAGGCTTATGTGGCCCTTTTGAAAAATTCCACCGTTATCTCTTAAGCAACACGAATAGCTCTGCAGAACAACTACGAGGTTTGGAAGCGCAATGAGGGGCCAGCATTCTGGGCGTCCCAGAAAGCAGTGTTAGCAGCAACACATACTGCTGGTGAGTTAGTAACTGAAAGTGGATATGTGGCAAATAACCTGGCTCGGAAGGGCAGGATATCCATCGTCTCGTCACAGACAGAGGAATTGTTTGGTGGTATGATGGCTGTTATGATTATTATTATTATTATTATTGAATACTTGGGTACTTAGTATTTAACAATCAATATCTAGTCCAACGAAAAAGTCGAGTAGCACCCTTCCTGCCACCTAGACATCCTCCAACAGGTAAACACACCTGATAATGAGGAGTCTGGGCTAATCTCCTCCAGAATTCATGTATTCAATTAGCGTAATTAATATTGAAAAAGGGGGATTTTGATGCGTCAGTAGAGTAAGTATCGAAAAAAAAAATTCTCTGATCTATTTTTCATATTTATTTATTTACTTTTTCCTCAAACAGGCGAGGTCCCTTGGATACGAAGTTGTAGACGTTCAAGAGTATTACACTTGTGCTAAATGTCCTCGCCCCAACTGCAACGCTTATTTCAAGCGTTTCGGATGGCACAGACCATGTCTCAATAATTTAATAGGACATGGAGATATTTTACATTTTTAAGTGTCCAATCAATTTAATCATGCACGCGTATCGATCACTGAAGAAATCCATCATTGAACTCTGGTTATAGCATGGGGAGCCATGGACGATGTTTGGGGGAATGACGCCATTGAGATCTAATTATTTTTGGAAGGGTGTGAAACGGATTTATTCAAAGCCCATGATTTTTTCAATGATGTCTTGTGCGAATCCTGTACTTCAGGCTGGCTTGTGCGTTTTGTCATGAATCGGGGAAAAGGATAGGATCGCCAATTGCTTGCCTAGAATGTTTTCAACGTGAAGATGCGTTAAAAAGAAAAAGAAAAAACGATCCTCCTCCACGAACGCCACACTTCGGTTGCACTTATTTGTTGTGAACCACAAGTGTTTATTGTTAATATGTATAGACATATATTTACTTTTGATTCCATCAGATATACTCTCTAGCATGAACGGAATCGATCCTTTTACTCATCTCCTCAGAAAAGAGACTTGTGGAACCATTTTTTTTTTCTTTGCTTATAAAAATAACTTTATATAACATGTGCATGTACATGATCTTCATGGCTCAATAGCAAAGACGCTCTTCCTGAATGTTCTCTTTATTCATTTCATTCTTCCCTTCTTCCTGTTCTCTGTTCTTGTGAGCATCCAGCACAGTGCTGAACAGCATCATGGCGTTATTATTTTTATTTTTTTCCACGTTCATCTCCTTATTACATGATACTGCATCTTTTTTTTATGTCAGTCGTGAACACAAGCAAAAAAAAAAAAAAAAAAAAACATTTACACAAAAAAAAAACAAAAAAAAAACAAAACAAAAAAAAAAGAATAAGGAGGGGGAAGGATAGAAAGAAAGAAAGAAAGAAGAAGGAAGGAAGGAAAGAAAATAAGGTAAAGAAAAGAAAGAGAGTGTGTGGATGTTGTATGCGAGAGAGAGAGAAAGAGTGAGAGCGTTGAACGGGGTTCAATCAGCGACAAAGAGTATCAAGAGTTGTTAACCCAACAAAAAAAAAGAAAAAAAAAAAAAAAAAAGGTTCGTCGTATTGGACAGTTTGATCATCTAACGAACCAACAAAGGCAAAGGATGGCATTGCAGGACGTATAGAAAGCACTGGGATAGAACAAGGCCAACAAAGCTGTTTTTTGCTTTGTCCAAACAATGAATGGCGTGTTTAAATAAATAAAAAAAGTAGTGTAACCATTGTTTTCAACGTGACAACAGTCCTTGTTCAATCCAAGTTCCAGAGACTGGGCTGTGGGATGTGTGTAGTGAGATGTGGGGGAGAGGATGTAAGGATGTGGGGAGGAGAAAAAACACTTTTTCTTCCCCCATTGCATTTTCTCTTTTAAAAAGAGTGTAGAGAGAGAAAGAGATGTTCACTTAAATAGAAAAAGTAGCACAAACCCCCTTCGACCCCATCATAATGCAAATCTTTGTTTATGGGAATAACCCTTTTTTGTAATCAATGCGCTTTCTTTTCTAAACTTCTTTTCGACCCGTTATAACATTGTCCAAGGGGAAAATGAGAGGGGACAAAAGAAAAAAGAATCACTCCATTACCCATTGTCTTTTTTTTTTTTTTTTTTTTTCCAATTCCCATTTCATAATAAAAGAGCAAGGAGAGAAAGAGCGTCAAAAAAAAAGATATACAAATGGATATATTTCAGTTATAGTTAATGTCAATCGATCTCTTCCGATTCCTAAGCATATTAATAAGCGGGAGAAAAGAAAACTAGTCTAACAAGGATCCCCTCAGTAACAGCGAGCGAAGCAGATGTGAGCTCAAATTTAAAATGTAACCGGTTTACTGGCTCGAGTCGTAGTTTAAAGAGACGTTTTTGGTGGCAACCTGGATATAGATCCTTTGGAATAGGGTGTCATAGAGGGTGAGAATCACGTCGTTGACTCAGTGGATGCTACATACGTTTTCAAAGAGTCGGGTTGTTTGGGAATGTGGCTCAAAATGGGTGGTAAACTTCATCTAAAACTAAATATCGGCGAGAGACCGATACCGAACAGCCATTGCTCACAGACAAGGTAAATAGCAACGTATAACCGGAGTCATCGAGCAATATCAGAGAAGACACTGCTAACGACTCCCCCATGTTATTTTAGATGCGACAATGGGAACCAAGGCCGTGTTTACAAGACAATTAAGGCAAATGCACACAACCCTTGTATAAATGTCACATGCAGCACCAAACTTGGTTACCTCATGTGGGTCCGCTATTCATACGCGTTAGACTCGCCCCAGGTGATCATTTTTCAGTGGTGAAGGACTTTAGGTTTGGCACACAACGTCAAAACCCGCCCATGGACAGGGTACAGGTATGCTGAGCCATCCCGGGTAGCCATCCTGATGTTCCTGTCACGTGCATGATGCCTTCACGCAGAGCGAACGCACGCGTTCCGCAAATAGCTTGCTTTTTCACTCTCGCTGAGCGCACCCTGCATCATTTGTACGTTCTTTGATCAGTGTGTGAATTTTCAGATACTATGGCATTCATACCCGGACAAACCGTCTGCACAGCTTGCATGCATTCATACCCAGACAAACAGTCCGCACAGTTTGCATTAGTGACTTACAAAGCTCGTCAAGGAGCCGAATAACATATTGGTTTTCGCCTACATTATGCCCCAGAGGCCGTGATTGGCGGGCTGTTTTGCCTGCATCTTTAGATATCACTTTATTCTGCGGATGTTGTGTTCGAGTTGCTAACTGTACTATTGTTTTTTTTATCGCTTTTCTGTGCAAGGCGGGGCTCCCTCCTAGACACATTATAGGTCAGACGAGGCATGCTCTGAGTCTATGTGCTTCTGGCTCAGTTCTACCTATGACGCTCTGTGAGAGGGGCTCCGCCTTTGTATTGCACCAAAGGGAGTGTTTTAGTGGTCATCACACTGTCTGTCGTGAGATTGGTGCCTATCCACTAGCTCTATTGTACAACAGTGTTTAGTCTTCGCGAGATTGTGGAGAGCAGAAAGCCTGGTTAGGGTATAATGCTGGACCTGGTTTCACTTCCTAGGCTTTGTCCAAAGCATTATCAAAGATTCCAGCCGCTGATCTTTCTTTCAAGATGCAAGTAATACTAACACAAAAACTGACTCGCACAAAACCCATAGAAAGTGATATTAAATCTTCTTTCATGATACCATTTTTGTTATTTTAGTACGCAGTACTAGTATACCATACTGGACACTTGGTACTAAAATCAATACGATCTTTTTATATCTGTATGGATTCGGCAACATACCTCTAGGAAAAAGGACCGGAAAGGTCTTTTGTTTTTCTTTAGGCAGGGAATAAAAAATGAAAATGGTAAATGGTGCTAGATGCACTAAAAGAGTGGAGGAGGCAAGTAAATGGTGGACATGGTGCTGATATTTTTTTGTTGATTCTCACAAACTCATAGGCAGATCAGATCCAGTTTCTGTGCTCCCTACAAGCAGAAATCAGCCGCCTATTACATACAAAGGAAGGAAAAAAATCAGTAGAAAAAAATCAGCAGACACCATATATCAAGCTATGTCATCACGATGCACCATGTCCACCATTTACTTGCCTCCTCCACTCTTTTAGTGCATCTAGTACCATTTACCATTTTCATTTTTTATTCCCTGCCTAAAGAAAAACAAAAGACCTTTCCGGTCCTTTTTCCTAGAGGTATGTTGCCGAATCCATACAGATATAAAAAGATCGTATTGATTTTAGTACCAAGTGTCCAGTATGGTATACTAGTACTGCGTACTAAAATAACAAAAATGGTATCATGAAAGAAGATTTAATATCACTTTCTATGGGTTTTGTGCGAGTCAGTTTTTGTGTTAGTATTACTTGCATCTTGAAAGAAAGATCAGCGGCTGGAATCTTTGATAATGCTTTGGACAAAGCCTAGGAAGTGAAACCAGGTCCAGCATTATACCCTAACCAGGCTTTCTGCTCTCCACAATCTCGCGAAGACTAAACACTGTTGTACAATAGAGCTAGTGGATAGGCACCAATCTCACGACAGACAGTGTGATGACCACTAAAACACTCCCTTTGGTGCAATACAAAGGCGGAGCCCCTCTCACAGAGCGTCATAGGTAGAACTGAGCCAGAAGCACATAGACTCAGAGCATGCCTCGTCTGACCTATAATGTGTCTAGGAGGGAGCCCCGCCTTGCACAGAAAAGCGATAAAAAAAACAATAGTACAGTTAGCAACTCGAACACAACATCCGCAGAATAAAGTGATATCTAAAGATGCAGGCAAAACAGCCCGCCAATCACGGCCTCTGGGGCATAATGTAGGCGAAAACCAATATGTTATTCGGCTCCTTGACGAGCTTTGTAAGTCACTAATGCAAACTGTGCGGACTGTTTGTCTGGGTATGAATGCATGCAAGCTGTGCAGACGGTTTGTCCGGGTATGAATGCCATAGTATCTGAAAATTCACACACTGATCAAAGAACGTACAAATGATGCAGGGTGCGCTCAGCGAGAGTGAAAAAGCAAGCTATTTGCGGAACGCGTGCGTTCGCTCTGCGTGAAGGCATCATGCACGTGACAGGAACATCAGGATGGCTACCCGGGATGGCTCAGCATACCTGTACCCTGTCCATGGGCGGGTTTTGACGTTGTGTGCCAAACCTAAAGTCCTTCACCACTGAAAAATGATCACCTGGGGCGAGTCTAACGCGTATGAATAGCGGACCCACATGAGGTAACCAAGTTTGGTGCTGCATGTGACATTTATACAAGGGTTGTGTGCATTTGCCTTAATTGTCTTGTAAACACGGCCTTGGTTCCCATTGTCGCATCTAAAATAACATGGGGGAGTCGTTAGCAGTGTCTTCTCTGATATTGCTCGATGACTCCGGTTATACGTTGCTATTTACCTTGTCTGTGAGCAATGGCTGTTCGGTATCGGTCTCTCGCCGATATTTAGTTTTAGATGAAGTTTACCACCCATTTTGAGCCACATTCCCAAACAACCCGACTCTTTGAAAACGTATGTAGCATCCACTGAGTCAACGACGTGATTCTCACCCTCTATGACACCCTATTCCAAAGGATCTATATCCAGGTTGCCACCAAAAACGTCTCTTTAAACTACGACTCGAGCCAGTAAACCGGTTACATTTTAAATTTGAGCTCACATCTGCTTCGCTCGCTGTTACTGAGGGGATCCTTGTTAGACTAGTTTTCTTTTCCCCCGCTTATTAATATGCTTAGTGATTTTACTTGATTTGAGATCGAGTTTTGTGAATAAAATTCTATTATCACATTTCCTGCGTCAGCATAAGCACAGGCAAAAAAGTTGGAAGGCAGACAAAAAAGGGCTCTTTTCCCTTCATTTCATTCGTTCTTTTTTTTTTTGTTTGTTATTGTTATTCGTTGTTATTGTTATCATATCATGTTGAAAGTGCTGGAGTTGAATTAAAAACCATTTGCATTTAATAAATTTTTTTTTGGTGGCTCGAGGGAAAGAGAAAGTGTATGTGTATTGTGTGGTGTATCGGTCTATCACCAAAAGTTTACTTTCTACTGTCTACTTTCTGTCGATGTAGTGCGAATAGACTGACTAATGAGAATGAGACCAATAAAGTTATAGCCTCCTTCACGAGTGGAAATGGATCAATTTTCAGGCATCTCTGCACACATCCTCCAACACCACATCACACCGATCTCTTTATTTTCTTTTTCTGTCTCTCTGTCCCTGTCCCTGTCCCTGTCCCTGTCCCTGTCCCTGTCCCTGTCCCTGTCCCTGTCCCTGTCTCTGTCTCTGTCTCTGTCTCGTGCAAGGAAAAAGACCTGATGTGAGAATGAGAGTCAGAGTAAAAATGAGGGTGAGGGTGAGGATGAGAGCAAAGAATGAGCAAGAGAGATTGAAAAAGCACGAGTTTACAGAATCGGAAGAGATCGATTGACATTAACTGTAACTGAAATATATCCATTTGTATATCTTTTTTTTTGATGCTCTTTCTCTCCTTGCTCTTTTATTATTATTTTTTTTCCTGGAGGCGGACAACAGGCTAGTTACCTCAACGGTCCAGCCCATGCTCATTTTTTTAAAAAAAAAGCGAGGGCTTGGGCAGGCGCCTAAAAGAAGGAGTAAAAGGTATGTGTGAGAGAAAGGTTTTTCCATTTTGAAGGTTTACTCTCTTCCCTCCCCCCTCCATCACACTCTGCACGATCATTCTCTCCATTCATTCCTCCTAATCGACTCATCTTCTTTCATCCAGTCTTCTGTTTACATCATTGCCATCTTTTTCCTTTCTACGCCCTCTTTCTACTCTTCCCTTTCTGTGTCACAATCCACTTTCTCTCTCCTCCACAGCCCAAACATCTCCTTTCTGCTCTCCATCATCCATTTCTATTCTTCCTTTCCCTTCCTTTCCTTTCTGTCTTCCCTTTCTTTCCTTCTTTCCCTTTTTTTTTTTTTTTTTTTGGATTTTCTCTACGACTCACTAAAAAAAAAAAAACTTTTTCACTGCATAATTTTCTTAATTTCACGCTTCTGCTAGTTCAATCCTGTGCAGCCCTATTTCCTTTAACGGCTAATTCGAATAGAAAAAAAAACTTGCGAGAAGACACGCTAAGAACAAAAAGGCAAACAAAGATTCTTCTCTCCTTTTATTATTCTCTTTCTCGTAACAAACTACCAGACCAGCACAACAAAAAGGGAATTAAAAAGAAAAGAAAAGGAAAAAAAAAAAAACCCCCCCCCCCTCCCGATCATCATGGTCAACCTTTCCTCTCAGAGCCTCTTGCGAGGACTCGTTCTATCCCTCTCACTCTCCTCTCACATGTTCCTCACCTCTAATGCTCAAGGTTCAACAGCAACACCGCCTTCTACTAGACCAACAACAACATCTTCATCTTCACCTTCACCTTCACAACCCGCATCCTCCATCAATGCTCCTAGTGGCTTTGTCGGCGTTGCCTCTGCTGCCAACAAAAACTTTATCTTCTATCAAGGGGGTCAAGTCAACACAGGATCGGTCAGATTCACAAACGACCTCTTTTCCCTGGATCTCACAAAGACCTGGCCTGTTCATTCTCCTGCTTGGACCAACTTGACTCTTCCTTCCAGTGGTACCTTGACTGGTCCCACAGTCTCGGGACATGATGCGACCATGTCTAAGGATGGAACCACTCTCTTAGTCACCGCACCCACAGAATCACAGGGAACACCCTTTTTGTACCAGTACAACATTGCTGCAGGTTCTTGGTCTACTATCGAAGCACCTTCTGCGTAAGTTTTTTAATTTCCGTTTATTACTTTTTTTTATTTATTTTATGCATGTCATATATGAACAAAAAAAAAAAAAAAAGGCAGGCGGAGAGAGGAAAAAAAAAAAAAAAAAAAAAAAAGAAGAAGGGGTGAGCAAAGGAATGTTGGCAATTGTATTGTACTGCGCATCCCCCAGGAACAAAGAAAAAAAGAACCCAATTTGACATTTCCTCCCCTCCATGTGGCGGTGACCTTGGCTTGGATGGATGAATAGGAGAAGGTCCTTGCGTATCTTCTTTTTGTGATTGGTCAGAAGAATACAATTAGAATTTGCTACAGTATTTGCAATTAGAGAGAAAGAGAGGAAAGAAAATCGCTCTCATGACAATACCACACAACTCAACTCTTATGTGTGTGTGTTGCTCACGGTTGTACAAATGTTTTTCCGCTCTTTTGTTTTTGAATCTTGGTACCTGGGTTCTAATAACAAGTATATTTATACATATGCTTTTTTTTTTTTTTTTTTTTTTTTAAATATTTTATTTTCCCTTAATAGTCAAGCTTCAAAGTGGGCGAGCAGAAAGGCAGCCAATTTTGTAACAGATCCTGCTTCGGGTATCTCCTGGTTATTAGGTGGAGCATTCCCTGATGGTAGCAGCACAAATGAGATTGATCGATTTCAGGACAATACCTGGACTGCCAACTTGATCCCTTCTAGTAATAGCAACAATAACAATGGCGGTGCACTGAACAATTTCAATTCTGGCACAGCGCATATCTTTAATAACAGGATCTATATCTTTGGAGGCTTCAGTTCAACAGCTGGTCGACGAGGTTACCAATCTTTCCAGAGTTTACCCTACATTGACGTCTCTAATCCAGATACTCTCACGCATGGCGTTCAATTCACTCTGGGTCAGGTTCCACCACCTCGCCAAGATCATTGTAGTGTTATCACTGCCAGCCATAAAGTCATCATCTTTGGAGGCTATGATGGAAACTCTAAACTCTCTCTTTCCGATGTCTGGTCTCTGGACCTCATCACCTGGACATGGTCTCAGATCGTGACCACAAACTCAAACCAACCTCGTCATGGACATACATGTGATATTGCAGGCGCCAACATGGTAGTCTATGGAGGCATGGCCGCTGTCGCCCTCAACTCCCCCCAGATCGCGTACGGAAAGGATGTTCAGGTCTATGATGTCATGCTCTCCACTTGGATGAAATCTTATGCTCCTAAACAGGACACCACCACGACTTCACAACCCCTCCCCGGGACCGGCGGCTCCAATTCTGGATTAGGCATAGGCCCCATCATTGGGATCGTCATTGGCGTGGCCTCCGTCATTGCTTGTATCGCTGCATTCTTTATTTACAAGCGTCGACAGAAACAGATTGAGATCAGGGAAGCTGAAATGGAGAAGGAAGCCTATTTGGCCTCGTTGAGGCCCGAAGGAAGCAATAGTAAACCAGGCAACGGCGGTCAGTCCCCTACTTCCCCTAGATCGGCTCGTTTGGCCGCTGGCAGCTCCAGCATCAATGGTTCCATCATCTCAACTCCTGGAATGACTCACGCTGGTGCATATAATGGAATGGATGAACTCTTGTTGAGCAACGCTGCCGCTTCCCCCGCCATGGGTGGTCAAGCTCAGGGTAACGTCCAATATCTGATGCAACACTTGCCTGATGGCACCATCGCTGTTCAACCCGTGTATTTGGATCATCAGACTGCTCTTCAGATGTCTCCTAATCTTGCTGACCTCACCTCTGGACCTCTTCATCCTGGAAACGGATATGCCAGCCCTCTTGTCACTGGCAGCACTGTCGGTCCTGCTTCCTCCGCTGGTTATTTTGCTCCGCCGCCCCAACAAAAGTCTCAGGTCACTTATCCTCAGCCAACCCATGATCCTTTCGCTTCTCCTTCTCTTCCTAATGCTCCTTTGCCCCCAGGTTACAACCCTCCTCCTTCTGTTGGAGCCACAGGTCTTAGTAGTCCTCAGCAAAGGTCCACTCAACTACGTTAGAAAAATAAAAAACATTAATGACCTCCTTCATGAGCAAAATAAAATAATAAAACTATAAAAAAAAAAATAGGTCTTTCTTGCTTTTCCATTTTTTACACGTTGTGAATATATTTTATTATGTGTACAAGTTTTTTTTTTTTTCTTCTTGGTATAAGATGAATGACAAAAGTGAGAAAAAAAAGAAAAAAAAAAGAAAAAAGAAAAAAGAAAATAGAGATTGAAAGCGAAATGAGTATGAGACTATGTAAAAAAAAAAAAAAAATAAAAAAAAAAATAAAAAAAAAAATAAAAAAAATAAAAAGAGAGTATCCAGCTTTTTCCCTCAATCCCTTTCTTATGGGAAGTTGCTCATGTCAACCTCAGGATTGGCCATCTGCTGCTGCTGTTCAATCACAATATTCGATGTTGCATGCTGTTGCTGTTGTTCTCGCTGCTGTTGCTCTCTTTGTTGTTGTTGCTGCTTCAGCTGCTGAATGGTTTGATGCTGCTGAGGTTGAGGCGATATGAACTGTTGAGGCCGATAGAGTTGTTGCTGCTGCTGTTGTTGTTGTTGTTGTTGTTGTTGTTGTTGTTGTTGTTGGTAATAGTTCTGCTGCTGTGGCTGTGATTGGCTCAATGTTGGCACAGCCTCACCGGAACTTGACCTAGGTGGCAATGTAGGCATAAAAGTGCCATTCTCCTGAGACATCACGGGCGATGGTGCATGTCCAGCGATTCGTCTGGTAGGAGGTTGTGGTGGCGGCACGTTACTGTGTGGCCCCAAACTACTGAAGGAGCCTTGACGCTGACGCGTAAAATTGTGAGGGAATCCATTGACGGCCGCAATCGTCACTGCTCCTTGTCCCTGCGTTGATGGAGGCGTAAGCGAAGACGCAAGTGGAGTCATTGGAGATAGGGTTGTTGCAGGCACATCAGTAGAAGCACCTGGTGAAGCCTGTCCGCTGACGCCACCATTGATCTCGCTCTTGTTGCCATTCATCGCTGGCTTCTCAGGTGGACCGAAAAGTTCAGACGTATTGACGATCAAAAATTCAATGGTCATATTCTTGTAAACCATATCCATGATCTCGCGACTAGGATCAGGATTTCGCATCAAAGTGGGACCAAAGACCACAGACAAGTTCTTGGGTGTCATCAAGTTGATACTCTCATGCTCTGTGACCCTATTGAGATGATGGAGCAAAGTCCTAAGAGTCTCATAATGAGCGACATGCATACGTGCCAACAAATCCCGGAAGACTTGATACTTGGACTCCCCGTGCGGCAGCGCAATGGCCTCCATAAACTCATCATAAAGATCAAAAGGAACAAGAGGCTCAGGCAAACTGCGGAGATACTGTTTCAGGACAGACGTAATCGAACAGATATCTTGATAGAGCGACTCATCCATAAGGTCAGGATAAACTCCAATATCGTATGCCTGTACCAGCTGCCTTGCCTCTGCAGCCATACCAGAACGACGGTAAATACCCTCGACGTCCAAGCCACGCTCATCAACAGCCTCAATGCATTTTTCAACAACAAGTGGGATGGTTCGTTGCTCAATCTCCAGTTGGTCAACAAGACCGTTACCAAACATGATCTGCTTAGCAGGCGGTGTAGGGGGCGTAGGTGGGAGTCCGTGACCGCTTCCTGCGCTAGAATTGACACCACGAATGCTCGAGGAATCTGAATCCTTGGGCTTGCCTGGACATGAAGGCACAGACTCGTGCGTGCAGCGTCCATGGATCTGGAACCCACAGGCTAATGGTAAAGAAGAAGAAGAGTTAGAAGGAGAAAAAAAAATTAGATTCTTTCACATCATTATCTAGCATATTACATTTAAAATAAGGAACTTACTACGACATTTGTATTCACGGCCTCGAAGCTTCTCATCGCAATACTCGCAGCGTGTTGGCTTGGAGTAATTGTGCTGAATAAAGTGATGCAGCTCTGGGATGCGTCCGTTAAGAGAGCCAGTCTCGCTGTTCACAGAGAATGATCTTGTTGGTGGGAGAACCTGACTGTTGGAGCTTCCATTATCTGTCAACATTCCTGTATTGGCCTTATTATTGGGGACGTCCAATCCTGTACTGGGTCCTTCTACAATAAGCTTTCCAAACATGGCTCCAACAGATCGGACCGTGCCAACGCCTGTGTAAAGCGTGTTCATGGTACCCTTCTTCCAGTTGAACTTCTTGGGAGCGACAATCTCCTCTCCAAAAATATCTTCTTGGATTTCGTCAGACTTTTTGCCTTTCGATGACGGGCGACCTTGTTCATCAGAGTGGGTCGAGTTGAATGAGTAGGTAGAATCGCTGCTACGGGCGACAGTTAACTGTGATGCCTTAAGCTCTTGCTGGTTTCCTCCACTCGCTTGCCGTTGTCTCCTCATCTTGCCTAGGGAGAACATACTTCCGCCACCGCTATTTGCAGCTGAAGATGGTGCAACTGGAGGTCCAGGCCTGCGTTCTTGCAGTTCTCTCATCATGTCATTATTCATAGCAGATAGTTCAGCATTTCGTACGCTCAGAATCTGCATCTCGTCTAGGACGCCATCACGTTGCTCGACATAGGTTTGAATCTCACGCTGGAGACGCTCTTTTTGCTCCTGAAGAGCCTTGACCTCCACTTGGTATGCTTGCTTCATCAGGTCGTGGCTTGTACTCATACGAGGATTGGATGACGCTGTAGGCTGAAGTTTATCGGCACTGTTGCTTGCAAGCGCCTCACTCTTGGCTCTATTATAGCGTTAAAAAAAAATAGTCAGCTGTCAATCCAAATCATGTCTCGCATTTATTTACTTTGATTCACATTGTTTAGGCACAACAACAACAAAAAAACTTACTTTAATTCTTCGTTCATAGCCTCAAGATCCATTCCAAGAAGATCCTTTTCGATATACAGGTCGCGAATAGCTTTCTCCAACTGCGCATGTTTTTGGTTCAACTTCTCAGTCTTCTCAGCCAAAAGACCATACTCCTGTTGAGGGGTTCCATGAATTAAAGGACTCATCGGGTTATACTTGGCCAGTTCGAGGCGCAGCTCACGGATCAGCACAGCAGCCTCAGCCGGATTCATCATATCCTAAAATAGGATCGTATTTATAACAAAAATTGTTAGTCATCTAGAACATTAAAATCATCAGGAGGCAGGGAAGGAGGCGCTGTAATCTACAGATCCTATTTATGGTGAGCCTGAGGAACGAATTTGTTTGAAATTCTATACGCAAATGTCTTGGGTTTACCTCCATGTTCTCAACAGTAGGAGATGCGGATATTGAGCTGTTCATAAAGCGATCCGAGATGCGCTTGCTACCGGAGGAGGTACTGGAGTTGGGACTTTCTAAAGGTGTCTTGCTGCCCCCATTCAAACTAGACTTGTCGCTATTGTTCAGAGATGTTGAGCTCAGTTGTGCGTCAGCTCGAGCGATACTGAGTCTATAGGAGCTGGCATCTTGTCCATTAACGAGTTGGATATCCTTAGATGAAGGAGTGGAGGGCATTGATGGAGAGGCTTCCTTGCTATCCTTTTCAGAGCCACTCAACATATCTCCTAGGTCAAATCCACTTGGTACAATGTCATCTAGGCCAAACGCAAGTGGTGGTAAGAATGGTGGTCCAATATCGACTGAAGGAAGTGCGCTTCCAGTGGTAGGGAGGTTAGGAACAGGTTTTGAAGTGGATTCAAGCCGAGGTGATGGTACTGGTGGGGTATTATTGTTTGAATGAGTGCCATGATAGTTGGATGGAGTAGGTTGAGGAATCCTTGGCAAGTCATGATATGTGCGTGGAGTCTCTTGGTGATGATGTCTCTCTGGAAGGAGATTAGTGGGTCTAGAGGGATTGATAGTTGAAGGATGCTTTTGCTGTTGCATCTAGGAAACAAGAGATGATAGAAATGGTGTGTTAGTCCAACCGAATGGAAAGAGCAAAGAGCTTGTGAAAAAAAAAAAAAAAAAGAAAAAGGAGAGAGAAATGCGTGATGCACGAGCAATATGGAGAAAAAGGAGAAAGGATTGTTCGGATGAAAATAAAAAAGCCGTTTTTAATATCCATAGATCCTTTCTTTGCGAACATACTTCTGATTCTGGGATCGTTGGCAGCGACTTTTCTAAGGCTCGCTCCGCTCTTTCCATGCGTTCACGTTCTTCCCGCTGACGTTTGGCTTCTTTCCGTTCCTGATGACATTTCATACAGTAGATACCCTGAGATGTCTTTGCGAACACCAGATCCTCAATCTTGGCATCACATTGAGAGCATCGAAAACAATCAGCATGGTATGCCTCATCACCTGTATTTCATAGTAAAGAGAGGAGGGAAGAAAAAAAAAGGTAAGTGAGTATGGAAGAATGAGGTTCTCGTCTCGTATGCTTCTTCCCCTTAAAGTAGGAGTATCTGACTCTCAAATGTCATGATGGCTACCATCTCTCCTCTTACTCCAGAGTTACAAGAGCGATTTAGGCTTCTCCTTTGCTCTTTGTAGACTTGATCAAAAGAAAAGTGAATATTAACCTTACCTGTCATGATAGCCTCATCTAGGATAGGTCTCCGACAAGCACTGCAGCTATAGGAGCATTGCTCACAGATAGGAGAACCATCCGAGAGTAGCAGTAAATTACTGTCGCACTCGACCCTATTCTTGCACTTTGCACATCGGAAGCTATTAAAGTGGAGACAACAAACAAGTATTCAAGCAATGGATAGGAGGACAAAAAAGAGAAAGGGGAAGAGAAAGATTGGATGAAGTTATGGAGTAGGTCCGAATCCAGATGGAGATCAAGCAACAGACATAGGCATGATTTGGCGGGGCAGACAAACAGGCAGATGGAAGGTTTGAAGGACAGCAAATGGCAAAGTTGTCGGATAGAAGATATACATCCAGGTACAGGCGCAGAGGTACCAAGAAGTATAATAATATGATAATAATAATAATAATAATAAAAAAATAAAAAAAATAAAAATAAAAATAAAATGAAACGATCAACAATTAGTGTCTGTGCATGGAACCCCAGATCCTGGCTGGCAATTCATTCTATCCTGACCGCAGGACAAGAAACTCATTGTCTGATATGACTCTTCTCTTTCTTCTTCAGTTGATGTTCCAAGGTGAGTAGCAATTAAGGAGTTGTGGAAGAATGAACATGTACGATGCATATGTTGCTTATTCCACCAAAAACAATAACAACATAAAAAAAGGGTACATTTATCCACGCGGATATTGATATTGGTACATTAGACAATTGCATCCCAATGCATGGTGTATATAACATCAATGTGTTTCTTAGTTAGGCACACAAAAAATATAAAAAAAGAAGCACCACTCGGACCAACTGGCTTGTGCCTCCCTAGTTCAGGTACAGAATTAGAAGAGATGGTGTGCTCCAATGGTGTGTTTCTCTTTCTCTTTGTTCAAGCTTATGATATAAAGAAAAATAGTATAAATATAATTACTTGCCATTGCACATGCCACAAACCTTCTCCAAAGGCTACAACACTGCCTTCTTCAATGGAGCGATGGCAACCCAAACATACGGGATCTTGGTCCTCCATGAGATGATGAGCTTTGTTGAAATGAGTGCAGGGTGCTGGATGACTGGATGACAAGTAATGTGTGAGAGGTGGCTCGGAGTATTAAAATAAAGAAAATAAAAAATAAAAAATAAAAAACAATAATAAGAGCACAAGGAGAAAAGGCGGGACGATGAAAGAAACAAGAATAAAAGTTAATGTCGAGAGAAAGAGTGGTGTGGTAAAGTCGTGGAATGGAACAACAACAGGAGCGATTGGAACGCGAAGGGAATGGAGCGTGAGAGGCGTGAGATGTCGAGAGACTGGCAAGACAGGATGGAGGAAAAGAAGATGGCGGCAGAAGAAGAAGAAGATGTCGGGATGAGAGAAAAAGGATTAAAAAATAAAAAAATAAAAAAGAATAAAAAGAATAAAAAAGACAAAAAAGTAAAAGAGGGTGTGTATGGGGTGTATGAGATGGAGATAGAGAAAGAGATAGTGCGGATGTGGTGCTCGTGCAAGAGAGCCGTGGAGAGACAGACGAACAGAATCAGCCAGAAAGAGAAAGAGCAAAAAGCCAGAATCAGAGCAGAAACAGAGGAGCATCAAAAAAATAAAAGACAAAGAAAAAGAGAAAAAGATTGGAAAAAGAAAGAAAGAGGAGCGAGAACCTAATGAACCCTTTTTTTTTTGTTACTTGACACACCATTGCACATTATTTCTTACAGAACATCATTCATTGCCTAATGAGATGTGGTGATGAAGAGGTAAGGGATAATAAAAAACGATGAGATGAAGATGCAATGGATTCATTGCCAAACAGATATTTTTCACACAGACAAATGCCAAAATGTCTTCCTTTAATGCGCTCCACGCCCATGTGTCCTTGTGTTCATTGTTCAGTAATTACTTTCTCTCAAATGACTTTTGGTGCAACAACAAAGTACAAATGCTGACCTACTTTTAGACCATCGCCATCTGCTTCCTTCCTTGCTGTTGTCATCCTGACTGAACTACAATGTAAACATTAGAAGACTTTGAGACAGATGAGATTGGCAGCAACAGTAAAAAAAAAAAAAAAAAAAAACAGTGAGCCAGCCAGCACAAAAGGAGGGGCTTTACTAGTTTACTAGCGCCTTTCGTTCCTTTGTTCTGTGCCCTTTGCTAATTACAACTCGACACAACCACAACAATTGTTGAACTTGCACAACGTAATGCCTCAAAAAAAAGAGAGAGAGAGAGGTCAATTGCCCTTTTAAGAACTCTTTGTGATCTTTCTTCCAGTACTCATCAAAGATCTATCTGATTATATTTCATTTCTCTTCTATGGCTACAGCCAAGTAAAGATATCCTTACCACATCAAACAGGGCTCATCCTCCGAAAGCACTTTAGCCCATTAGATCTTCCCTTGTCGTCGTTGTTTTTTTTTTTTTTTTTTTTTTTTTTTTTTTCCCGGCTCGCATATCCTTTTTAAAATTGGGCGTTCATAGACGCATTGCTTGGTCAGCGCCATCTTCCTCTACATTCCATCGCGTTCTTCTCACTGGATGCTATTCTTAAAACATGCACAAGAAGGATACACACAATCTTTGAATCTGCTTTGGTTAAGTTTTTGACGAGCGTCTTGCCTTTTATTTTTGGTAGAGCACATATACAACACGAGCATTCACAAGATAATCTCAATGGAACAAAGACAGAAAGTCAAAAGCAGATTATAAAATGTGTCATCCTTTTTTTTTTTTTTTTTTTTTTCTAAGCTTCTAGAGCAATCCCCAACTCAGCGAATTCCTCCCTGCTGTGATAAACCTACCAGAAGGGATGAAGCAGAATGTTGTGCGACATTGTGGATATTCGCTGATGACTGAGCCCACGGTTTAAATTTATACACACCATTAGAGAGGAGAGGATTTAATGTTTAATATTTAGTTGCGTACAAAAAACCTTTGTTATTTTATTTTTAATGAATAATATTATTCATGGCGTATGGCTGCATGCAATAGTACATATAACTTTTTTTTTTTCCCTTCAGTTTCTATAAGCGACGTTTTTTTATTTCCTTTTCAAAGAGAGCAAAAGGAATATCTGTCGTCCGAAAGAAACTTTAACGTCGCAGAATATGGAAGTTCTTTCTACATTCAAGCTTCTAGTTCTTTGTTATCAATCATTATACAGATATACAGAGATATCAATGTTGATAGTCTTTTTATGATTATTTTTTCTTTTTTGTTTATTTGACACGGAGAATATACAGACACGAATCATTAAAAAAAAAAAAAAAAAAAAAAAAAAAAAGTTATTGATCATACTATTATAGACCAAATAGAACCGATTACCTTGGCTTTGTTTTCCAGCTCATTTCAATAACATTGCGCGTCATTTACGCTAGCGTCAAAAAATCTTACAGAATCAGGATTGGTCAGGGAGTTTGTCCATCTTTCACAAAAGAAAAAGGTGGTCCCTGTTTATATAAAGTAAATACATTGGTACATACATCTTATACTATATAAGTATATTACAACTTTTATTGATCATGGAATAATAATTAGCAAAAAAAAAAAAAAAAAAAAAAGCAAAAAACTAGGGTTATTTCCATCAGCGTGTTCATCTTATTCGCGGAACCAATGCTGAGAATTTGTTTTCTTTTTTTCTATGTCAGCGTGTCTATTTCTCCGCGTAGGAATAAGCATTTTGGTAGTTCATGTGTAACATTGCATTTCATTTGAGCACCCGAATAGGGGCAAGGGCGTTTCATCTTACACACTCTGTGCACGTGCTCATGCAGGCACCAAAATAAAAAGTATTTAGACAAAAAAGGGTCTTTTTATTTCCGACTATGGAATGCTACGATCCCTCTTCCTCTTTTCTTTTATCTGTTTCTAGATTCAGCAATAGTGTGATCAAAAGCAACGGATCCTTGCTCAACTAACATGTCCATTCCACACAGACCCTTTTGTGTTCTATAGGTCTGTCATAATGTAATGTTATATCCGACAAGTCAAATCACTTGCATGTACATAAAAGACCACAGTCTCCTATCATCACCCCTCCTTCATTAAGCTTTGTTACAGCCCTACAAACATGGCTATTATCTAAGCTTGAAGCCCCTCCATACAGCAGTCCTACACCACTTTGGTCGCAGTTACTGAAGCAATCCCCTGAGCATTCTATACACTCTGTAGTGAGAGCGTATATCATAATCATTCAATCTAATAGCGGTCTGCATCCCTACTGGAATCTATCTCCTATCTTTATCCATAACACTTGGTTGCTATTCCATTACAATGGAGCGTAGAATTCTGCTTCCCTCCAACAGTCCCTTCAACTCCAGATGAACCATGTCGGAAACTTATACTCTTCACTAACACCGGAGGCGAGTAAAATGCTTATGGTGACTAGAAGAATTCATGCATAACTATTATGCATCCAATTCATTGACGTATACTTAGTGTCAACTCCGAAGTCAATGATTTAATAATTATAGAATATCAACCAAATTTGACCATTATCTCGTAACTAGAATGTTAACTTCATTCATCTAGAAATATTTGAAGAGAAACCATCGACTCTTACTGAAGACAACAGCGCACAGTAAACTACTGTAACTGATAAAAAAACTCCTCCCTTTGTCTAGAAAGACAAAGTCTTCTCTCAATAAATTCTAGAGTATGATGGAGGTGACAATATCAGAAGATATAGCCCACATGTTTTCAATTCCTGTCAAATGTCATCATTGCATTTGCTTCAAAGATCATATAAATCGAAAATTCTTGAAAGATCTTTCACAGCCGCCAAGCTTGCAAGGAGGGGAAGAAGGACCTATTCAAAAAGGCCAATAATACTTGCAAGGTCTTTTTTTTTTTTTTTTTTTTTTTTTTTTTTTCGGCAATGCCCGAATATCATAATATATCTTATATATTTATAGCAACAATAACATGCACTTCTTTGGGCCTCTTTCTATAAACACGAATTAAAATAGCAGGGCACTGGCGGCTCAAAATATACTCGTGACCATATTTTGCTTTTTTTGTTTGCCTAGGAAAATGATTCTCAGGCCACTCACGCGTCAGCCAATCAAATTGAGGGAGTTGTCTCCTATTTTTTGTTTTAGGACAGAATATTTATAAATGGATAAAGTAGGCAGAACGATTGAAGTGATCAGCGATCAACAACAACTATACACGTATACTTGTGTAAGCATTGCGGAGAGGAGGGAGAAAAGGAATCGAAGATGCAGTCTAACTAGCACTCTCGTGGCACAAGGCTATTTCTTTCATTTTTTTTATTTTTATTTTTATTTTTATTTTATTTTTTTCATGTTAAGGCATGGCTATGCTCTATTGCTGCCTATTATTCCCGCATGCATGCATGCTAGCTACTCAAGCGAAGAAAACAAAGATGCATTCTGTCTGGCGGTCAAATCCTTGCTGGAATACACGCATATTCAAGCTATAAGAGAACGTTTATCCACATACCATTGATGTCATCTTGGGGAATAATAAAGGAAATGTGGAATTGGTTAGTTTTAAGAGTGCTTCTACGCAGAAAGAAATGCTCTTTCATATACTCAAGGCAGGAGACATTGGTCATCTTTTTAATGTTTAGCGATATAGTGTAGTCTACAATGTATGAGAGCGAAGATCTCCCTTTCTTTTCTTTTCTTTTCTTTTTTTTTTTTTTTTTTTTTTTTTTTTTTTTGACATCGCTGTTATTGTTATTGATGTTGTAAAGTACTACATTTTTACCGTCCTTTTGTTGATATTTTAAAGGGGGATGGGGGTGAGGAAGGATTACTTTCCGCGCCTGAGTAATATAATACGTAGTCAAGTAAAATAACTACAGGCGTCCATACCTATCCTGACATGGGCTGTGCAAGTGATACCTTCGGATACGATTATGAATGTATATACTGCTATATTTCCTTCGTCGACCAAGCGATGAGTAGTTTACTGTGCGTGCCATTTTCTGCGCTCCAGGCTACAACACAGGTGGACATTTTGTGTGTCGTATGTTTTATCTGCTGATTCTAATATCAGACACAGTAAACAGTTTTTTTTTTTTTTTTTTTTTTTTTTTTAGAGTCGGCTTTTTGGCAGAAACAAAAGGTTAAACAAAGTAAGGTTGCAGATGCAGCTTGGCTTACTGAGTGATCATGCCATTGTCCACCATTGAGCTCGCCCAATCCAAATTCAAGTGAAGAATTGCTCACTTCGCTCGCCTGATGGATGCATTTTTATTTATTTTTTTGTGTGTGCGAATGCCAAAACAATTTTGTCAACAGTAAATTTGCTGAACATTGCAGTGTCCATACTCTAAACCTGTTTGTAACACAACAGTAAAGTGGGAAAAAGGAGTCTGTGAACAAACCAATACTCGGGCATTGCAAAACAAATAAATGCCTTGAAAAAAAAAAGGTCTAGCCAAATGGACGGGCGAAATGGACGGGCGAAATGGATGAGGTCTTTTTTGCAATGCATTTTTAGTTTTAGACTTGGGGACAATCATGTTCATATTATGTGATGTACCTTTCGAGGAGTATCATGTTGTCCGATGGTTCTGCTCATTTTATCTCGTCCTCCATCTCATCCTATCTTTACTTCTCTCTCTTTGTCTTTCTGTCTTTCTGTCTTTCTGTCTTTCTGTCTTTTTTTTTTTTTTTTTTTTTCTTGCTCATTTGAATGCGAATTCGACATCGTCTCATTCCATTCTCTGGCTGCTTTGTCCAGGCTCAACTTTCTTTGATAGACCCTATTTATCTCTAGCATGAACCCTCAATCAGGCCATACACCCTTTTTTTTTATTATCATTGACCTTGCAGCTCAATCTGTCTTGAACAAGAATTCATACATTTCAACCGCATTACACCCTTTCCCTTATCCTTTCTCCATCTCTCTCTTTTCTTTTTATGTATCGTACCACATCATTTTCTGGAGCTTAGCCCATCCCATTCCTTGTCACATTTCTCATTTCAACCTTCTTTAAATCAATTTTACGCAACACGACACAGCTTAATAGCAGGACGCAACTTCTTTAATATTTCCACACGACTTTAATCAATTCTTCTCTCTCTACTTTATTTCCACTAAGGTCATTCCAACCCGGGGCGTATACTTCATTCCTCAAACTCATTCATTTAAATTCATCTTGTTCCTGATCTTTTTTTTTTTTTTTTTTTTTTTTTTTGCCGCACAGTCCCATGTATTCCCTTTCCACTGTTCTTTACTTTGGTGTACAACATTAAGACTTTAAGCCAATTCTTTTCCCTTGTTTCAGACCAATCCAACATCGAGATTGGCTAACATCAGCAACCATTCACTTCGTTAATATTAGTCTAGTCGCCTTGATTCAATTGCCTCAACATCCCCATAGCTAAGGGAAAGAGAGGGGTTGACTTGGTCGCCAATCTTTACTGCTGCAACAAAAAGTAGTGAAAGTAATCTTTTTGGAGACATAATGGAGCCTTCAGAGCCAGTAAGTATAATCATGTATGCATATGCACATGCACCTTTTTGTTTCCTCCCTCTCCCCTCCTATGCTCCGTGGTGGATAAAGATCTCTTGCATCAAATAATTGCCCTATTATCCTGCCGAACAACACCCCACCCCTATTAAAGCTTCAAGCCTGAATACCTGAATATATTTTATTATGATTGAAGAATAGTGGATATTGATTACATTATCGCATTCTTGAGCTGGAGAAGAAAAGGGCTAGAGAAAAAAAAAAGGGATATCTCTTTTCCGAAATGGTCCTCCCGTATTTTTTTTTTACACGTTGCTAATCCAAATACGCCACTCTCTTCTGTTCGCTGATCCAACTACGCAATCTTCAAACATTAATCAACTTCAACTCGTTATTGTTCTTCGTTGTTCTGTTTTGCTGTCTCCTTTTCTCCTCCCCCTTTTTTCGACGGGACAGACTCGTACACAAAGTCCGAGTCCAGTTATTGATGTGAATGGGACAAACAGCAACAATATCAAGCCTGCACAGCGTGTGTTTGGATTCTTAAGGAAGCGATCTAATCCAACAACCACGAGTTCAAGTTCAACAGGGACAAGTCGGGATCGCATAAAGTCTAAAGGCTTTACACGATCACCATCACCTGTTGAAAGTGATAATAAGAGTAATAGTAGCAGTAACAGCAATAATAATAATAGTAATCGTGACGATAGTAATCGAGAATCAGCTTCACCAAGCCCTACTCCTAGTAGTGATTCATCTGGATCTAGGAGTAGGACTCCTCCTCCTACTCCTCCTTCAACTGCTACCACCGCCATTGGTATTGGCAAAAATTCAATCAAAAACTTGATTCGACGCCGAAGTGCCGAGCTGAACAAACCTGTTTCCGAAGGTAGAAGCAGTTCAGAAACCACATTCTCTAAACGAAAAGAAGGTAAAAGAAATCATTGCGAGCCCTTTTTTGCAATTTACGACCCTTACTTTCTTTCTTTGAGCCCTCCTATTAATGGCTCAAAGAACAACAACAACATAGGAAAGGGCATTGGGCAGAAAAAATATGAACGGACTCGTGTGCTGTGTGAAATAGGTTTTTTTTTTTTCGACTCTTCTCATGGCCAAAATTTTAAAATGTTACAATCCTTTTTCATCCCTTCCTTTCTTTATTCCTTAAAAAAAAAAGTCAGCAGCAACAATAGTCAAGGCACGACTAGCCTAGTTGATATATCTCCAGAAAAGAGGCCTACCATGGGCGTACACGACCGCAGTATTAGTAGTGTCGATTTTCCCGAATCTGTAACGATTCTCCAATCAACACCTATACCTGTACCTGTACCTCGCTCTCGCTCTGATCGTCGACCAGCATTCACACTAGGCCTTCCATGGCGACCTCAGTCTGAGTACTCTGTCACCTCGGCTACGGCTTCTTCTTCAGCTGGACTTCGTACAGGCTTAACAAAGGCACAGAGAAGATTTATCAAATCTTTTCCAGAACTTGCGGATCTAGTGGTGGTCCCTTCTGCCTATTGTGCACCTTGTCTAGCAGCCCCTTCACAGACATCACCACCTTCTTCTTCCTTTGCCACTGCAATTTCGACACCCTCAGACTATTCTTCCACAGTCTCACCATCTACCTTGGCTCTGTCATCTTGTCCACGTCATTTTGATGATTTTGCTTGTGCATTAGAACGCGAGATTCTATGGCAAGGAACGTTATATGTGACAGCGACACATGTGTGCTTCTATGGTAAACATTTTGGAAGGACCGTTCGCGTCATGGTCGACTATCGTGACCTGATCTCTGTTGATAAGGAAAAGAAGATGGGAGTCTTCCCTAGTTCCATTCGAATCCGTGTCAGGACTCCTCTTACAGCCACCGCGTCATTGTCCACAACAGAAGTACCGACATTTTCTCAGGATCCTATGACTAATACAGAGGGAGATTCGTCCATTAAGGATTATGTGTTCACGAGTCTCATGAGCCGTGAGCAAGCTTATGCCATTATGGAACGTAATTGGGCTATCCATCGTCAAGTTATACAAACCCTCAGTAGCACAGAATATGAATCATCGCAGATGGTGGAGGAGACGACAACAGTACTGGAGAAAGATACGACTGATACTGGTACTGGTATGTTTGAATCGAAAAAAGAAGTACGTCTACGGACAGGAGTAGAAAAGTTGAGAGAGAAGCGCAGGACGCCTAGAACGTATTCTGTCATCACGGATGAGGCCTTTTCTTCCAGTTCTGAAAATATGGACCAACTCGCCCCTCATAAACGGCTGTCTTTGTCACGGCTTCGTCCTTCTACCCCAATAGTGCCATTACCAACGCCATTACCAACGCCGCCAGCGTTGGCACAGGAGTTGAGCGAGGTTTGGAATAGTCCTGGATTGGATTATGATAATAGTTATAATAGCATGGTCTCATCGCCATTGAAAGAAAGCTTTTCGTTTTCATTATCATCATCATTATCGTCATCTGAAAGCCGAAGAGGATCTGTTGCCAGTGCTGCTTCATCTGATAAACAAGAATCTACTGGGTTCAGAGGATTCTTACAAAAGCGCTCTAGTCAGCCCAAAAGTGGCCATAAGAGGTCAGAGGGGACAATGGAGTATAATCAGGAGGTTATCATACAACAGGACCAACAGCAACAACGCCGCCACCATCAATACAGCAATACTTTTAATCTATCATCATCAACTATTCCTAAACAAGCTTCTCAATCGTCGAATCCTATCCGTAGTGACGGTGCTCGCTCAGGTACACCACCACCTGTGCTACTATCACCTTCGCTGACTACAACCAAGATCTCCCATTCGTCCTCGACAGCGCACGCAGCGGTGCAACCCAGCCCCAACGATGGACAAAGTAGGGTCGCTGTACATACTCGAAAGGGAAGTAGAGATGCTCGTTTGGAAATGTCAGGAAACGCCACCAAAATTGGTGATACTGCGGACCCTACGGATCCAATATCAGAAGTAGTATCCAAACTTGCTCTGGCATCGTCACTACCACTATCGTCGTCACCGTCACCATCTCCATCTCCATCTGGTCCAGTGTCATGTAGCTGTCAACGACATTACAAGAATGCTGTCGTCTCTACAGTGGTCCCTTTACCTTTGGAGCTATGCTTTGAGATCCTGTTCTCCGGAAAGGGGGCAGGTCAAGGAGATAAATTGAATTGCGATACGCATCGTATTAAGGATGGATCTACAGATATCAAGATTATGGCCTGGGAACGCTATGAACAGCCAAATGACAACAAAAGCGACAAGAAGAAGAGGGCAGAATCTGCAGTAGAATGGGATGGTCAGAAGCGTAACCTGGAGTACTCTGTGTCCTTTAAAGTACCAATGTGTACGTCCATTGTATTATTATTTTATACCATGTATACCACATTCATATCATTTATTGTATTGTAATAACAGCTTATTTTTATTTTATTTCTTTTAACGTCTTTTGTAGTGGCCAAGACATCCACAGCTTGCTTCGAGACCCAGCAAGTGACTCATTTCAGTGACTTTTTGATCCTAGTCCATTCCGAATCTCGGACACCTAATGTTCCATATGGCGAGCATTTCTCCACTGTCAATCAAATCTGTATGACCTGGGAAGCTCCTGAGAAAACCAGGATCAAATGCTTTACAGAAGTCAAGTTTAAGAAGTCAATCATGTGGAGCACCAGAGTCGAAGCCAGCGCACTAGAAGGGTCCGGTGGGTTCTACAAAGAACTCATCAGGCAACTTCAAGACCTAGCTGAGGTTCAGGGTGAACAACTTGTGAAGTTCTTTGAAGCACGCAAGAGAAAAGCGGGCAAAAAATCCGCCACTGTCCCTAGAGCCCCAATGGTTGTCACCAACAATATACCAAACGATTCCTTACTCGTCACTACTATTACCAGCTTGAGTAACGGGGAAGTTAACTTTGCTTCAACAGAAGCTCCAAAGCCCCCTGCAGCGGCAGCAGTAGTATCATCATTACCTGTCGAGCCTACAAGGATGAATCACGCTCAGTCATTGCTATCTCAGCAGACCTCCCATACTATAGCAACTTCACAGACGTCGTCAATTACAGCAACAGCGATATCATCAAGCACCAAGACGCCTGTTCAGTTGTCCTTGGATTCTGCACGACCACAACCAGAGTCTGTCTCTGCAAGTGTTAAGGATCAGCTGACGCCATTGCTGCCTTCGGAAAAAAAATCTACTCTCGCTTTATTTCTCGGATCATTGACAGCTCCTGGACTCCCACTCATCTCGGCGGCAGCAGGGGCCGCATTGACTTATAGTGATGCAAAAGGCTCTGCAGCTTCTTCACCATTGTCGTTGTTATTTGGGACTTCTTTACCTAGCACTCCGACTAAAGGAGAAAGCGCCGCTGCAGCGGAATCTTTATCATCAATGCCCAGTACGCCGACAACTCCACTCCCTTGGGGAGATTTTGTGCGCAAGAGACTAGGACTATTTGGTGGCAGATCTAGTGAGCAGACTGAGGACAACCGTATGAATATGGATCCAAGCCCATTCTCATCGCTGTCAAGGCAAGGTTCACAACGGGCCGTGTTTGCATCTGAAGAGTCCTTGGCACGGATTCGTGCAGCTGAGGAACAGAGTGACAGTGGTACCCGTGTCAAATTTGCATTGCCTACCAGAACACGGAAGTCGTTCCCAAAGTCGCCTGAGGGCACAGGCGCAGGCCACGCTGCGGTTGCGGGTCGATCGATCTTGGCTTCTCACTCATCTATCAGATCCTTTGCATCTGCCCCCTCTCTTCGTGACCAACATCATAAGCATTATCAACGACAACAGCAACAACAGCAACAACAGCAACAACAACAAATACTTGTTCAGCAAAAACTAAAACTAGAGCAAGTACAACAGCAATCACGTTTCAAGTTTAAGGTCCCGGATGATGACCAACATCAAGATCATCGAGCGCGTATTTTTTCAAGGATCATATTTGGGTTCGTGGTCTTTGGCATGGCTGTGACAGCGTTAAATGTATGGCATCTGTTCGTAACAGTATCATCTATGGTCGAGTTGATGCAGCAGAGACACGATTTGTTGCCGATCCAATATCATCGTCATCCAAGGCCAAGGAGGCACTATCGACATCCTTCTTCAAAGTCGCAGCACTCCTTGCGTCCTCAGCATCCGTCCATGTCCATGAATCCCCAGAAGTATTATTATTCACCATTCTTTTGTCCACCACACGGACTACGTCATCACCGATGCTATCGCTATCGTTCTCCTCATCATCATGGTCACCCTCAAGAACCCCAGCCACTACCACAACCGCAACTGCAACCACAGCAACGTGACCAATATGTCGATCCACACTATCAGCAACCGCCAACTTGGATCAGCCAGGAGGACTATGCGAAAGCTCAAGGTCAAGAGTTGTTGTCTCCTATTTCTAGTCCTGTCGTTGGAAAAGAGCCACTTCATACTATCACTTCATCCTCTCCACTGATCTCCATGGATCGCTGCTCGCATGATGAGCAGCCAGAGCCTGAGCAGCAGTCATCAGATTATCAAAGACATCAAGAGCACCAAGAGCATCTAGGACAGGCACAGTTCCCTCAACAGCACGATGAGGAGAGAGAGCAGGCAAACAATCTATCCGTAGATGAATCGGGTCTCCTGCAAGCTCAGAAAGAGTCAATCAGAGCCGAAATCCTGGAGCTCTTTACAAAGCTGAAGGACGTGCGCCATGAACTTGGACAAACCTCTTCCTCTCGCTAATCTTTTTTCTTTTTCTTTTTCTTTTTTTTTCCCCTCTTAAATCGCAAGATGAATACCCTTCTATTTACCATAATAACCTTTACTTCCTTATTTTCCTCTCACTGTATACACCTGGACCCTTAAAAAAATAATTATTGTAATATATTAATATATTTAAAGAGTTGCTTGCAACATTTTAATGAGATCGAAGTTTTGATGAAAATGAATGAAAGTCTGTCTATTGTTAAAAAAAAAAAAATAAAGAGAGTAATCAAGGGAGGAGAGAGGAGAGAGGAGAGACGAGAGAAAAAGCTTTTTTCTTTTTAGTATCTGGAGCCATAGCCTCCGCCACCACCTCCGTATCCACCACCTCCGTATCCACCACCTCCATATCCACCATAACCACCACCACGTCCACCACCATATCCTCCACGTCCGCCGCCACCACGACCACGTCCTCCGCCACGACCACCACCGCCGCCGCTCGTGTGCATCATCTCCAACAGACGAGGATCAATCTCCTGATTAGCCTCTTTAAGAATTCCAACTAGCTCTTTGGCCTGCTTGGCGTTCTCCATTGTGAAGAATGTGAAGGATGATCCTGTATTGCCTCCACGGCCTGTACGACCAATACGATGGACATAGTCCTCCACGTTATTGGGGAAATCATAGTTGATTACATATTTGACATCTTTCACGTCTGGGGGTTTTTTTTTTTTTTTTTTTGTGATAAGGAAAAGAAATAGAGGGTTGGTCAGAAATATCACTAGAGAATAGCATAGCATTACATTATCAAAAGAACGATGATCAAATATGGTCGTTTCTATAGTCGCTTGTCATGGTGGTGATATCGGGCGTTTGCTCGCATTAATGTCGTTAGCATTGACTGTGATTCATTATCGATAGAGGTCAAGTAATCAATGTCCAGGAGCTTGTGAAGAGATCCTTTCCCTTTTTTTTTCTTTCCTTTTTTTTTTTTTTTGCTGTTACTCTTGGTGGTGTTGTTGCAGAGGATCTCTCAACTGTTGAACTGAAGCTCAAAGGCAGCGCACACGCAAAAACAGTTAGAATGGCGCCATGACAAGAGAAATAAAAAAACAAAAATTTTTTCTGTTCTTTCAGTTGCCATTCATTTGATTCTGGTATGCAGTGGACAGTATTTGAGAGAGAGACAAGAGACAGAGATAAAGAGACAAAAACGAGAACTTTGGAAGTCTCGTCATGTTTCTATAACCCCTACTTCATTTTATTTATTTTGCTAATTGCCCACAACTCCGGATTCTATGATTGCGCCTAATATTACGGTATAATGAAGCGCGACCAACAGAAGAGGAAACATGTAGGCAACAACAAAAAATGAAGTCCGAGTCCCATCATTGCCAGTACGCCAGTGCCCTCCCCTGCTATGCCAAGTTAAAAATAAAAAATAAAAAACCTCGGCGGGAGCAGCGGCGGATGGAATAAGCAAAATACGACACCTGAAACTGGAGATAGGGTATTCACGGGGCTGTCATCGAGCAACAAGTAGAAAGACAGATGTGTTGTTCGATAACCACGCCCCCCCATTCCATTCAATCGTATCACGACAATATGCGTTGGAAGCAACAAAATGGGATTGACAGTCGAGAAGAGTTGGCAATGTCGAAAAATTGCTGAAGAATTTGTTGCTATCCTGTTCTAAGTATAGTCATCATGCCGATATGTGATGGCCTGTGCTATAATTATCGGCATGCCTCAATATGCATTCTCAATATGCATTCTCAATATTGAATGAGCCATAGACATTGGGTAGCGTGATAGAACAAAATGTCTACACTTGATGAGACTGCATTGCATGCAGAGTGATGAAAAACTCCGATTGACACCGAAAAACAAAGCTGTTGCGCGAGAGTCAAACTGTCGTCATGTCGTCATGTTATGTCGTCGAGCTGATTGCTGAGGCGAAAGCGATATATAAAATATATTATTCAACTTACCAATACCACGGGATGCAACGTCGGTGGCAACCATGATAGGAGACTTTCCAGACTTGAATTCGTTCAATACCCAATCGCGCTCGTTCTGGGCCTTATCTCCGTGAATAGCCAGAGCAGGCCAGCCATCCTGACGAAGATACTTTGTTATATCATCGGCGGTGCGCTTAGTTCCTGTGAAAATAAGGGTTTTGTGATCACGCTCATCCATGATACGTTCCAGATGCTTGATGAGCTTTCCGCGCTTTTCATGCTCTGCACAAACCTCAACAGTCTGTGAAATATTGTGAGAAGCAGAGAGGCTGAGAGATCCAACATTAACTTGAATGTAATCCTTCAGATAATCTTGAGCGAGTCTTTGGACCTCCTTGGGCCAGGTAGCACTCCACATGAGTGTCTGGCGATCAGGGCGAATTTGGTCAACAATCTTGCGAATCTGTGGCTCGAAACCCATGTCTAACATGCGATCAGCCTCATCCAAGACCAAGTATGTGACACGACGAAGGTTAGTCTTGCGGGATTCCAACATATCAATCAAACGACCAGGAGTAGCAATGCAAATCTCAACACCACGAGATAGATCGCGGATCTGTGGACCTCGAGGAACACCTCCGTACACGCAAGTGTTCTTGATACGAGAAGAACTTCCAAACTTTGTGCATTCTTGCTGGATCTGAACAGCCAGCTCTCGAGTAGGAGCTAGAATGAGAACAATAGGACCATCACCAGGCTCCAAGAAAGGTTGGGCGTTGATATGAACGATCGAAGGTAAGCAGTAGGCTAGAGTTTTACCAGAACCAGTCTCTGCAATTCCGACGACATCACGTCCAGACAAGGCCATAGGCCAACCCTGAGCCTGAATGGCAGTAGGGGCCTTGAAGCCCATCTCCATGACCTCCTTCAGGACATATGGAGGGAAACCAGCCTCTTCGAAAGTTTCGATTGGCTTGGGGATATTAGGACCATAGAGAGTCATTTCATGTTTGGCACGGAAGGCATCTACCTCGGCCTGGGATCTGGCAGTAACAGCAGGGTGCTCCTGATAGAAGTTTTTCTCAAATTTTGGTAAGGTTGAGACATCGAACTGAGGTTTACTCAAGCTGTTGCCCAGATTGCTCATTCTATCTCCACCACCACCACCACCACCACCACCACCACCACCACTGTAGCTATTACCACCATAGTTATTGTTGCTACCACCATAGCCGCCACCGCTACCACTGTAGCCTCCACGAGTATCGTGCGAATCATAACTAAATATATTAGGGAGAAAGAAAAAGAAAAAAAAGGCAAGTTCAAGTTAGAGAGATAGCGTAAGCAGGACTAGTGTAAAAGTGAACCAAAGAAACTTGATAAAAAATATATACATACGGTTTGCGATCGCGCCTGCTGTGATCATCATATGAGCGATCGTTGCCTCTATCATGAGACGAACCATAGGAGTTGCTTCCATAGCGGGTAGAGGAGGAGGAGTGAGCTTCACTGGAGTATGATCCACCACCACCGTAAGAAGAGTAGGATGACATTATAATGTGATGTCTCTTTATGTATACTAAAGCTTTTTTTAATTTGGTGAGACAAGAATGACTTGCTGTAGATCAGCAAGAGATAGTAAGAGGAAGGAGGAAAGCGATGGGAGGATTGAAAAAAAGTGAGAAGTGATGAAGAGGAAAAGGTGGTATCAAGGTAAAAATAAATATTAAAAAAAAAAAAAAAAAAAAAAAAACACAGGATAACGTCACACTAAGGAAGTCACGTTGTTTGTGGCACGGGCCAATTTAATCTCCTTTCAATCTTCTGTGATGATTGAAATCTGACAGGGCTAGTCTGGCCTGATTACCATGCGAGATTTCTCCTTTTCTTTTCCTTTCCTCTTGACCATCCAATCCTTCTTTCAAAATCTCACACACCCACAAGACGATTCAAATAGATATCACCCAACTACACCCTGCTTTTGTTTCCCCCCCTTCCCCCCTCTACACTCCCTTTTCTTTTCTTTCTTTCCTCCCTTCTTCCTTTGCAGAGAGAATGATGATGCCATGTAGTTTGATTGGTATTCAATCGACCTTAGTAAAACCTACACGTCAAAACGATGCAAGATAATTTCATCAGACCGAGAGAACAGAGGCTGTGGGTAACGGATACGTATTCAACGTGTTCATTGAATGTAATGGGCAGACAAAATGGGTAAGCCAAATTCCAATTATCAATCTCTTACACAACAGATCCACACTTATTTTTTATATGAGAAAACAGTGAAGCGTATATGAATTGGATAGGGTTTCTATTTACTTGGAAAGAGAGCAGCTCTGATAATCACCCAAAGAAAACTGAGCAGAAACGAAAAACTGAGGCCGTAAACTCTAGTGCTTTTTTAATATTATCAAATCGCTTTACTCACTTAATTGCCTGTTCGTCTGCCTTCACCCTCTCCCTTTCTCTCTCTTCAATTTTTGCTCTTTCCTTCTCTCTCTCTTTTTTCCTTTCTCTCTCCACTCTTATTTCCACTCTCATTTAGAGTCTTCCTCATTTCATCTTTGACTTAACTGTTTTTCATATAGTCCTATAAATTATTCACTCTCCTTTCCCCTGTTATCTTTTTTTTTTTTTTTTTTTTTTAAAAATAAAAAGTTCTTGCTCTTTCTCACACACATTCTCTTTCGCTCGTATAACGACCACAACAACGACCACAACAACGACCACAACAACGACCACAACAACGACCACATATAACCTTACAATCCTTTTTGTAACAATCATTCTCGGGACTTTCCCCTTTCTTCACTCCATATCCTAACCCCCCTTCCTTCGGTCAGCCTTTGGGTCGAACTATCATACCACAATTATACGATAGCCTCTTCGAAATGGCTGAAGCAACTCAAACATTTCAACGGGCCGGTAGAAAGGCCTCCTTCTTCTTCCTACCTCACACTCGTCCTACACCTCCAACACCAACGTCTCCTCCGTCACCCACAGTTGATATACCCATTGCTTCTGCCATGCCTGCTGTTATGGCCGTTTCCCCCGCATTTCCTCTTGTATTAGAAAAGAAACAATATCTCTCGCCTTCTTCCTCAACAATATCAGCGGCAGCAGCAGCAGCAGCAGTAGCAGCAGCAGTAGAGGCAATACAGTACTATAATCCAAGAAGGGAAGCAAGTTTACCTCCAACTCCTCAGCATGACCTCCTTTCACACACCCTCGCACCATCTGCCATTCCATTGAATGAGAGCAATGGGTCACCTTCATCGTCTTCAACACATCATAGTCTGTTAGTAGCACGTTCGATGGATCAGTTTGTAGTCCTGCAAGAGTTGGGCAATGGTTCGTTCGGATCAGTTGTCCAAGCACGGCACAAAGTGTCTGGCGAACTGGTATGTGGCCTTATTCTTATTATTATAATTAAAACTATTATTATTGCAGACCTATCGGGGGAAAACATTAAGACGCGCTTCTGCATGGGCGTGCATCCACAAATAAAGACGCTGTGCGTTTTTGCTTTTATTCGACAAGTTTCGGACATGGGGGTCACTTTGTGAACTCTGTTGATATTCGATGTCTCTCTCGTCTGTGTGCATGAATGTCCGTGGCTCAAAGAAAGAGTTATGGGGATCGGTGGAGGCGGGTACACAACACCTTTTAAGAGATATCCACACGATCATGTTTTGCTCTTTCTTTTTTTTTTTGACTTCACCCTATCTTATCTCATTCTTCATTCGATGCGATATGGGATAGGGGAGGAAGGAAAGAAGGAAGAGGGTGAATAGGGATAGGCATGTCAGCAAAAAAGCAACGAAAGCAAGCACTGAATGCTCACATGTATAACATGTATATTACATATAACTTTTCTTTCTCTAACATTTTTTTTTTTTTTACTATGCTTTGGTCTGCATTATTTTTGGTGCTCTTCTTCGCATGCGTAAATGCCCATGTGTGATGAAAAAACAATCATGTTGTCCTATAAAAATATAAAATAACACAAAAAAAAAAAATAGGTTGCTATCAAAAAGATGAAGAAAAAGTTTACGTCTCAAAGTGAATGTCGGTCTCTACAGGAAGTTAAGGCAAGTATTCACTATAGAGATGAACGGAGCATCAATGCCAAAAAAAAAAAAAAAAAAAAAAAAAAAAAGTAAAAAATGCAGACTACTGTATTAGCTCTCCACTAACTATGGATAGTTATTGACGGCCACATCCCTTTTCCTTTGATCCATCACCACTATCTTCCTCCTTTTTTTTTTTTTTTTTTTTTTTACTTTCTTTTAATAGGCCCTTGAGGTTCTTCGCTTTGGACCTAACATCATCAAGCTGCATCACTTTTTCTTAGAGAAAAAGGAATTGCATATGGTTTTTGAATTGATGGAAGGAAATCTTTATCAATTAATTCAAGATCAAAACGGAGTCAGACTAGAAGAGTCTCGTATCAAAAGCATAGTGTATGAAGATATACTTTTTTTATTTTATTTTATTTTATTTATTTACTTTACGCCATTGTTGAATCCATCCAACAGTAGAAAGTCAATGGGGGATGATCTCGTCATTGTGCTTTTGTTCTCGTCACTACTCTTATACCCTTGCAGAAAATTGATCAATTAATTTTTTTTTTTTTTTGCTATTGTTATTATTAATATTATTACTATCATTTCAATATGCAACGCGATCAATTGTTGTCATTTCCAGCTTCCAAGTACTTCGTGGACTACAACACATGCATGCAAAGGGAGTCATGCACCGTGACATGAAGCCAGAAAATCTCTTGATCTCGGGTGATACCGTCAAAATCGCTGATCTGGGGTTAGCAAGGGAGCTCAAGAGTCGTCCACCTTATACAACATATGTCAGTACTCGATGGTAAGTGAATATCCCTCTTCGACAGTATCTATACTTCTTCTTTTTTTTTTTTTTTAAACCATCAATAAGGAAGCTTATGAAATGCTGTGTTGTGTAGATTCCAAATCGTCGAATAAAAATTCTCCGAATTTTTTTATTAATTGTCTTTCCTTTATTTGTCTCTTGTCTCAGGTATCGTTCACCAGAGGTTGTTTTGAAATCAACAGCCTATTCAAGTGCCGTCGATCTGTGGGCAATAGGAGCAATTGCTGCAGAATTGATTAGTCTCAAACCATTATTTCCTGGTAATAGTGATATCGATCAGATTATGCGGATAGGCAGTGTACTTGGAAGCCCCGCACCACGGCAGCCCCAGCCCCAACCCCAGCCAGATGCATTCGCGCCTGGAGAAAGTCTGAACGGAATCTCACCAAAGGTTGGTGGTGAATGGAAAGAAGGTGTCCAGATTGCCGCCCGCATGGGCTTTGCATTTCCTGCCGTAAGTGCTTTTTTTTTTTTTTTTTTTTTTTTTTTTTGCGATATTAATCGATTCAATATGAAACGGGACCATTGATCTTGTTGCGTTTGAGAAATTACTAAAATAATTCTCTGTCTTTCATGTTTTCTCTCCTTTCTTGTGCTTTTTCAAATTAAAAAGACACCGCTGCGTACTTTGAGAGAAGCGCTACCGAATGCAACTGAAGAGGCACTTGAGTTAATTACCGGTGTACTTCAATATGATCCCAAGAATCGACTGACAGCTTATCAAGCTCTACATAGTAATTGGTTCAGGGACATGCCAGAGACTGAGGAATTGAAATTCCTAACGGATGTTGTACAACAATCTCCAGACAAGCGGAGGAGCATGTTCTCGGGCTTACGTAAGAAAGATATTAAAGAGAAAGACAAGGATAGGAGAAGGGGTCTCTCCATATCACTACCGATTGGTCTTGCTTCATCTACAGCGTTGAATGCTATGCTTTCGAAACCAGCTGGTACACATACTGCTGTAGCTAATGGGCAGCAGTTCCATCCTTCTCCGCAAGCTTCACCGTCTCAACAACAATTACAACAATCACAGCAATCACAGCAATCACAACAACCATCGTCATCAGCGTCGCTGCTACAACAACAACAACAACAACAACAACAGCAGCAGCGTCAGCTACAGCAGCGCCAGCAAGCATTACAACGACTTCAGTCAGAATCTCCACAAGGAGATGAACTGTCGGTATGCCAATATCCACAGCATCCACAATTACAGCAGACCACACGTCCGCAGGCAGACCTTGGCCTTCCTGAAATATCGCCCTTATCACCATTCTGAAAAGACTTCAAGAGTGGAGTCAATTCTGGTAACATTGACATCACATTTTGTGATTCTATCTGTTATTTGTTGCACAGATTTGTCATCCCATCTCCAAACATTTTTCGTCAGATGATCGACCTTCAAACTTGTAAATAGTCTAGCCTTTTTTTATATATGTATATCAGTGGGTCTAACAATCATTTGTCATAGAACAATGGGAATATTCATAAAAAAAAAATTACACCCAAGAATTTCTTCATTGATTTCAATACCAATAACATTTTTCTTATTTACAATTGGACAGACACGGAACAGACAATTACAAAAAAGAGGAACTAAGAGATAGTCTTCTACCAGAAGGCACACCATCCAATCCAGCACTGGCACAGGTTTTCGTACGATGACGCCTGTTGAATCAACTTTTCGACCTGCGATGGTACATCCAAGGGTTTGTCAGGCTTGAAATCTCTGCCTGTCAACTTATTGGTCACACGATTGATAATCGATACTGCTCTCTGGTTCAACTGTTCAGGCTGGTTCTCCACTATATAAGACATGTGATAGATAATGAATTTAAAAAAAAAAGTTAGTTCTATCGACAAAAAAAAACGATTGTTATTGTATTTAAATAAATAAATATGTAAAAAATATGTAAAAACAAGTCATTACTCTTCATGTTGTCTCGCACGAGTTCACGCTCACTTGGTAGGGCTCTCCTCATATTGCGTGCCTGCTCGTCCATGACAGACTCATTTGCTGCATTTTGATTTCCACCCTGTCCATTCTCCATCGCTAAAATAGGAAAAAAAAAAAGGGTCAATATTAATAAGGCCATTAACATCATCTATAAACTTTAGACTTTTTTTTTTTTTTTTTTTTTTTTACTTACGTTGACGAGGGCTTGTGGTCAAAATCCTCCAATTGATCAAGGGATCATATACAAAGGCTTCCAATACTGCCATCAAACTCTCCTTATTCTCTCGTAGTACACGCATCACATTCTCGCACGTATTCCTAAAGTTACCCTCAATACCACTGACCTCCATAGCGTTGGTCAACATTCGTGTCAACCGGAACGGAATCTGTTCTGGGAACTTTTCACGATGCATCGCCACTTCAAAGCAGTCACCAAAATCAATGTGCACAATCTTGCCCGAGTTACGATCCAGCATCAAGTTGGACGGGTGGCGATCTCCCAGTCCAAGAATATATCCGACCATGGACATGACCGCCAAAGATCGGGTATAATTTGTTCTCCTGTCGAGCCATGCCTCCGAGTTCCGGCTCTTGAGCCACAGGACCTTGTACAGATCTTGACCTCCAGTGTTGTTAAGTGCATACTCAAAGACTTCAACTTTTTGCATCAACGTCAAGTTATCATAATCGGGCGCCATCTGTAACATGATGCGGTGCTCAATGTTCAACAAAATTTTGCGACTTTCACGATAATCACGGATCAAGGTATGAAGCGTATCTGTATCTGGTAACCATCCAATGAGACCCGAGTTGGGCGAGAGTGGAATGACAGGGTATCGCTGAATGCCCAAGTACCTCTTGAATGTTTCTGGGTCAATAGACAGAAGTGTGTTCACAAGTCCAAACAACTGCATGACACGTTCATCCTGACGTAGATCCTCGTGTCCCTTCAATAGATATTGATAATCACGTCCATCACTTCCCTTCACAGTCAAGCGACGAGGACGTTGCTTCGAAGTCATCACAGTGAGCGTTGGTACAAACGATGAAATCTTAATGATAGGTTCACCACTCTTATAAGTTCCTGGAATAGCAAGCTCAAGATCCTGAGCGCCCTGCAATTGTGGCGAGACATATGGTAAATCCAAAGTGCTAAGCTGTTGAAGCTGCTTCGCGATACGACGGAACACTTGATAGTAGATATCCCATGCTTGATTAAGGTCATTGATTTCTTGAGTTTGGCCATAGCGAATGCAGCATTCTTGGGCTTCCCTTAGGTCTCGACCAAACGCTTGGTTGAATGCTATCTCACGCTGGGTCTCAGGGCCCTAAAAAAAAAAAAAAAAAAAAAAAATCAGCCTCTCATTTGCCAGAATCTATTTGAGCTATGATATGATGTACTGATTGCTGTCATATTGGTTAGCATGGAATATTACCCTCTGAAGCATCATATGGAGAGGCTCTAGTAGCGCCAACATTCCATTGATGTTACGGTCACCAAAGTACAGACGAGACGCCTCTTCTAGACCTTCGTGCCACATCTCATGCCACAGGATAGCTACACGAATAAGCTCCTGGCTGACCAATAATGCCTGCTCGACTAACAGCGGGCTATGCACTCTCATCTTCTCCATAATTGCTAAGGCTGCATTCTTGCGTACAACACTAGGTGACTTCGAAGCAACCGTCAAAGAATATACCAGTGCTTGCGGATGCTCCTTCCCAACATCTGTCAGCAACTGGTGAATCAGACGTTGTACATTGGGGCTAGGCGCGTGGATACGGGCGATTAGCTGTGGAATGACTTGTAACCAGGTATCAATGCTGACAGTTGAAAAACCATCGCTCAGTGCCGCACTGATCTCCGCGCGATGACCAAACTTGAACCAGAGTGTCAATAAGCGCAGCGTATCTTGAAGTGAATTGCCCTGAGATAGTGCAATGGACTTGAAGAAGCCCATGATCGAAGGAATAACATATTGAAGGCATGGGTCGCGTCCAGAATGGTTAGGGGGCGGGTTCTTCTCATAAAACGTGATCACCTCGAAGTTAGCTAGCGCCCATGTATGCCACGCCTTATACCAATCTTTGTCCAAATGCTTGGCATAGAGATATGGTGTCAGAATGTCCTCAATTGAGTCCTTAAAAAAAAACAACAAAGGTTGATAATGCCATGAGTAAAGAATGATTGCCTAGTGCTATCCAACTATCATTTCAGAGCCGCATACGCTCAACTTACATGCGTCCAGCCATCTTGAAGAGCAAACTGCCACTCTCCCTGCTTCAGATAGCAGCGTGCAAGTAATCTGGAGTAGTCGACCACGTTTCCATTCAGCTGGTTAGCTCCTGTCATAGCAATGCCGGCATCCTCAACCGTTCCAAGGCCAAGGTCGGATGCCAATCGCTCCGTAAATTGGCGTAAACAGTCCAGGGTATGCTCGCGAACACCTGTCGCCCACATGTACTTAAGCTTAGCATAGACAATCTGTGGTGGTGTCACCTGCGTCATGGCTGTGAAGCTCATGTTTGCAGTATCAGGGCCCATAAGCGTACTCATGGTGTTTTCTGCTAACCTCAGTCGACCATTTTTGCGACACAAGTTCATAAACTTAATACGCATCTCCATATCCTGAGCTGGTGTCACCACGATCGCATGGACCTTAATCAACTTTTGCCACACCTCTACATTTCTCTGACAACCCTTCAACCGCTTCATCCACGTACGTCGGATCGTAGCCTGACGGTCGGGTTGATCATGGTATTGTTTGTATGCAATGATCTCTTCTAATTCTGCCATCATCTGGACCCGAACTACAGTTGCATACGCTCGGTTATAACTCTCCCCAACAAGAGCAGTGAGTTCAGTATCCAACATGTTACGGGTCTTATCAATGTACTTCTCGGCCTCCTGAAACTGATTACGGTGAAGTGCTAGAATAGCTTTGAAAAAGGCTCTATCAGAGTTTTCCTGCATGGCTGAAATGTATTCGTCCAAAAGCTCCCATTGACCCAGACCCCAAGCAGCTGCAGCGGCAAATGATGCCATTTTACGGCGATCTTGAGGTGGTGCGCTGCCCCATTTGGCCTGTGCCAAAGAAGACAGCTGGTCCCACTCACCAAGAGCATGCAAACAGCGCATGCGCTTGTTAGTGAGTGTAAGATCATTTGGATTCTCCAGTTGCTTGCGTTCATATGCTGCCAATGCATCCTCCCATCGCTGCAGACGTTCGTACCAAGCCTCCTTGAGCTCAAAGTCATGATGAAGCTGTGCATGCGTCAAGATACCAGCAGCTGCATCAGGCTGCTGTAGATTATTGTTGATTCCAATCAACTCTTCTATTGCGTTGGTAGAAGGCTCTGTTAAGAACTCAAGCTCCTTATAATGGAGTGCCTTGGCAAACGCATGACTCTTTGCTGCATACTCTCCTAAAGTACGAATGTCTATAGGAAGAGGTTTATCATCATGCTCCATGAACTCGGCGAGGTTGAGTAGGATTTGAATGATTTCAGGTGAAATGTTGGGTGCAACAAGTGCTGTGACCAATGCTCTTGCCAACTCCTCCTATTGTTTTTATATCATTATGAAAATAAAATAAAATAAAGAATAGGTAAGAATGAGATATTATCGAAAACAAAAAAAGAAAAGATAATATAAGGTATTAATAAAATCAATATATAATGCAAACAAACATTACCTGGTACTGATCTAGTAGCTCTCCCCAACAAGACACAAATGCAGCATTGAATAGTTCTCGAGCAAGAGGATGGTAGGAATTTGCCATATCGGCGCATGCTCTGAGCGCGTGAGAAGGTGTTTCTTTGAGCATTTCCAAACAAAGACGTCGAATCCAATCTGCCCAATCATCTTTGGTCGAGCGTGGCTGAGTGTCCCAGGCTCTGCGTAATGAGGCTTGATTAACAGGAAGTTTGCGAATACCAGACTCTGCCTGTGGGACATCTGATATGGACACATATCGATCATCACCTAGCCCAGGCAATTCTAGTGGCAGCGGCTCACGCTTTAGCAGCTGTGAGACCAAATGATCGTATTGTGCATGGCTAATCCTGGTACGGATTAGGACCTTAATATATGTTATAGCAGTAAAAAAAAAAAAAAAAAAAAAAACAGTTTAGTGTAAACTTTAACACCGCCATTAACGAAAGATATTTAGTTATCTGAGGTAAATAAAGGGGGAGGAATGCTTTACTTACCTTCTTGATCATGGGAATAAAGTTCACATAATCCTGTCCAAGTTGAAGGACCAAACAACAGAGCGCATCCATAGTTGGCATTCTCAACTCTGGCCCTGGTAACGCCAAGATACGAGCAAATGGGTGAATAATCCTGGACGCATAGTCAGAAAAATTGACTTTTTTAGCAAGCTCACGGATGGTGTTGATGGCGGCTCTACGTAGATTTATGGGTGCATCAGGCTTCTCAAATGTCTTGACTAGAACTGGGATCACCAAATGCATGTATTCCTCGATGTTAGAGCCAAATTTCACAAATGCGCCTAAAACTTTGATCGATGCGTCATGCCTCTCCGTCAGGTCGGTGTCGAAGACCGCAAGGAATGATTGCAGTAAGTTGGGCAAATATGCTTTGAATTCTCCATCAAGAGCCACGGCTATGCTCTCAACTAGCCCAATTATACGCTCTTGCAGTGGTGTGTGATTCCAGTTGTCCTTGACAAGCTGCAAAAGATCGGGGAGGTAGGGGCGGATATGAAGCTTTACAATCATGACCAAGAAGCCCATTTTTTCAAAGTAGAAGTCCAGATTAAGCACCGTGCCTGACTGCATGATACTCAGGTATACAGGCATGATCTAAATAAGATACAAGAACTATGTGAGTACGTACACATTGAATGCAGAATGTTCGCTCTACTAGCCATATCCTTCAAGGGAAAAAAAAAAAAAAAAAAAAAAAAAAAAATCAAAGCCTACCTGTGGCAAAAATGGCACCATTTTCAACTGCAGAGCTTGGAAAATATTCAAGATGGCCTGAGTGGCGGGTTGATACTGTTGACTCAAAGATGGATCCTTCAGAATTTTGAGCAACGCATTGATAACAACTGTAGGGTAATAGTCTTCAGATGATGGCCCCAACCCTGACATTAAAAGCGAGACGTCTGAGCCCTGGGATTTGTCTGCCTGATTGTCATCCACAGACTCAATTGCCATTTGTTTGTGACGATAAGGATCTAAAGCTCCGAGGATTCCGAGAAGTTTGATAGTCTCTTTTCGAATGTTGCCGGACTGTTCCGTCTTCAGAATGTTCATCAGGGTATCCAACAGGCCCGGATATTTGATGTATGGCTCAATTACATAGCCCGTGTTACTTGCCAGTTGCCCGAGAGTTTTGAGTGCAGCACTACGCTTGGTTGGTGAACTCTGATCCTGTAGTGTGTCGATGATAAGCGGCATAAGCTGATCCATGAAGGGTAAAAGATCTTCACCTCCGACGCGAGCAAGCTCTCCCAAAGCTGCCAAGATGCTTGAAACAACGCCGGCGCTTTGATCCTTAGCCTTGGGCAACAGTACTTTAATAATAGACTCAACATACGGTTTCACAAGTCGTTGCGAGGAAATCACTAAAAGAGCTAGCAACCGTGCGCTCTCCTCCTTATTTCGGCTCACGCCCGAATACTCAATTTCTGTCAAAAGCTGTATTAATGTCTTCCGAAGGGAAGGCATGACATAGGCGGGATTATGCATAGACAGGCGTCCGATAATCGTAATTGCGTGCTCTCGAATGGCAAAAATCTCATCATTCAATGCAATGAAGAGCGAGCGCACATTTTCTGCCTGTGCTAAATGGCGATCGAATCGCTCATCTAACGATTCCATTACAGTTCGTCGGATCTCAGGATCCGGATCTGCAATGCCCACAGTCAGTAGCTTTTCTAGGACCTCGCCAACAACCTGAACCGCATGTGCACTGGTTTGGAAGCAGATGGGGTCTCGAACAAAGAGCTGGCAACATGTTTTAGCAGCAGAGCGCCTAATATCTGGATTGTCGTCCTCCAAAAAAGGAATACAACAATCTCGCACAAATTCATTAAGGATATGTCCTTGAAAGTTGAAAGAACCGAGGGTAGTAAGAGCGAGAATGATGGAGTCTACATCTTTTGGCTCGGCAGATTGAATGTCACGCCTCACAGGAGAACTGGTGAGTCCTGTTCTTGCTCCATTTGGTGCTCCCAATGGTTTGTACATATGTCCACTCAGAATCATGGAAAGCATGTTGAGTAAGCGCTCTGTTATGAACATGAGGGAGTGCGATTAAGATCAACAGCTGGATCACTTCAGTCCATCTTTTATAGCATAAAAAGCATTTGCAGCGAGCGTTACCTTGGATGATGGGCAGTAAGGGGGGTATACAGTTGGATAGATCCGTGAGTGATTGGCGCAATGGTTCGCTAAGTCCAGTAGCAAACATCAACTCCAACAATTCATGCATGTGTTTTGTAAGTGCTTGTCCGACAGCGTTGGCCAGCATACTGATGCAGCTGAATATTGGCGTATCGGTCTGGATACGGTTTTTGCTGCAATATTCATAGATGATTTAAAAAAGGGAGCTTAGTATGCTTTTCTCTACACCACATAAGCATCGTCATTCTTCATAATAGGAAGTCAGTTGTTGCTACGTTGTCTAACCTCTTGAGCCTTAGTCCTTCTCTAATGCAAATCAAAATGTCATCCAAAAATTCTCCCATGTCTGCACCAGCAACAAGTGCGATTTTTCCAATGGCAAGAAAAGCGTTTGATCGATCTTTTTCTTTCATCAATGAGCGTTCTTTATCTTTGCGGAGTTGGCTGAGAATGTGCACCATGGCTCGATGAAGATATACGTTAGCAAATTCCTGTGGGTTGTATGCAGCTAAATCAGGAATCAGAGAAATCACAGCCCTACGAACTAAGCCATCCCTATGGTCCTTGTACTGAAAGACAATTTCGCCTGTACTTTTATACCGCTCATGCATGAACTAATGTCATTGAAATCAAACAACAAATAAATAATCCATTAGCTATGCTCCACTTATGCAGAGAAGTTAGACTAAAAAAGATGAGCGACCCACCATGCCTGCATGGAGCAGCAACTCGCGGTAAATCAGTAATGAACCATGGATGCTTTCCGTTGAGGCGATCCGCAAGCCCCGCTGTGCTTCTTCACTGATTCTGTTATACCAAGTGCTTTTATACGGACTATCACGGTCGGCAATTATCACGAGGACAGCACTCAAAGCATCTGCCGCTGCAACCCGGATGTTTTGCTATTAATTTTTTTTTTTTGCATCGATCAGCTTTTTTAGAGTAAGTCCTAAGGTGTTTAAGCCTTTTCAACTTAAGATAAAATCTTCTTACATTGGGATCTCTGAATGCAACCCAGATATGTTCAAGAATTGACGCAACGAAAGGATAAACAATAACGTCCGCATGCCGAACCAACTCTGCTAGAACAAGCACACTCGCGTGTCGTCGGGCCTCTTGCCGATCTCCTGAACAAGATGACCCATAAAATGCTCATGTTAGTGAGAAAAAAAATAATAAAATAAAGATTAAAGCAAATGGTTCCTTTTCATACCAGTAAGCCATTCGATCGCTCTTTTCAATTCAAACTCTACAAACTCTGTCGTGAAAGTCCCTCCTTGTTGTGCCAGCTTTCCTAAGTGCAAACAAAAGTTCAATTTGTCGATGTGTTAGAACATAAGAATAGAGCAATTCACAAGCTCGCTGGATAATATCCACACTAGTACTTTTTTTCTTTTTTTATCCCAGTACCTAATGCCCTTGCTGCAACTGTCATTGTCTTAACATCTGCTGGAAAGAGCTGACGTAAGTAGTTTGCGAAGCGTGTTTCCTGCGTTGTGTTCTCCTCGCCTTCAATGCCAATCAGCTTATCTATCAGAGGCAAAGAGCCAATGGGGAAAAAAAAGTAAACTTAGTCACTTCAAGGTCTTCGCACTTGGAATTGATGTACAGCAGTCTATTCTTTTTTCCTCTTCATTACCAATGATCATGACGCCACAAAGTTTATCATTATTGTCGACACTCTGTACGAGTGTCCAAATAATGCTGTTGACTTCTCCATAGAATCTTTTCAAATCCTGTCCTGACAACTCCCTTGACATGACAACGACCTGCATGGATAAACGAACACAAAGAAAACATTTCAAAGTGAATATTTAGATCCAAAGGATTGCAGTGCTGCTATCCATCAATTGATAATAGTGCTGAGAGTCTTACATGATCCTTCAAGGCCTGAGCCGACTGTAGCCTGACTTCTTCATTCCTATGAATTCATTGTGTGGGAATGATGTAATAAAATGCATCAATACATCTTTGGGTCTGAAGTTTCAGAAACAATATGGACGCCTTTGAAGCTATATTCTGCCCTATCGTTTTATTTGTACGCTTACTTTGACTTTAGGTCATTAGTCAGTTTTGAAAGGATGTCTGAGGGTGGTGCTGTGGCCATGGACATTCAAAATCAATGGCCCTAGGAATGACCCGTTTATTGTCCTTGTTGCGTAGAATATTACTAGTGAGAGGATGGTCGTTTTTATTAATATTCAAGGGTGAAAAAGAGTCGTGTCCCTGCGTTTTTGTTGTGAATGCGGAGACGTTTTTTATATCGAAGGAATAGGCTCCTCACTTGAACCTGGCTGTGATGAGAATATGGTGCGTGTCTATTGAAGGAAAATACAGGGATGTGAGAGCGCGAAAAAGGGATTGGTAAAATTCAATACAGGACTCGTATAAAAAGAGGGTGTGTGTCGTTGTCTGCGTGTTAACACATGCGACCATCCTATCTTCCAAAAAGAGAGCGTAAAAAATGGTGGCGCTTTTTTTGTTAGTCCCCTTTAAACAATAAGAACAACAAGAACAATAAGCAACCATTGTTTGTTCTGTTTATCATTCCTATTACCAACGTCTGGACCGCCGACTGCCGCCTTCATTGTTGACACTAGTAAACAATAAAAAGCCCCTAGGTGAATGACCTGTACTCTATTCTTCTTCTAATATGCCTCAGGACCACGACAAGGTCTCGACTACTGCTGCCACACACGCCACCAATGCTGCCCATGCAAACCCGGACAATGCAAACAATGCAAACCATTCAAGTCATTCAGAGCATGTAGACCGTACTACCATTGCGCTAAATGACTCACCTTCACCCCAGCTAATTTCTCAGCTCAAGATTCTCGCAGACCGCTTCAAGCAGTTGGAAGTACCTCTTGAAGTCTTGCAGGAGCTGCTTTCAGAATCTCTAGCGCTCTTCCTGCAGGAACCTTGTTTACATTGGTGGTGCCAACCTGACCTCCGACCTATCGCAATTGAGTTACTACATATATTTTCTTTAGACGAAAACAGTTCTCTCAGCCACTTCAAAGAATTGATGGAGAATGTGCTAAGTTGTTGCTTGGACTGTACAGAATCATATTTACAGGATCGGAGAGTCTACTTAGCAAGGTTTGCGTATATTCCTTTATGTGCATACCCTTATGTACTTGACCTCTTTATTTCTTTTTTAACATGAGTTCTTTTTTCCTCATTCAATCTCGTCCCCAATTCATTAGGCTGTTGAAGCAATATGATTCAGATGTTGTAAACATTTTTTTCCACGCTCTGCTAGAATGGGATTGCAAACGACTCCAGAAAAGAGTACAGATTCTCTTAGAGACAACATCTGCCCCTAACAGTCAAAAAAGAAAAAAAATAGCGATTTGTGAAATACTCTTGGATCCATCAATGCTGCTTTTACCCGACTACTCTAAGCGGATTGCGGAACCAATGTCCACTTTACTCAACCAGATGTTGCAACTTAAGCGGATTAAGATTCTATCTGTTCTTCCAGGACTCTGGTTGCTAACGATGCACCAGGATGTTACTATTCAATCTTGGGCTGTATATACAACTAACCTTGCAGCCTCGGGGGATTCATTGATACCTGAGAGATGGACCGGTTGGGAGCAATTCTCAACTATATGGAGAATGGCTCTGGATATGGCAAATGCTCAACTGGGTTCATGTAGTAAGACGACATTACCCTTATCAACCGATCCTGTCCGTATTTGGAGATCAATCCGCACAATGCTTTCTAGTATGGGTCGGGACGTGATTAAGCTGGCGGTCAATAGCAGCGAAAAAACATGGAAGACATTACAGACCCAACTGCTAGCCTCGATCAAGGACTTTATGACGCCGCCTGCAGTATTCCTCGAGACATGCCGCATCACATTTCATTTGCTTGGAAATATGAAGCAAAATTTTTGGATAGTTGATGAACAACAAACCTTAAAGGATCTAGACTTCATGGAACAGCTTATACGTTATGTCTTCAAACATCAAGGGACTCTAGAATATATTGCAGCATTGGCCAGTAAAGAAAGATTAAACAAAGATGCAATATCAGCACAAGCTCTTTCACGCGCATATGCAGAGTATGCTACCTGGATTTCCAATTTGATCAACTCAGCCTCCAGTCTCTTTGACCTTCACCAAGTCATCGTTACGGTAGCGAAAGGGCTTTTAGATGTTGTCAGTGAGCTCTTCAGCTCGAGAGTAACACAGATCGTACTAGGTACAGCCTCTGAGCGCGACCCTGAAAGCATCCAGCTCGAGTATGGTCTGGAGATACTCAATACTGTCCTTCAATTGCTCAAAGAACAGTCATCGGGCGATATGATGGAGCTCACCACAAATATACTTATAGATCATTGGTCATGGCTGGGGCCAATCACTGCTCTTGGATCCAGTACAATGGCGCTCCAGGGATTGTCATCAAGCACTGCACAAAGGATTGGCGGATTGATGACTCGTGCCTCAAATACTGGGAAGACGATTGCACTGGGTTCCTTAAAGCGAGAAACGGAAATTATGTGGCGTAACTATGCTACAGGGATCACCACAGCGGCAAAATCGTCGCAGGTCAGAGCACTTGAGAAATCTAACCCACTTATTTGGCTCAGAATGGCGCAAGCGTCATCAGTATTTAATGCAGTAGAAATCCAAAACCATGTTAGCGCACAGGGACAGGAGCAACTTTTAGAATGGCAAACAACCATGGTGGAGTCTTTCTCAGCATTAGCGCTTTTACCCAAATTGGAAACAAAGTCAACTTTTAGTCCAGAAATCCTCCATCTGTGCAACTCCTTCAATGATAACCTCGAAATCATCTTCAGAGCAAATACTGTTTTACTCGAAGGGTTTGCTCTCCAGGGCGAGAAATGGCTTCAGAGGTTAGCCAATCAGGATAGCAGACGGTTCCTAGTCAAAGCATTGAAGCTTTGGTGCGACCCTGACCCCGAAACAAGAACAAAAGCACTATTTATTATGCGCTCCGCCTGGAATGAGGTGACGCGGTCTGCATGTCTCAGACTTGTTTTCCAAACCGGTGGTGAAAAAAGTATTGAGGAGCTCGATAAAATTCTGGTGGAGTTCCGTGAACGGGCCTGTCCGGGAGGTGCCACGCCAGCAATCCTGTTTGAACTTCTACTGGACTCTGTCACAACCCTTTTCCTTACTAACCAAATTGACGGCGAAGGAGGGCTTTATCTCCAAATTTTCTTGGACCTCACGTCGTCGCAGGAGGTAGCTCGTCACATTTCTTTAATTAAGGGACTTTGGAACTCTATCTGGATGGCTCTGAAAGCTGCTCTATTTGCAGGAAGGACTATTTGGGCAGATCGGCAAGACCGCAATGAGACTATCAGAACGATGACGGTTGTAACCAACGTTGGTTTACTTATGATTGGCAAGATTCGGTACTTTGAACGTCTTTTAGAGTTTGAAAAACAGGGAGTTGATGCCGAAGTAGCAGAGCAGGACACTGTGGACGACTTCGGCGCACAGCGACCACGATCGTCCTCTCGAACAGAGACAATGCCCCTAGAAGCTATGAAGGCGGGATTGGAGCGTATGGCAGACTGGACGTTTGCACAAGACACTGCGCTTTGCACATCAGCCATCAAGTTGGTTTGCGCAGTATTGGACCTTCTCGCAGATCATAATAATCTAATCAACGATAATGTTAATACATACCTGACAAGGATCGCAGAAGGCAATCCCAAAGTCAAGAGTTTGTTGACCATGGAGCAGCGAGAAACTCTATGGATCGCCCTCAGTCGCCATGTCGCCTATCCTCATGAGTTAGAACCTATCTCTCTAGAACAGGAGTCCCATGCTTTGCAGCAGAGGCATTTAACAACCGAGCAGGTACCCATACAGCTAAGTGAGCCACCTGCTGTTACTCAGGAATCTATAGTAATTTCGGATGATGAATTTGACCACATTGACGTCGACTTGCACGAAATGGACTTCAGTGGTGAAAGGACGGAAAATGAAATGAAACATTTGAAAAAGGAATCCCCAACCCATTTAAAGCCTGCAGTAACCTCAACATCTCGTCCAGATTTCTTTTTCAAATTAACCTCTAATAACAACCCTTTCCAGACAAAGCTGAACTTTACTTCGACAGGACCAAGCGGTGGGATCCCAGCTGGAGGCTCAGCAACACGCCGGCTCCCGCCGACTCTGAGCCGACTCCATGCCATTTCTTCCAAGCCTACTCCAAAGACTGCTCCTAAGCCCATACCTGTCAAGAAAGGGAATAAACTGAGTCAAATGAGATCAGACCATCGAAGGGAGCGATCCAATATTGTACAGGCAACAAAAGACGCTCGTCAGGCATCAAGGCTGGATCCGGTCCCAAGATCTACATTCGCCAATGGCACAAACGCCCCGTTATCTGATTCTGAGAAGAGTGAAAGCGAGAGTGATTCTGATGAGGGTGACAACGGCTTCAGCAGTCTTATTGACACGGAGGAAAAATGGAACAATAGAAACAAAGCACAAGAGCCGCGTAAGACCAAATTGCTCGAGTTGAACGAAGTCGTAGGGCCAAATAAGTTTGTAGATACGATTGCAGTTCGACGTCAGAAGATGTTGGAGGAGGCACAACGGCAACAAAGATTGATGCCTAACCTCGCAGCCCTACATGCACAGATCTTGAAATGGGAAGTCTCAGCAACCGGTAATCGGCCGCCAGATGGGAAGGAGTATGCGATAGTCCCATCGACGTTTGATTCTGTAAACGACTATGTTAAAGCGTTTGAGCCACTGCTTGTACTAGAATGCTGGCAGCAGCTCATGAGTGCACGTGAGGAAGTCAACCAATCGTCTGACTCAGTTATGGCTTCGTTTGTCAATCGTGTGTCAGTCGACAACTTTCAAGATACGCATATGAAGATCCCACTGGACAAAGCGAGCAGCCTTATGGTAGAAGATATCGTTGTGATAGCGGACCCCAATATCAAAGATGTGTTTACTGCAATAGGAAATGTCAAACGCCCAAAACCGTTCTTCGCCAAGGTCCAAGCCATTACAAAAGCCAAGGGTGCATGCGAAGTAATCTTCCGGACGTGCTTAAAAATTGAGGAAACGAGTCCTCTGATGTTTATGAGACCACAGACAACATGGTCCGTATTAAAGATGCTCAAGTAAGTCCGCCTTTCGGCTTTTACAATATAGTACATTGTCAATTGGTGTTGATTTGGGCTAACGTGGCCCGTACAATTCATCAATAGCCTGACTCCGACTCACCGCGAGTACTCTGCTCTAGCGGGCTTGAGATACTATGAATTGTGCGACGATATACTTAGACCACCCAATGCTTCGTCTGATAAACCTTCTATAAATAACGTACAAAAAGTTATGGATACTTACAAAGTTAACACACCTCAAGCGCAAGCTATTGTAGCAGCTATTGAAAAGCCCAAAGGGTTCACATTGATCCAAGGGTAAGTCGCGCATTGGTCATTGTAGGACAGGAAGGTCCTCATATGTTCATACCGCTAATACACTTTTTTGTATTGTGATTCTATGTTTCTGTTTTAAATCCTCAGTCCACCAGGAACCGGAAAAACCAAGACGATCCTTGGTTTAGTGGGGGCGCTTTTGGTAGGTGGTTCTCGATCTCGGGCCACTCCAGTCGTACATCCTTCGCGGTCGTCGGAACGATCCCTACAAACAGGAACTGTCAATAAAATCCTGGTCTGTGCTCCTTCGAATGCTGCTATTGACGAAATCGTGAAGCGACTTATGGGAGGCATTCGGAACACTGTTGGGGGAACTTTCGTGCCTAAAGTTGTCCGCGTTGGTACTCTTGAAACAATCAATATGGAAGTTAAAGACGTGGCGCTAGATACACTGATTGCAAAAGAATTAGAGGCATCTAGTGAATCCAAAGAAGAGTTCCAGTCAGCAGCACAATCTATGACTGCAATGCGTGAAAAAATGCGACAGCTTCAGGATGAGCTCGAAAAAGCTCGTTTAGAACTTGTCCAAGCGAAGGATGCGGATGATAATATAGCCATCGCAAATGCGCAATCAAAGATCAAGTCTGTCAACAAATCGAAATGGCAGCTAGGTCAGGACCTCGATAATGCGCGGTCAAAGCAGGCAGATGCTACGCAAAAGAAGGATCAAGCACGAAAGAATGCACGCAACAAAATCTTGGGTGAGGCTGATGTAATTTGCTCTACTTTAAGTGCCAGTGGCCATGAGCTACTGACTTCTTCCACTTTTACGTTTGAGACGGTCATCATCGACGAGGCTGCTCAATCAGTTGAAATCAGTTCACTTATTCCATTAAAGTATGGATGCAAACGGTGTATTTTAGTTGGAGGTAAGTAAACAAACTCTGCACTTGAAGTATACGAGAAAGGTTTTGTCTTTGCAACTCAAGATTAATAAGGATAACAACAACGGGAAAAAATAGATCCCAACCAACTTCCGCCTACGGTAATATCGCAGCTGGCTACCAAATATGCATACAATCAGAGTCTCTTCGTTCGTATTCAGAGCCTTGCTCCGAGTTCAGTCCACTTGCTGAGCATTCAATACCGAATGCACCCCGATATTAGTGCATTTCCTTCACGGGAGTTCTACAAAGCATTATTGAAAGATGGGCCGGGTATGGCAGAAAAAACAAGGGCGGAATGGCATCGCAATCCGCTTACACCACCATATCGCTTTTTTGACGTTTATCAGGGACAGGAACAAATTGGTTTGTCTCACTCACAGCATAACCCTATTGAGGCTGAGGCAGCAGCAGCTCTTCTTGAAGGGCTCTGTAACAGCAATCCAACTCTGAATGTATGATTCATTTCACTTTACAATTTTATTTTTTTTATCTCTTTACAATTTTTAATATGCACGATAGACGTAATTTTTATTTTATTCTATTTATTTTCCAAAGTTCTTTAGGCGAGTTGGAGTGATCTCACCTTACAAGCAGCAGGTGCGCATGTTAAAAGATTGCTTCCAGAGGACCTTTGATAAGCAAATCCTGGAAGCAGTTGATTTCAACACTGTGGATGGATTTCAAGGCCAAGAGAAGGATATCATCATTTTCTCATGCGTTCGAGCCTCAACGCGTGGAACAGTGGGTTTCTTGGCTGATATCAGACGTATGAACGTTGCTCTAACTCGTGCGCGTCAATCGCTCTTTATCCTGGGACATGCAGAAACACTTCGCAGGGAGAATATTTGGGGAGACTTGGTGAAGGATGCTGAAGAACGAGGACTTTTTACTAAGGTAACATGCCTTACTCTAGTTGTTAAAGCGTCATAAGACCTCACAAATCAAATCAAGGGCAATATAATTAATATTTATTATTATTATTATTATTAGGTAACACCAAATACATTTGGAAAGAGAGGTGCGTCTGCACCAAGGAATATTATGCGACCCAAAGTTGGTGTTGCTCGTCGTAATGAACTCTATGGTCGAGTAAATGACTCTAAGCATGCCACGGTGATCGAGAGACCAACAGCTATGATGGAGGATATAATAGAAACCCCATTCTACCCAATACTGCCAGGAACTACTGCAGAGCTGGAACGAAAGCCCTCTTTATCCTCTTCCTCATTATCATCACTTCACAACAGCAAGATTGTCCAGGAGGAAAGTAGAATGAATAAAGATGGAGGCCCAGGCCCAGTAAAGCGAGCTGAGCCCCAGCAGCCTCTGCATCATGCTGGTAAGAGACCGCATGAAGAATCAGCTGGAAGTGCATCTAGTGGGCTGCGACAGGTATCTTTTTACACGCTGCTCGATAAAGGGATTTCTCTTTTTTTTTTTTTTTTTTTTTTTTTTGATATTAATCCAACTACTACAACCTTTTTTTCGATTACGATTGATGAAGCCTAAAGAACCAGGTACACGAATGATTCATGCTCTCCCCCCAAGGCCACCGTCACCCAAGCGGCCAAAGCCGACATCTAGTTTGTTCTTAAAGAGCAAGCCGATGAGCATGAAGGTAAAAAATGAAAAGAAAAAAAAAAAAAAAATGCAATTGACAACTGTATTGACTTTTTTTTTTACACACAAAAAAAAATGGGATGCGTCAGACCAACACTGGTCCTACGAAGCAATATGACATTCCTGTACGAGAAAGGCTTGCTTCCCAAGTAGTCCCGATTCGGCGGAGCTATCCTTCAGCACCCAATTCGTCTGCACATCCTCCGCCGCCACCTAAACGAGGAACAGGGCCTTCCATTGATGATATTCTAGGGCTCATGAACAAGAAACCAGGAAGCAATTAAACCTGCTGATTGATGCAAGAATAGCAATGAACTTTTTTCCTTTTTTTTGCTGCCATAATAATCATACACGCATAATTGCTACTTTAAATTAATTTAATTAATATCTTTTCTAGAAGCTAAAATATATAGTTGCAGGTTAAGGGTGTAGCAACAAACTATTGAAGACGAGGAGATGGGACGTTTTCGGAGGGAAACCCTTTCGGACGCGCGAATTTTTATTTTTTTATTTTTTATTTTTTAAGATTGTGATCAAAACTCACAGCTCAAATGTGCTAGCGACAGTACTGAAATAAGTCAATGCTATAAAATCGGGTGTAGCTTTGACCAACTTTCGCATTACCCCTATCTCTCCACTGCCCACTAATTCACGTTCACTTTCTGCACGCCAGTCGAAGCCCTCTGTCTCCATTGACGTGATCTCAACGCGTAACTTGTCATCAGGGCCTTTGGGAGCCTTGTATTCTAGATCGAGCCTCCACCCATCCGCTCTGTACCCTCCCGCGTTTCGGATGACATAATGAAAGCGGTCCTTCGAAGGGATATCAGATGATAAAGACCAACTGGTCAATTGAGCATCAAAATTGATGACCGTTAAGATATAGTTTGGATGAGTACAAAGGATCCGAAGTCGACGAAGACCTGTCTGGGGGTCAAAGGATACGTTCTCGGCCACGAGTTTAGGTGCATCTTGAATCAACTCTGTAAGGGGTCTAGTCGACTTGGCAATGGTTTGATTCTTTGTTTGGGAACGGATAAAAGGTGTGGTATCCAAGACAAAGGAATCCAAGAATTGAGAGAAAGGGTAGATAGCGTTCCAATCACCAGGATTTTGGACTCCACTCCTCCACGTGGCCTTCGTCTCAAAGAGTTGCTCTAGATTTTGAACATAGTTCTCGTAGATAGGACCTGGGTCTGCATGTGCTACATAGACAAGTGTTTCACCTGAGGTGAGATTCCGGAGATGTTGAGCGTAGATACGTTTCGGATGCATTTTATCGAATGGCTGCAAGCATGTAGAAGAGAGGATAAATACTGCTAGTTGGAGGAGTAGTAACCCTCCAATGATCCTTTTTAGTGCCTGTTGGCCGAATCTGTGTGTAAATGCCAGGATGGGTGGACAAGCCGAGAATATGAAGAGACCCGAGACAACTGCCATAATGTGATCAGCAAATGTATCTACACCAGTACGTCCTGTGAGTGGGACCATGATATCAAGGAGACTATATGCAGAATAAAAAAAATAAGTCGAAGGGATAATGGAGGCAACGATATAGGTAGTGAAATCCACAGAAGCCATCATGTTCACTTTGCTGTTGCTCCTGCTAATGCCACTGTTGTCGTTGTTTTTGATACTGTTATATTGCTGTTGGACTCCAATGAGTCGTTTTTGATTATAGATCAATCCGAGGCTATAAGAGAACGCATAGAGAGCACCCATATAACTACTGGCCAATCCTGCATACGTTGCGGATGCCATTGCTACTGAGAAAAAGAACTGGATGCCTGAAAGGACACTTAGTTCGTTGGCCGAATGACTGGCTTTGCTATCGTGAAATAGATATTGAACCAAGAACATTCCAGCTAGGGAGGCTGGCCCGAAGACCAAAAGAGGTAACCATTCGTGTGAGAACCACCGCATAGGTGTCTGAGCCACCTTCACCAACAAAAGCGCAACCAGATTGGGTGCTATTAACGAAGCGGCTGCAGAGACCAAGACTGAAAGAGTTGATTTGATTGTCGGCCTAGAAGCAGTGGTTACGAGAGCAAAGAGAGCTAAACCACCGATTGCTAGATGTAAAAGAACTGCTGTGTTTACAGAATAGGATACAAAGAAGAAGCCGAGGACGTCATAAAAGACTACGCTTGAAGTCTTTTCCAAATTGGTATTGGCCAAATCAACTTTGTTGCCAAGGTACTGAACCAATGCTAAAGTGTTTTCCCCCATATGTTGAGGCAATCCTGAAGCTAAGTGCTCATTCAAATCTAGATGCGTATGGTAGAGATAGCTGTTGGTGTAGACTGCCATATCGAGGCCTGTTAGGTTGCCATGGTCCACAAACTGCCGAAAATCGGTGTCAGATAGGATGATACCCGTCGCAAAGACATCATTCGCGATCACAGTCCCATGTGGGTATGGCACTTTTCTGTAAGCATCGATCATAGGACGAGAGTTTGCTTGGAACAAAATCTCGGGACCTGTGGTGCCACAACTCTCAAGGTTGATTATCGCCCTTACTGTGCCCCTGAGTTCATGTTGGGTGATAAAGGAATGTGATGCATCCTGAAGAGACTCTTCTCCTCCGTTGAATACTAGAATGTGTTTCAAGCATTTAAAAACATATCACAATGAGTGGTTGAAATTATTGATGATGTTATTGTTGCTTACACATGCAAAAAAAAAAAAAAAAAAAAAAAAAAGGGAGACTTACAAAAGATAACACTGTTTTTCGTGAGCGCAGGCTGTTGACTGAGTATACGGATCAGCTCCATCTGCACTCCGACGCCGAGGGCATCGTCTGCAGCACCTGGACTACCCAAGGTTGTATCATAGTGTGCATTGAGCAGAATGGCGTTCTTGTCACATTCAGGACCACAGGAAAGTCGGACAATAATATTGGTCATGTTTGTATACATCTTCATGACCACTGTTCTTTGTTCAAGAATAAATAAATGTGGATGAATAAGTACACAAACATGTAGCATGGAATAGTCATGATTGATCATCCCCATGCATCAATGCATCCCTCCGTTTAAATATTTTATGACAAAACATCCGCCTCAAATCCACAAACCCCTCTTCACCATCCTCTGCTCTTTTTCCCTGCCTATCTATTGCTCCCCTACTACTTTTCTCCATAACTTGCCTTTGGACATGAAATCAAAGCGATGAGAACCATCTTCTACTTGAACCCACGTCTCAAATTTGGGGAACATAGCACCTTCAGCCCCTGTAGTAACAGTATCATCGGTCTGCCTAGCAGCTTCCACCTTAGCCTGTTGCTGAAGGGCCTTGATCTCTTTGACCAAATACTTTTCTGCTTCATCTGCTGATGCAGTTCCCACGAGTCGTAATCCAATATCTTTAGACAAATGCCCTGTATACTTGCGTACATTTGCTTCCGAGAAGACGAGTGCACCTGTTTGAGGGTCTCGATCCTGGAGGATTGGCGTTGGTAAAGAGTAATGGCGTTGATAAGCAATCAATGCTAAAAGGAATAAAAAGCTTAGGAAGAGACTCCACGACACCAGAGCAGATTTTTGTTTTCTACCAACAGGATATTGGTGATGAGCTTCATGTGCTCCAGAAGAAAATATAGTCTTTTCATCAAGTAACAAGATATTCTCTCCACTAAGGCCTTTCCGCCGAGTGGTGCGCTGTTTCAACACCGGCATGTCTAGATGCGAGTGTAGGTCTGGAAGAAAAGAGCGTATGTAAAGAGTGTGTGAAAAAAAAAAAAAAAAAAAAAATTGCGGGCATTTATTTTGTGGGGAAATTTTTTTTCTTGCACAGAGAAAACATATTTAATTACATGTACGTGGATACAATTCGCTACGCCTTTGCAATAATACATAATAATCCATTCAAAAGCATGAGGTAAATAAAGATCGATCACAGTATGGAAATACAATTACGCGTCCGAACCTTGTGCCTGAATAACATGCACGTCGATAGAGCATGATGTACCAAAAAGAGTCCAACGCAAATTTTTTTTGTTTGCAAAAAAAAAAAGGCCGGCTTGAGTAAGGTTTTTTCCATTCTCTGACACAGACCACTTTCCTTTATTTATTTATTTATTTATTTTCTATCTGCTCATTATGAAATAACAAAGGAAACCCTATCTTGGCACAACAGGATCGGCAGCCACACGATTACATCCTGTACATGAGACAGACTGAGACTGTTGCTGCTGCAATTGTTGCTACGTAGGGTTTGTTTCACTCGTCCATTCTCTGTGCCTTTCTCAAACGGCCCTATCACGCTGAACAGTGGTCCCTACTCTTGCTCCGTCATCATTATATGCTTGTCCTTCATATACACTATTATTTTGTACGTGTCTCGACTCATCCACAAGGTCATGATTATGTTGAATTCCAGTAGCATTCTCCAATCGACTCGATCCCGCTCCTTGTCCTTCATTATTCCGCGGCATCCATGGAAGGTGGCGTGGTGGGTTAGGGACATCTGGATATGGGGAGGTCGGTGAAGGGTAATATTGAAGATAAGCGAAGATTGCAAAGATGATGCCAATAATCCCACCCCAAGTTACATCTACTCCTGCATGACGATAATCTTGGATGCGAGAGATTGACACCAGTAATGCCGCTATTTTGGATAGGATGTGGTGCAGAATAAGATCAGAATACCTTTTCTTTTCTTTTTCTTTTTTATTATTAACAGTCAATTTTAAGTCCATACCAAGGATAGGAACAATCAAAAGGACCACTTTAAGGGAATATCCTCTTCTGTCGAACACTCGCATTTTCCCTGCCATCCAAAGTGAAATGTACGTTAGCCCTGCAAACGAAGCTACCACAAGCCCAACCACAAGTACATTTTCAAAAAAAAATAAAGGGTTAATATGACTATACTTCAGGGGATTGATAACCGTGCAATGCTGTGAGCTTATTGCATCCTAATTACCAACGACTTACTTGAAGCATGTCCAGAAGGAAACGAGCGCATCCCATCCTTCAGTATATGGTGGTCTGGTTGTGAACATACCCTCACTGTCCACAGACGAAGAGGAATATCCTTTACTACAGGTAAGCCCATCAACATCGGGTTACATCTCGCTAAAAAATCTGGGCGATGTTTTCCGACTGTCACCTTTTTGGTGTCGAAAAAAAAAAAAAAAAAAAAAAAAAAAAAAAGATCAAGTATTTGGCGATATTAAATCTTTTTTAATTCAATGCTAATAGGAATATGGCCTGGATATGCAGCACTTTACTTTTTTTTAATACCTTCATGGCTTGAGTGAACATGGTGGTCATCAAAATAGACAACAGCAGCCCCAAGATCCCATTATGGAAATCATACGGACTCCGTCTTATCCCTAACCCCACAACCAAAATTACTACTAAGGGAAAGACACCTGTAATTAAGACTACTGCCCATACAGCGATTGTTTCCTTAGGCTCGTATGGAAACATAATGGCTCTGTCCTCGACTGAGAACTCACGATGAAATGGCTCCACTCGATCCAGTAAAAAGAACAGGGCCAAAAGGATCGCACAGAATATCCAGTCAAATGCATAAGAAAGGAAAACCCTTGTCTTTGGGTTTCGTGGCTGCAATCTGTCCATAAAGGCTCTTTCCTTCTTTATTTCCAAATACAAGGACGATAGTACCGGTTGATTAAAAATAAAGGATTCTCGGTTATCAGAGACTTGATATAAGATGCTTAATGTAATTAATATTCCTGGCCTCCAATTGCTTTGTCCTCAGATAAGCAAGTGTTATATGGTGCAATGGTGTTAACTCCGTTGTCCAGGTAAAGGGGAAATGGCCGATTCGTTCCTTATATTGAATGCGTGAGATGTGAAGAGAAGAAAGAAAGAATAGATGAGCCCGAAAGGAAGTTTTTCTTTTTTCCCAGCTCATGCTATAATATTAGAATTTCCTAAAATCGTGGTGGACGCGTTTATAATTTCCCTAGCGCGCCTTTTCTCTCCCTTTCCCGCCACCTACTCTAACTCCATAAAATCACGACTTGATCTCATTCAATCCCACCCCTTCCATTTCTCCTCTGAATTGACACATTGGTTTTTGACATATTGATATTTACATTGCATAATAAAAAGGCGTAGTACGTCTCTGCATCCTGTAACTATTATTTATTTATTAAATTTCATTGGTTGCAGGAAAAAACAAATTAAAAAATAGCCACTAGTGAAAGGAAAGGACAAGGAATGAAACCAATTGCTTCTTTATACCACCACTCAATTTCATTGAAGGCTCATTCTTCTAAACAACTAAGTAGCTAAGTTGAAGCAGGAGCCATGAGCTTCTTAACTTTCCATTACCCTTTTTTTTTTTTTTTTTTTTTTTTTTTTTTTACAGGAAGCGAGAGGTGAGGGAATGAGCACAGATCGCGCTTTTCTTCCATTGGAGCGAAGAGCGAATGAGCGAACCCACAACGCTACCCCTGGCTCTCCTTCCTTTTTGTTGAGCACCATTGTAGATCTTATTGGTGGATTGCTTAGACTTGGCCCGCTTGTCATCATTTTTTTAAGGATAAATACTGACATGAAGACCTGGAGCATATTCAACTCACTTCTTCTCATTGACGTCTTTTGATCAAGACACTGCTACAACAAGTCCACTTTTTTATTTTTTTTTTCCTGCAGACATTACAATTCTACAAGTCCCTTGATCAAAATCTATCCATGTCGACGTCCAATAAGCGACCATTGATTTATCGAGCACTTGCATCTGCAATCCTCACTTGCATTTGCTTCTGCTTTGCCAGGGTCTTCTTGACCTTGGCTGTTGCTATACCCATACCCGCACCAATCTCATGTTACGATCCAAGTCTGGCCTGCGATAACAGCTATGGATAGATTATATTCGAATTATCAATTTCTACTTAATTTAAGAGGCAATAAAGCAAGAAAGTAATAGAAAATAAAAAAGAAAGATACGTACTCGGTTGAGCACGATGTAAGCTCTTTTTAGGAGGGTTGAAGTTATTTGCACGGGGGTCTCTATATCATCTACAAGCAGCAACGTGTATCCTCCAGACTACATGATTAGCTTTTTATTTCGAAGGAAATAAGCGAAGGTCAGTCTAGAGTAGAGGGACTCTGGAATTATTACTGTTGGGAGTTGCAGCGCCGTGGGAGCTGTGATACTCATCGCGCTCTGTTGCATATTCCACACTATGCAATATTATGAGTAAAAAACACTAATGCGATATAAAGATTAGCAGTAGAAATTAATGGCAATAACACGCCACACAAAGACGCGACAAATCTTTGATATAAAGCTTTTAGAACGAACCAATATCATCCTACAGATAGATATGTAGTTACCTGGTATAAGTCCCTCTACCAGAAAATGAATAAATACCCCATGGGTATGGTGTGTGGACCCATCTACAAAATATTTTTCACGCTCTATTCCGCTCTACAGTCACCCGAAATAAAGTCTGGTCAAAGTGGGTTATTTATTATTATTATTATTATTATTTTTTGAATCTCTGACAAACAGCTCATTTGTGACATACAAAATACTTCACTAACCAAGATGGAATTTACGCTTTTATTAATGAGGCCAATGTGGATAATGACTGAAGTTTTGGGCAGTACATGCTGAGGGAAAACGGCAAGAAATAGGATTGAAGACAGTGCTTCTCTTCATAACCATTTCAAAATTTAATTTTTTTGACCAAACTTTCTTTCAGGTGATTGTACAATATGAAGCTAGTCATGTGCTGATGAGTATGCGACACTGCGTGCTAAAGACGACCCAACGCAAGTTCTGGCTATTATTGGTGAAAAATCAACCCTGATTGAACATGATATCAAACTTGGGATGTAATGAGGATCTTTATCAACGTAACAGAAAAGAGTATTTATGCCTTTTTTCTATCACTATTAGTCACGGTTGTGCTATTAAAGTATTTTAGCTATTTAGATATAGAGATATAGGTAATTGTGGCACGATCGGCTTTGAGTGCGAACTGTCACCAACTATCAAAAGATAAGTAATCTCTCGAGTTACAAACGGGCGAGAGGATGTCCCAGAGTCGCATAAAGAATATCAATCTACTCTGAGCTACGTACGACCTTGATAAGATAAATATTCTGGTCAGTATTTGATGCTTGGGTATCGACTCTGCTTCCTGGTAGTGGTATTTAAGACTGAAATAAAGACCCCGCGTACAAATAAAAAAAGACCCCAGTGCAAATATCTTTGGATTAATCTATTTGGCAGCCCATTGCCAAATATAGTCAACTTTTAAGACTCTCTTTGGCAGCCCAGTTGCCAAATAACATTCATTATTTACTTGGCAGCCTACCCAGCGTTATTTGGCCTCTAACTATTTTTTTTTTTTTTTTTTTCATTCCTAGGAACCGTACATGTTTATAACGCTCATACTTCAAATTAATAAAGCTCCCGTCTTCTACGTCATAGTTATGTGTAGTGACATTGTCTTGTCTCATTTAGAAAACTAATGACTTTTTTTTTCAAGTAGGTCGCTCATACAGTTTTGGAGGTGCCATTTGGAGATCAATGCCTATGAGAGGTTTTCGCTCGGAGCAAACGCGTCTCACCTACTACCTAGACGTCTTCAATAAATCATTCTCTAACCGTGTACATTGAAGGCTGTTTTGTGAAGATGTCATCGCCGCTGCCCTTAGTACCTCCGGCGGCATTAGCTGTGCAAGGCAATGTATCTACAGAACGCTGCTTGTTTTACCACTGCTGACGTTATGACCCTGTTATCAAAAAAAAAAAAGAAAAAGAAAAAGACTGTATTTGGCAGCCCAGCTGCCACCCAAGAGTGCGAAGTTAAGTGGCAGCAGCCCCCAGAAGTAGGCCGGCAAATAGAAGCAAAAATTACGATATTTGGAATGGGCTGCCAAATAGATTAGTCCAAAAGATGCGTGGTCCGGGAATCGAACCCGGGTCTACCGCGTGGCAGGCGGTAATTATACCACTAAACCAACCACGCTTTCCTTAATTTTGTCGTAAATGACGCCTATTGATTTACCTAAATATGTATTTCCTTTCAATTTATTTATTTCCTATCATCCTATTTTCTACCATTTTTAAATAGTATTTAAGTAGCTTTTTCCTTCACTGCAAAAACGGCATCTCTCTTCTTATTATCGATGCCCTTTTGCAGGTGAGTTTATCTTCATTATTCTCATTATGAATTCTCAGAAAATTAGCAGTTATTAAAGATCTCTCTTCTTATTATCGATGCCCTTTTGCAGCATCCTCAAAATCATTCAAAGCATTACTTAGGATCACTATCGTATCCCAAAACCACGAGGCTCTTGCCCAATTCTTCATTTTTCATCATTACCTACTAGTTTCCAGAGATCACTAGTAGATGCTCTACGACAATTTGACGTGGAAAGATCTATTAATGATCCCAAAGATTGACAAAAAATGAACAAAATGATAATAAAAAGTTGGACGAAGTGCCAAGAGATAATTTCATAAATGGACAAAGTGCCAAACATTCTTCATTCTTAACGGGGTGGAAGTGAACGCCAAGAAAACGCAGGTCATCTGTATCAACAGCAAGCAGGATAGGAGGAGCACGCTGAAATTTGGGACACCTACAGAAGAGATCCGACCAGTGGAAAAGAATGAATCGGTACGGATCCTTGGTGTTTGGGTCACAGCAACACCCTGAGGGCCCTTCGGACACGAGTACTGATGCTGCAGCACAGGAATAAGATGGAAGTCTCGCCAACTTTGGAGCCACATCGTGTCAAAAAGTATCGCCACAACTTTATATCGAATGTTTGTGAAGAAATGAAGAATCGTAACATTACTTTCGACCTATCGATCGCAGCCGAATTTGGTCTCCCACACAACGCTCTCTCGACATGGAAATGGCTAAACGGAGAATTACCACACGTATGGAAGGCGCTCACCAAGCGTATGGTATACTTTGTGGATCAAATACTTACGGATGATAAGGAGGACATGATCTCATGGCACGCATTCAGGACCCGTTACGGAGGGCCTAAAGTTTCACCATTCTGGTTCAACCAACTTCAAAACTTTTGCTTCGACAACGATTATGTGAGTAGGCATGCAAGAGAATGGAACAGGAGGAAACTGGCACTCTTAGACGTCAGTGATGATGACAGCAACAGCGACAGTAGTCATGTCAGCTCGGTAGACGGGGATACGGAAGACGAAGATCGAGAAGCGATTCGTGCACTCAACCAATTCATAAAGGATGAGGCAGCGAACAGAACCTTGACAGTATCACCGGCTAATCAAGCTGTTGAGCCACCATTTGGAATGAAGTGGATTCTGGATCAACAGAAGGAGCGGAAAAAGAGACGAGAAGCTGTTATGAAAGAGGCGCGCAGAGCAACCAGAGAACATAACCTTAGGCGACAAAGAGCAAAGTTAGATGCCATTGTCAGAAGAGCAGAGCGCCACCAGGACCGAGAGCGAAGGCATGGTGAACGCATGCGAGCCCGCGAAGAAGCGAGGAGACGCCGGACCCAGAACACAAGGAGATATGAGGGTCTGAGCGAGCAAGCTCTGCTAAGGAGAGCAAAAGTCGACCTGGATTCCAACGAGACACCGTGCCTAAAAGTGATCCCTGAAGTCAACAGAGGCCTAGCCAGGGACACAAATGGAGTTATCATTAGTGCCAATACCGAGGAGAAAATCCAACGCCAAAGGGGACGGTACAATACCCAGCCGGGTAATGTCATTTATACGGATGGATCTCTCAAAGATATTGGCACTGAAAGAGTAAGTATGGCATTTGGTGTGGTAGTCCAGACACAAGAGGGTGAGTTTTACACTGCGCTATCTGGTAGAGTAGCAGGCAACGCATCCTCGACAAAGGCAGAGCTAGCTGGTTTGTTGGCAGGAATACTTATCAGCCCACGAAATAGACCTATGACAATCCGACTTGATAACAGCGCAGTTGTAACTCAATTCCGAGCATTGGTCCGAGACAGAGTGGATAGCACGTTGCGACAACGTATTAGATCACCGTATGCAGTATGGTGGGCAGCTATACACAACGCATTTATTCAACAAGGATCGGAAGTCACGGTCGAGTGGGTCAAAGGACATGCCGGCAACCGAGGGAACGAAGAAGCGGACGAAGCAGCAAAACATGGACATTATGGCGAGCTATGGGATATCAACATAACGGAGCATAATGACATGTACTGCCATGCAAAGTTCAACGGTGTACCGGCGGAAGATGACTTAAGGCAGATCCTTAAGTTACAGTCAACAACTCGTACACATCACACGTGGATCGCTCAGAACAGGACGCAGGAGCATGTTAAGGATTGGACAAAAATTGATTGGCGAGCTACTATGAACATTGTTCATGATAGCAACCTACCGAAAGGACTCTTCACCAGCCCAGCGGACTGCCAAAAGCGAGCGCACAGAATCAAGAAACTCCATGGAATGTTGCCTACACAGTCATATATGAGACACTGGAGGCCGGACCTTTATGAAGACGGCAACTGCAGAGTGTGTGGGACAGAGGATGAAGACACATCGCACATCTGGAGATGTCCAAGGACGATGGAGACTCAGGCCGAGAAGTGGAAGGAGATAATCCAAAATGTGAATGTGATAGAGGAGAGGACATGGAGGAAAGAGTTGAAAGCAGTGCAGGAGCAAGCACAAAGGGCCAGAGAGAGAGGTGTAGACCCACCAAGGACAAAAGAGCCAACTTTTACTGCGGCAGAGGAGGACTACATTTGGAAAACTCTGGAGATGCATATCGATGGTGTGCGAGAAGTACGACGCCATGGTGATAGGAACGGCGATGATGAGGAAGAGAGAGAGCACGCACCAGATTGGTCTGTGCAGGACATTTACCATGGACTTACGCCCAAGTCCATTGCTCAGAGTTGGAAAGTTGGCTTCAAGACAACAACAAGGATAGCTACATATATGGCAGGGCGCTTCGTCAAGGCCATAGAAGAATTCGGTCATACAGAAATCTGGAACAAACGGTGTAAAGTCACCGTTGAATGGGAAAAGACTCGTGGAATCACTGCTACGAGCAAACGCGCTAGAGGACGCAACTGTGCTGGGGAGCACAGACGTAGTAGCAATGATTTCCTTGTCCCTTCCCTCAGACAAAGACAGAAGCTGAATGTAAAAGAGATCTACAAGATCGCGGATGACCGAGTCCGGGACAGTTACCTTGGGAAAACCAAACTGGACGTGATGGAGCGGCTAGGTGGAATGAAGTTTTTGATGACTATGGATAGCAGATAATTTGTCGCGTTGCGCAACAGGCCACGTCGGAAAGGTGGACTTTGAGTACCAACCACGGCGGTCAGGGTTTATGAAATCATGGATACAGCGGCTCTTGTCGTTTGTGCAGTAATAGCTGTTCATTGACTATAGTTTCTGGAGCATTTTGTTCATAGAGTGTAGAAAATAAATCCCATGACCCTGAGGGTCCTTGTTATCAAAAAAAAAAAAAAAAAAAAAAAAAGACCTCTGCGGGTCCTTGTTCGCGCCAATGTGGTTTGCAGATTTATTAAAGCTATCGAGGAAATAGGAAGGACTGAGATATGGAACAGACGCTTTAAAGTCACTGCCGACTGGAAAAGAACTAAAGGCATCACCTCTGTGAGCAAACGTGCCTGGGAATGCACCTGTGTTGGGCAGCACAGACGCAGCAGAGGTGATCTCCCAGGACCTACCCTGAGACAACGACGCACAGCTGACGTGAAAGCGATCAGGTCGGAAGCTGACCAAAGAGTAGTAGGGAGCTATCGGCAATAATTAGAACTGATAGTAATGGAACGGCTGGGAGAGTGCCGTTTTTGATGACTGAGGACTGCGGCTAGAAGATGGCTTTCGCGCACAACAGGCCAAGTAGGGAGTAGAGCCGTGCCACAAGTCCCCAGGGACTAAGGAAGTCTACTCAATGCTGACGTAGTTTATGAACAGGATGTTGTACTGTGGCAGTATGACGATAAGGTTCCGGCCGATTATTGGATACCGCTTTATTTGCGACTCCAGTAATGGAGCAACTCATTTATAGAGCTAGCGTCTTGTTAGATTCTACATGGCCTCATAGGCCCTTGTTATTAAGGAAAAAAAAAAAAAAAAAAAAAACCGATATAGCCGCGGGTACAGCTACGGCCGCTTGGAAAGACTTAGCTAAACATGATAAGGTGGAATGAAATCCGTGGATCCTTGTTATCAAAAAAAAAAAAAAAAAAAAAAGCTTAGGATGACTGTGGATTGCGGATGATTTGTCATGTAGCGCAACAGGCCACGTCGGAAAGATGGACTTTGAGTATTAACCATGACGGTTAGGATTTATGATGTCATGGATGCAGTGGCTCTAGCTGTTTGTACAAAAGCATTTATTTATTGACCATAGTGTCTGGATATTTTGTTAATAGAGGTAAAAAATTAATCCCATGACGCTGTGGGTTCTTGTTATCAAAAAAAAAAAAAAAAAAAAAAAAAAAAAAAAGCATTTTGTGCCAGATTGAGTTCCCTTTCTCGAATGCGATAGTGACTAGACAGATAAAAATAGCGATCTGATAAAAAACAACGACGACCACATGAAAAAACAACGGTGACTTGACAGAGCGTGATCTCTATCTTCAGACATCTTATGACTCTTGTAGATGTTTCTGCTTGTAAGCTTGTGCTTGAACTTTAGCCCAGGCAGATAAATCCTTGGATAGGGGAATGCATTCCTTGACAATAATTTTGCCCCAAGGGCTATTTGCCAACATGGCTGAGGCGCCTCCAACCATGAAGACCCATCTCCAAGGCACAAACCACATAATAAGTGACATGCCTACAAACGCCACAATAATTCCCTGAACGATTGCAATTGCTTCGGCTTCATCGCTCCAATCTAAATGTTTGAAGAGCAAACGGAGCGCATCGTGTGCATCCGTATAATCACCCATCATGTTTTGAATATGTTGCATGTTGCTTAGGTATTGCATGCTTGTGGACTGACGTTCTTCTTCATCATCAGAGGATGAGTCTTGTTCAAGATAGTCTTCATCGTGGTAAACGTGGTAGCGATTGTGATGGCGTTTCTCTTGCGCTTCAATATAAGCTTCCTCAGGCGAGAGCTGTTGCTGTTGTGAAATTAAGTGGACGCTGCTACCAGGAGGTTTAATCCCCAAGATCTTCTGCTGTTGTCGAGCTGACTTTTGTTGGAAAAAGTAAATCATGGTAATTGCCATGATTGTCTGAGGCATTAAGAACAGCAGAATAGGATAAATACCTATAAAATAGTGAAAAAAAAAAAAAAAAAAAGCCAGAAGCACTTTAGCCACTGAATTTTGCGTAAAAAAAAAGAAAGAAAAAGAAAAGAGGGCCTTGAAACTCTCTACTTCTTCCAGTCCGCCTCCACCTTACAGATAAAGCAGTAGATAACTAAAACAAGCATGGTGTTCCATGGATCCTTCCACATGAATATATCTTCCACCCGATCTTGAAACCAGAACACCGGTGTCGTCTTCTGCACAAATTTTGTAAAGTTGATTGTTGTTGCTTGTATCGTCAATGGTGGGTGTTCATTCTTGGGCAAAGCCGAAATGTCTGCTGGGAATGTCATACGGATTGCTGCGGATATAATTGCATCCTCCAAGAAGCTAGTTCGTCCGGGCTCTGGGGAAGATGCTCTATCTCGCTGTTGCTGTTGCTGCGGTTCAGCCTTATCGCCTTTATCCTTATCCTGTGTTCGCACTAACTCTTCTGACCGTCGCGGATATTTCTTTTCTACCAAGCTCTGCATTGGTTGTGAAGACGAAACAATCGCTGGAGGGATGGAGGCGTGCGTGCCTTCGCTATTGCGGCGACGTGATGGTGCTTTCTTGGTAATGACGGTGCTGGTGGACTTTGAGTCTCCTGTTCTCCCGGTCTGAACCGTCATAGACCGCTGCAAGTCATCTCTAGCAGGAGCATACATAGGCCGGATACAGTTATCATAGACGAGTTCGGAGCATTTCTTATGGCAATTGAAATGACATCCTAAGTGTTTAACATAATAGTACATAATAGTGAAAGCAAGGTTAGTTTTTTTATTTTTATTTTTATTTTTTAAAAAAGTAGTAGATCGATTACTTGCCTTCGCATGACACTCCTTGCTTGGCTACACCCCATAAAAGCTATGATAGTAAAAAAAGTGAAAAGAAATTGGCTTCTTTGTCAGCGCGATACTCTCATTTTGAATCAGTGACTATTTTTCTAACCAAGTGGCACAAAATCTGAACGTATAGAGTGTCGGACCTTAGTACAGTAGTCACAATAGGTAAGCTTTGTAAATGTCTTTTCATGAAACTTATGTGTTGACCGCATGATGGTTCGGGAGAAAAGGAATGTAAAGACAATAGCAATGAGAGTGAAAAAAGGAGGTGAGAAAGGCTTTTTTTATCAGCGCGTGTGGAGAGTGAACCGTGAATTTGTGATATTTCGACCATCACGTGAAAATAATTAATGCACATGGTAATTGCCAAGACAAAATTGTGTGTTTGAAATGAATATGCTTTCTTTTTGTGCTTTATTTGCTACGATTAATAAAAGACGAGAGATGGTTTTGGAGATTATTGTACAAGTGTTGCAAGGAAAGCTGAGAATAATGATTAAAAAAAAAAAAAAAAAAAAAAAAAAAAGAGTGGAAACCATCTATGCATGATTGCTTCGACTAAATTCGACTAAATGCATATTTCTCTTTGATGTATGCCTATTAAATGGAGGCAGAGGACGATTAATTACAGCTGGCTTTCCATATGCTTCGCAATACGGTAGAGAGCACGGCCACTTGCTTTTCTCGAGCAGATAAGTCCGTTAGGGAGCGGCATGATTTCGTATGAGTCTTCTTCTTGCAGTCCCCCAAGTGTGGTGCCATGTGAAGATAATTTGCGGCCTTGTGAAGATGTTACTGATGAATTAATGACCAATGAGGCAATTGTAGGTTGGAGATCATTAAACTCCTCATCCTCCTTGTCAACATCGATACTGCCAATGAGAGCTTGTAGTTTGGGTATCGCGCCATAGTGTAGATGGCCCTTTGATGTTGGTGGGACAATGCGTCCAGGCGTCATCAAAGATGGTGCAGTGGCAGGCTGTGGTGGTGGCGGCAGATTGGACCCAAATGATTCAGAGGGAAATGATGCATCAAACATGGATAGATGTGTGCGACTGTAAGCTCGAATGTCCAAGGCGTATCTGATGGAAATAAGAGTGATGTAGTATCATAGCGTTAGCACGATTATCCCTAAACTTGAGTTTTAGTGATGTTGAAAAGTACATGGGCATAGTTTATAAACCTACTTTGATCCATAGACAAGCCGGATATGATGAGCTGAGCGAGGTATGATTGAAAGGAGCTTGAGGCCCATGCTGTCCTCTTTGACCGAATTTTCTAATCTATCGACTACCTCCAAGATGGAGCAAGTCTGTACTATTGTCTACATTGACCAAAAATCATGTAGTAGTTTCAGCACTTTGTTTTTGCAAAATGAATCCACAGCATTAATATTTCGAATGGAAAGCAAACTTACGTTCATAAGGCTATGCAGATCAGCTTCCCGATTGAACATGTCCTGCAAAAAGTATTTCATCCTACGATGTGGGTTGATGAAATAGTCGACACCCTCTTCAATTTCCGCAAGATCAATCTCATATAGTCCTTGTCGGAATCGAGGCGCATTAGGAAGCAAGACACCCGAATTTGATCGTCTCTCTGCTATTGAAGGAGGCGCCCATCTGATAGTGGCTGTATAGCGCCCGAAATATGACAATTTGACGTAGTGTAAATGGCAGACCTGCAAGTTGATATATGATGAGGTGATGGTTGGTGCATGAAGTTGACGAATGATCCTGAGCATTCGAACAATCTTTTCCCAGTCTCCCTTAAATTGTTGAATAAAGTCTCCTCTGATTTTATATGTGAAACTCAGGATTCCGGTTTTTGCATGGTAGCAGACCGATGAATCTAAGTACGTTCAAAAACAGAGGAAAGAAAGTCAATTCCTGCCTTCGCATAGGCTGCTTCCTATAGAACCATATCTTCCCGTTTACCATTTATCATGCCTACCTAACGACCCATTGTCCATGTTGGAGGGGATAGAATCAGGAGCGAACTTTGCTTGTACAATAAAGTTACATGTTTCTCTCTGATTATCCCACCAGCCTGTTAGCTTCGCGCCCACATACAAAAATAATCCCTCCGTAAAGCCTGGAGAGATCGAACTTGGTTCCAAACGAATTAGTGGTATGGTATTTGTCGGTCGCCTTGCAGGAGAAGCATCTTCAGCACCCTTTGTATTTGAAGACAAAAGTCTATATTGGATGCCATGTTGCTCCAATTGCGATTTCACCTCAGTATGACAAATTTTAGCACGGCACAGCGCCTCAAGCTTCGACAAAAGATCCTGGTCAATCGTCAATCTGTAGAGTAATTAAAGCCGGATAGGTGAACACATTAGCTTTTTTTCTTAAAAAGAAAAGAAAAGTACCACTCTCTAATTGCACCAGAAATTCATTCATACCCATCACTGGTAGATGGCTCCTGTGGAGTTTCGTCCCCAACGTCAAACTGAACTGATTTCCGCTTCATTATAGCTGACTTCGGCTCAACATCACCTTTGACAATCTTTCTTTGTCGCTTTAGCTCCTGCCAGTATACAGGCGCCTTCGACTTTAAAGTAAGCAAGATTCCCGTTGTTGGTACTACCTCAATCAGCCAAACGCAAAACTTCCTGTCGATAACTCCTATAACAAGATAATAGCGTGGGTGCTGAGGATACTGCAAAAATAATATTTGTTGAATATTGCTTCCAAATTTCGAAACATCCGGCGTTCCTAGCGCAATTCGCCTATAGGGTTGAAGTCCTAAGAGAACAGCTAATGACTCAAGTTCCACCATTGCCATCTAAGCAGTATTGACGATAAAGGATGTATAAGTATAAAAGAATGTAGCCCCATTGGTGACTTTTTCAAAACAGCAAAGTTTCCTGACAATCATATTACCGAAAATCGCAATGAAATCAATGCATCCACGATATTGTTGGCATTTTCGTTGAGCCTATTTTGAAAAGCGGCAATAACGGCTGTAAAAACACAAAAGTTAAAGTATATTAATAGGGCTTAATAGCAAGGACTGGTTGGTAAAGGATGTTGCATGGTGTACTGCCAGACTTACGATCGATTCCTTCGCCAGTCTTCCCTACTTCCCGAACCACTACCTGTCCTGTCCTAATATCAATCCGTATCCTAATCCATCGGTCCCCTTTCAATCGCACTAGTAGTGCTTTAGGACCAGTCAGGTTGGCCACTCCATTTAGGATTGAATGTTCTGCAGAATCTAGCATGTCTAGCTTGATATCATTCTTGCAAAAGAAAGTGTCATCCTCTTGTTCTGGGTGAGTTTTTGTGGCGTCAATATGCCTAGAAAGACGATCATAGAATTCCTGCATGACCTGCCCAGTATGCGTGTTTACAGTCTTCAGAAGCAATCTCTCTACATGAATATTTGAAGGATCCTAATAGAATAAATTGGAAAATCAAAGTCTTAACGATTGTACCAAATCACGCAATGGGGATATACATCACATAGAAGTCATACCAATTCCAAAATGGGGCCAACTTCTTGTTCTGATATAACCCCTTTGACAACTTGACTCCAAATAACCTTGATGTATGCTTTTGGGTAGCCTAAGCTCTTGGAATCTACAAGGGCCCCCGCAAGGCCCTCAGGTATTTCTGACTTTGGCCCTTCCCGTTCTTCAATCCTGATTTCTAGAAAGTGCTCCTGTTGGGAGACAAGACCTTGAATCTGAGCTCCTGATAACGTTGATGGCGATGCAGACGCTCGTCTTTTAGGTGCTGGGGCAGAGGTTTGTGTTTGTGTTGCAGTAGTCATACCGCTACCCCAGTAGGTCAAGCGCACATAGCTTCGCTGAGGCTTGTTAATATCCACGAGCAACCTATTATTCCATCCAGATCGTACATACTGGGCCTATAGATAGTGTAAATAATAATATTAAACTTCCTTACTCATCTCTAAATATACCTATGAGAAAAAGCAAAAAAATTGAACTTTTCTCAGGCAAAAGGACATGAAAAGACGGTACCTGAATATAAACCAACTCAATTAACAAATGTAGGGACACCATGTGCAAGTAATCATAAAGACGCAACAGTGCTTGATTTGCAGGCGCTCCGGATTCTGGTCCCGCTGGTACGACTGTATACTGTGTTGCATTAGCAGGGCTAGAGGAATCCATCGCCTTTTGGGCTGCATGAATAATCGCTCGCATTTGTAGCTCACTTAGCGAGGTATCAAGCCCTAAGATGCGTATTTTCAATGAGGTGAGAGCAAATATATTTTATGAGTGTTTTATCCTCAATTGGGTTATTGTGGTATCCTTGTGTAAGACAACTGGTGATAGTAGGATACCTTGAAATGATCCTCCAATAGGCTTCACCAAAATCTCGAGCCCTACAATACGCCAGGGAACATCCATCGGCGATCCTGGTCCAGAAACAGTCAGCGTTACCTAATGGACCGGAGAATCATGATTTCCTGGTTAGAAATGTAGTTCGCCTGTGGGAGGTTGCTTCGTTTAGCTTCGTTATGCTGATAATGTCGCCAGTCAACTGACCTGAAATTCATTCGCCACCACAAATTTGACTTTTCCTTTGCCGATTGTATATTTCATGGCTGGTGGTACAAGTTCGTCGCAAAGTAGCCTCATTCGTATCACATCATCCAGTCTTTCTAGTGTAGCCGCCATTTCAGTCCTGCTTGGTGGCTCATCAGCAACATATACCTGCTTAATCCTCGAGGGTAAGCGTTGGTACGTTCCTGTAGTCAAAACATCAATAGCTGTAGGTATATCAAAGTTACGCACACTATTGTAGTTAAAAGTAGGCCGAAGATTCTATAGTCAGCACAAGTTTGAGCTCGTAATGACAAGAGAAAAAGAAGCCTCCAGTTCTCCTGAACTAATTGTCATTTGCATGTGTGCTGAACATACCGAGCTCTGCCGAACATTCTGTAAGTTTCAAATAGCCCTCCGACCGCGCGTGTAAAAAGTTCGTTTTCATGGCGCAAAAATCCAACAATATCCTGATAGGATTATTTGCAAACAATTGTAAGATCAGCCATCAGGAGCTTTAGTCGTGCAAATTGCCGAGTAAGTTATTCAAACGATTAAAAAAAAGATAACGAACCTGACATTGTTGAAATTTGTGTGCGCTTTTCGCCCACTTTGTTAAAACTAGCAATTTGATGAACTGTTCACGTTTCGAAAGCGTATATTCCAAGATATGCAGTTTCTTTTGCGCATCAGTCATTGATGGTAAACTACAGAAAACAAATATAAATAATCAGCCAAAGGATTGTAAAAATTTAAATCTGAAATGCTATCTCCTGGGCACTGAACTTTCTGAAATGGTATAAACGAGGCAATTGTAAGGTGCATGTGCTTACATGTCTGAAAGATTGGACAGATCCGAAAACGCCTCATTGGTCATGCGATGAATGATGGCGCCGAGTGGGACCATACCAGCCAGGTTTCGTGGTAAGACGGGCGTAGCTATAACCAAGGATGACGATGCGGATGATGTGGATGCAACGTTGGTTTGTGAGGCACCCTTGACAATACCATTAGGTTCCATCTTTGCTTCAGTCAGAGAAGTATCGGTAGGCATCCCATTAGCGACGGTGTGGACAGAGTGCGTTCCAGCCATGCGCCATTAACTTATCGTCGGTCGGCAAAGAGTGATGCACACTTCTCTCTTTCTCTTCCTCTCTCTTTTTTTCTTTTCTTTTTTCTTTTTTCTTTTTTTTTTCTCTTTTCTCTATTTCAGTTCCTTTAGATGACAGGACCACTGCTCCCTCCGGTGCTCTTCTTAAATAAGCCTTCTCTTCGTTATTTGTTGAATTAACGTAATGCACACGCGTTGAAGTAGGAGAGGAAAGATGAATACGGTGAATTTAACCACTCTATTCAGAAGGATTGGGCTGATAGATGGGCTACTGTCAATCTGCTTTTTAACTGAAATGTGATAACAAAAAGAAGATAATGAGGAGGGCGACACAGAAAAAAAAAAAAGAAAAAACGCGCGTAAGAGGACGTAGAAGGAGAGAGCGTTCGAAACCACTAAAGTCAGAGTGATCGAATGCAAAATGAAGAAGGATGATCACAATCACAAGTGAAGGTTAAAATGAATAGCTTAAAATCTGCCAAAATTACGTGAGCTCGGCCGTCTGAGAATCCAAAGATTTGTGTCTGAAACTACGTCAGTGGCTACTAGTCACGTGATAAGCAAACCACAGAACAATGGGGTCAAGGCCCCACACTCTTAAAAATGTGTGTTTGCAGCACACCTAATCTAACTAAATTATTTGTTTTACGGGCGCCGACAATCCTGCTTCGTTTCTCTCTGGAGCTTGTCTGCGGGTTAGAGCTTCTTCGCTTGTGTTTCTTTTGGTCTGACTTCATCCAAGGGTATCTTCCCTTCGCATTAATAGACTAAAGATACAGAGGTCTCTCTTGATCGGAGAGATATTCACAAGCAACGTTACAGATACTGTGGCCTACCATAATGTCACGATGGATGTATGTATTGCAGTTGGAGCAGTAAAGCCATCGGATCTCAACTAGCCCAACAAAATCCTCGCATGTGGGACACTTGTAAGGATAGTATTCGTTGACACTGATGACAACGTATCCAAGGAGTTGCGCCCAACGATTTAATAAACAAATCTAGCTAGAGCGAGCCTTTCTCAATAAATAAACATCTTACCTGGGAGATAAAAACGATGCAAATGATTCATGCAAGGACTGACAACCGATTCCTCGCTCCAAACTTGCCAAGTCCAGCCCCAATTACAACCTTATTACACCTGTCTCTCTTTCTACCAAATGATCCTCCGGTTATGCTGAGAAGACGGTCGGCAATGATACTGTACTCAGCATCCCTAGCCCTTCTGGAATCCCATTGGTGCCCTGCAACAAGCCTTTCTCCGTTATAAAATTCTTCGAGCTGATCCTAGTTCAGATAGATATCTTTCAATGCTAGCATTCTCACCACGTAGAGATGGCAGTCTGCTTTCCAGATCACTGATGGAGTAGGCTCCTGCAGGTGCAGCACTCTGCTTATCTTCTAGCCAACGCCGAAACTTGAGCGTTGGCTGGTACATTACCTTTTGCTTTACAGCAAGGTTGTGAAAGACATTGGGGTCGCCTTCTGCGACAGGCAAGAGCGCGCTCGTCCCTACAACACATGCTTGACCGAGATCTATGCCTAATGTTTTTATCTTGCCGGGCTCGCGTCCCCAAATTGCCCTGACATCCTGCTGGCTTTTGACAATGTTCCTAATCTCGGTCAAATGGTAGTCCACGCCGCTAACTGTAGACGTGAGTCGGAAAGGTACCTTGTCTTGAGGAACTTTGGAAAGCCGCCTATATCGGACAGACTGCAATTCTTTCAGTTTAAAGCCAAGCAACTGGAGCCGGAATCCATCAGTTCGAATTGATCCATTTAATACGTAGTCTCTTTGCTGTGGGTCTTGCGATTGAAACTTACTCTTCTGATGCACTTGAGGCGCCTCCCCATTCCTTGCAGTGACATCAAAATTTTCCTGACTTTAAAACCACGCCTTCCCTTGCGTTCCCTGTATTCCTCGATGGGCTTGCCAAAAGGTGAGAGCAATTGTATTACAAGGTACCCCGGCTCTCGAGCCATGAGCCAGCTCGTCATATCTGCTAAGGAGGAGGTAGTGGTGGTCATGGCAGAACCACAAAAAGAAAGTTTTCAGACGAAGGGGAGGAGGAGTTGAGGGATCAAGACCACCGAAAGAACCTTTATTGAGTCCGGGAGCGGCAGTGGTAGAGGCAGATAACGGAGATTTTCAGATAAAGGAGGAGGAGTAGACCACCGAAAGGTCCCAGGAGGAGGAGAGACAAGCCGGCGGCAACAAAAGGATTTGATCTACTACAAATATGACTAGGTTCTGAAAGGCTTTCGTCTTAAAAGTTGTAAGTATTGGCTTGGCAATTTTTTTTTGTTCTTTTTACAATATCCTTGGTCTAGATGGACTGTTCCGTTTTTTAATAGGACGTGACTACAGAAGCGAAACGACAAGAAAGGAAATTTTTGCTTCTCAAAAAGTAACGTGAAATCTCCGCTTAAATGTGATATTTTACACGCGCGTGTACATTTATTCTTCTTTTTTTTTTGGAAAGCACTCAATTCATCGTTCTCTTATTTTACACATTCAACATTGATTCAAATGTCAAGCATGCTTCGAACCCTTGCCACTACAGCCCGGCTGACCATGAATGCCGGTAATACCACCCTTCTCACAGCGCGCGTGGTAATCTTTTATTAATTTTTTACGAACCGGAAGATGTCAGTAAATAATACTCTAGAGATATTATCCAAATAAACAAATACCATTGTGTGGTAACATTGTGCATGTCTCTTCATATCCATATTCATAAAAATAAATAAAAATAGGCCCCTATAACTTCATCCTCGTTGATTTTGCGTAGATCATATGCCACACGCTATGGAGACGATGGCGGATACTCAAGCTGGGGTGGAGGGATCTCCAACTCTCGTCGATCTCTTCCTATAAACACGGTATAAGATTAATGGTTTGGATTTGTGATATAAAAAAATCCTTCACAACCAAAAGTCTCATTAGAAAATCGCTGGTATGTCTTTTTGTTTTTCGTCTAGGTCGTCAAATTTGTACCACAACAAGAGGCGTGGATTGTAGAGCGCATGGGTCGATTCTCTCGCGTCTTGGAACCTGGCCTTCAGATTCTGATGCCTTTTTTGGATCGAGTCAAGTATGTCAAAAGCTTAAAAGAGGTCGCAATTGAAATCCCAAGTCAGAGTGCTATCACTCAAGGTATTTTATTTTTTCTTTTTACAATCTGGTATATTTTGTTTGATCTTAATACTTGAAACCTTTTTTTTATTTTTTTTATTTTATTTTATTTTATTTTTTTAAATAATAATAATAAAATAGATAACGTTACATTGGATTTGGACGGCGTGCTTTACTTCAGAGTGGTAGACCCATACAAAGCATCGTATGGTGTAGAAGATGCCGAATTTTCGGTTGCTCAGCTTGCTCAAACAACGATGCGTGCGGAAATTGGTCAGATGACATTGGACCGAACTTTGGCTGAAAGAGCTCATCTCAATGCCAATATCGTTGAAGCCATCAACACAGCTGCTGCGGATTGGGGAATTCAATGTCTTCGTTATGAGATCCGTGATATCCACCCACCCGCCAAAGTAGTCGAGAGCATGCATCAACAAGTTTCTGCCGAGCGTACCAAGCGTGCGCAGATTTTGGATTCTGAGGGTAAAGCATTTTCTTTTCTTTTCTTTTTTACCTTATTAACGAAATAGCATTATCTAATCAAACCTGAGCCATTTTTCTTTTCCTCCATCCTTGATAGGTTCACGCCAAGCTGCCATCAACGTTGCTGAGGGCCACAAACAATCCACGATCCTTCAGTCAGAGGCCGACAGGGCGGAACAAATCAACAGAGCAACCGGTGAGGCCGAGGCGATTTTGCTTCGTGCTCAGGCTAGTGCTGAAGGTATCCGTCGCATTGCCGAAGCCATCACAAACACCCCTGGAGGCCACCATGCCGTGTCGCTGACAGTCGCAGACAAATATGTGGAGGCATTTGCTCAGCTTGCAAAGGAGACAAACACTTTGATCCTACCTGCTAACGCCAATGATGCGTCCGCCATGGTTGCACAAGCATTGACGATTTATGATGGCATCACAAAGAAGCGTGGAATTCCTTCAGAACAACAGCAACAACTTCCCTCGGCTCCGTCGTCTAACTCTAATGCATAGATCGAATAACGGGCTGGTTTTAAAAGCAAACATGAATACGAAAATAAAAACAAAAAAAAAAGTAATAAAAAACAATGACAGCAAGACATCATTGAGTTAGAGAGAGTACATGATACAATGGATGCAAAAGTTTTGAGTCTCCAAGATAGTTTGAATGGTATGGGTTTTTTCCCCCTTTTTTTAGCTTGCTGCTTAATCTTCCCGACTTTACAGGCATATCTTTTTATTAAGCTTGCATTGCTCATAGTTTCTAGTATACATGTGCTTTTACTTTTACTTCTTTCGTGGCTTGATGTCCGATTCCTGTACTGGACACAACATAATGGCATTCTTGTGATCTGCTGGCATTCCAGTATAACCCTACAGAACCATAAACAAACAAAAAAAAAAAAAAAAAAAAAAAAAAAAAAAGAATGTAAGCTATTTCTATCTGATTATATAAAAAAAAAAGCTAATTTCCATTGAACTGCACTTGCCTTGCTCCAATCATAACTGACTGCGTACGCATAAATCGATCCATTCCTGTTGAATGTAGCAGTCGAGATTGGCGCTGGTTGCTTATTAAATACTTTGAGTTTCTGCTTTGAATCCTTATCCCAAAACGTGAATCCACCATCCGAGCCGGCTGTCGCGAATGTACCATAAATAGGGTGGAATGAAATTGCATTGACAGCATACACAGACGAGTCCCTAGCTGCAGGCGCCCCATCTCGATGGCATTTGAAAGAGAAATTTCCTCTAATATACAATTGGAAAGTTGTTTTTTTTTTTTTTTTTTTTTTTTTTAATGATTAGTCATCAAAACATATAAGAGGTAACCAGCCGACCCATAATTAGGAAAGGGAAGACTTACTGGCTATCCTTGACATCCGTATACTGAATAGCAACACGTCCTTCAATACTTCCGACAGCAAATCCACCACCTGTTGTGAAACATGAGACAACACGAGTTTGCATCTTCAGAGGACTCTCCATGGTTCTGAATGGAACAGTAGGGTTACTCATGTCGAACATTGTGATTTGACGGTCTGCCATTGCTGCGACCAATAATGATCCATGTGTATCCATAGAGTAAAGACGATCACTCAATGCCACCGACGAAACAGGATTCTGCTGTCGAAGGTCCCAGTACTATGAGGCAAAAAAAAGAAAGAAAGAAAGATTGTATTAAAATAAACAACGGCTTAAATAATGTCAAATTCATTACTAAAAATGAACTTGTACTTTTTTTTTTTGTTACCTTGATGGATTTGTCCCAGCTTCCAGTTGCAACAATGTTGGGCCCATCAATCCAGCGCAGGCTTTTGATGGGTGCATCGTGTTTTGCAAACTGGGAAGGTTGGCCAGTAGCTAAATCAAAAATCCGTCCCGCATTATCTGCGCCTCCTGAAGCAAGCTTTGACCCATCCTGTTTATGGTCGGTGTTTTTTTTTTTTTTTTTTTTTTTTTTTTTTTTTTTTTTAAAAAAAAAAATCTGTGAGATTTGAATAGATTGGGAGATATAATAATACGTAATAACTGTGTTCTTTTTTTTCTTTCTTTTTTTTAGGAAAAGTGCAGATAGAAGACTTACACCACTCCATTGGCACGCCAGTGCAGGTCCTTCGTGCGAATACATGGCTTTGGCAACAGTAGATCCGTCTCCCATGACCTCCCAGATACGGACCTAAACACATTGAAGAAAATAAAATAAAGTAAAGAAAAAAAAAGAGAAGGATCCTAGTAAGCACTCTAGTATTACGACAAAGGTGACGCGAAAAACAATAGTGGCACTCAATATTTATACTTCATTATTCCAAGATGCCGCTGCAAGGAAATCACTTGTCTTAGAGAATGCAAGCTCTGCGATGCCATCATTTGGTGGCGATGTCACCTAATCATGAAAGTTGAGACGAATTGCACATGTAAGTGGATAGTTTTTTTGTTGTTTTTTGTTCCAAGAACGCGTGGATCAACCAGGATGTGGTGAAGAAAGGAAAACTAAATTGAGAGTAAAGAGATATAGCCATAGTGGGTACCTCAATGTCCTTTGGCTGATTCTGGTTAGCGAGCATCATGTTGGCAAGAGTGATTGGTGCTAAAAAGAGAAAAAGAGAGAACAAGGAAGACGTCGAATGGAGAAAAAGAAAGGAAAAAATAAAAAGGAAAAACGGTGGCGCAACTCAAATTTCAACACAAGATGTCAATTTGAATTGATTTAAGCTTTGTCTGTAGTAATCTTGGGTAAATAACTGACACTTTTTATTTTATTTTATTTTATTTTATTTTATTTTTTGCATACAATGTATTGTGTATCGATGTTATCATTACTGGGCTGGAGCCGGCTTCTTCTCCTTCTCCTTCTCATTCTCAGCTTCAATCTCGGCTACAACCGCTTCAATCTCAGTGAGTTCCAAGCGCTGTTTGACAATAATAATAAGAAATAGTAAAAAGGTCCTGATTAGATTAAAATATTACAATTGAGTTCCTCGACCACAATATAAAAAAAACTTAGAGCGTCAACAGTACCTTAATGACACTATCATTTCCCATGATGGCAATTTCAATGTTCTTGGCGCCAGTCTGAACAACCTCAAGCAAAGATCTAATTGCTAGCTTAATGGTCTCAGCCCTGTCCATGTCTTCCTTATAGTTCTTCTCCAAAAACTCGCGGACAGTTTTTGAGGAACGGCCGATCGAATTTGCTTTCCATGCAGAGTAAACTCCTGAAGGGTCTGTCTGATACAACTTTGGTACCTTATCTGAGTCAAAACCCATGATCAATGTTGAAATTCCAAAAGGACGAACTCCTCCACTTTGAGTGTATTTCTATAAATACAAATGAATAAAAGATATCAACATTGGTCTTAAAACAATTATATATATATAAAGTAGTGATAACAGCAACAGTAGTAGTACTAAGCACTAAATGTTTTTCTTACCTGTTGTACTCCTGCAATATAACGCGTGATGTATTCAATCGAAACTGCATCCTCTACTGTAAGTCTGTGGCTCTGGCACTCTATCCTTGCCTTATTGACCAGCACACGGGCATCGGCAGAAAGTCCTAAGAGCCGATACGACAAGGCAAAAAAAACCAATTGATATCCATTGAGCATTCCGATCGTCTCAATTGCGATATAAATATATATTTATATCATATTTCCTTGTAAAAAAAGGTGCTGTGCAATAAAAGGGCTCACCAGCAAAAGCAAGGCAGACGTGTTCGTCCAGCATACAGATCTTCTTCACTGTGCGTTCGTCTTGGAGTTTCATGACTGATTTCTTCTCAACACCTAAAACAACAACGTCCTTGCCACGGACACCGACCTAAAAAAAATCAAGATAAAAATATAGAAAATTAAATCATTAGCCTTCTTTTTACAGAAATCAGCTCGGGATATATTGGAGTGTAAATGCCGTTTATGTTAAGACGCGTTTTTTTTTTTTGTTTTTTTCTGTCTTCTTGTCTTCTCTCTTTCAACTTACAACACAGCTTCCTTTGCGAACAGCTTCGACAGCATAGTCCACCTGAAACAAATGACCATCGGGTGAGAAGACAGTCAATGCACGATCATAAGAGCCAGCCATGGTTTGTAACTTGTTAAATTTTGATGCTGTGAAAAGGATGGAGAAGGAGTAGAAGTAAGTTTGTTGAAGCAAAAAAAAAAAAAGAAAGGTCCCTTTCTGCATTCACGCACACAGACACTCTTACGCACTCCGTGACGCGTCCCATAATGATCACGTGTTAATGCCAGTCATTGAAACCTGGATCAATATTTTAAACAAGGTGCTTCAATTTTTTTTTTTTTGTCTTTTTGCCACAGTTAAAGTATTTGAATCAACTCAAACGCATCGCCATGTCTCTTCCATCAGCTGACGAGTTGGAGCAACTCGAGGAAATTGGTATGAAGAGCTAAGAAGTATCTTGACACTCGAAACAATAGAAGAAAAAGAAAAAGAAAAAAGTCTTGGCAGCTTAATTCGATTTATATCCAAATTGCTATATTACATTTTAGAAAAGCAGTGGGCAGTCAAAGCTATGCACCATGCTGAGACTTATTTCTCACTCCTCCAAGCAATGGATGGATCCAAGCTCAAGCTTACAAAGTATGCTCTTTATTTTTATATTATATAAAAAAAAAATGAAATAAGATAAGCAGTATGCAGAGGCAGGATTGAAATCTTAGGAGTAAAGACAGCTGGAATATTAATGACATTACGGACAGCATTGATCACAGAGTTTTTTAACCCGGATAATTCTTTTTCTTTCTTTTTCTCTTTTTTTTCTATGTAGGATTGACGACGAAATTTACAACGATTTCATCTCAACATTTGGTGCAGATTTCAAGATTGACGTGCTAGATGAAAACAAAGACTTCAAGTCTCCAGAAATGAAGGAGAAATGGCGTAATTTCATCAACAAATACGAGGGCGGTAAAGTCACCGATTATAACTTTGGATCCTTGCTCCGGATTGATGCCAGCAAGGAATACACAGAGGACAACAGCATGTTTGGTAATAGAAATGGAAGCAAGTTCAATAATTGAAAGCGTTCTATTTTTTTTTTTTTTGAAATTTTTGATTAATTTTTTTTTTTTTTTTTTTTTTTTTTTTTGATATCCATAGTCACTCGCATGCAGTTTTTGGCCATTGAGATTGCTCGTAACAAAGCTGGCCTCAACTCTGTCCACTGCAAGTCAAAAAAGTAGATTTTACCATATTTAGAAGGCTCAAGAGTGACAATAATAGAATAACATGGGAGCTTTATTTCTCTTGTTATTACATGGTATATAAAAATGTGTATTTGTTGTTTGAACAACCGCGCATTTTGCAGTCGAGCATTATTTTGAATTTCCTTGTAATCCCTCTTCCTCCATTTTTTTTTTCTCTAGTCCCACATTTGCTTGCCGCGTTTCTTGCGCGACTGTTTCTCTTGTTGTTTATCGACTCTGACTTCATCCTTCTCTGCATTCATCAATCCACGTTCCATTGTCTTTTCCTTGCGTATCTTAGCCTTTGTGCTTAGTGACTTTTTCTTGATCGTTTTCTTTGGTTTGTCACTTATAAAACAAAAAAAAGGCGCACATACAAAAGTTGTCTTAGTCATCCTAGTAGGGAATAGAAAAAATAATAATAAAATAAAAAAAAAAAAAAATACCTACACGGCAATTTGCTTGCGCACTTTGGCTAGTTCCAACTCACGAGCCACTTTTTCCTTCATTGACTCTGCCTCTTTATAAAAAAAAAAATGCCGTTTTGAGCGTTTGAGTGACAAGTAAATGGTTAATATCTCTGTTTTCAATATTCAAAATGCCAAAGCTCCAAATCAATATGGGACAATTGATCCAACAATTTTGAATAAAAAATTTTATCTGTGAAAGAAATTTATCCAGTTTTATTTTCCTTTGATCCCTTTTCCCTTGCTATACCTTGTTCGCTCAACCCTGACTTCTGCTTGTTATGCTGTGGATATCTTGTCTGGTGAACATCTTTGATATATATATAAAAAGGGTATGATTTCAATACGTTATTTATACAAAGGTTGACATGCAAAGCAGCCATTGTAAATCCAGGCATCCATCCATACTTGGTCGTGTCTTTCCCATGTTGAATGTGAATAAATGAAGGAGGGAAGGAATGAAGAGGTAGGTTTTTATAAAAAAAAGTATGTGGTATAGCTTTGTTTCTTTTGTTTATTCAAGTTTTAATTAAGTTTAGCAGTCACCTGGCAGTGGGAGGAGATCATACATTTTAGGTAGGCTCACAGGCCTTTGTTATTGCCACGCTGTCTAGATATTGGTGATGTCGCGGCCGCACGTTTCATTGAATAAGAGCTTTGAACACTGAGCTTTAGATTGCTAAAGAACTTCTTTCGTCAAGTACACGAGCACTATACTCTAGCTGACTCCATCCCTTCATCTTTTTATAACTGTTATTCATATTCCAACAATAATGATATTGTACGGGATGCGACAACCTCTGCACGAGTAGATGCCATAGCGCTTGCCTATTTGCTGCTACTTGAACAGGATCTAGGTTGACATTGGTGCGCGAGCATACTCTGTACATTTGTACCGTGACCTTTATGCTCGATCATTAAAACGTGTACCATTGCGTTTTTTCCTGTATATCAAAGAGAGAAGCTGATAGCTCTAAAGATGCTTCTAGATGGCTAATGTCAACCAGGTATGAGTGCGAGAGGCATACAATGCCTTATATCGCACCTTTTGGTATCAATAGCACTTTTTTTTTTTTTTTTTTTTTTTTTACTGAATAAACAATAAAAAAATTTTCTTTTTCTTTTTTTTTTCTCGCTGGTTTAATTCATTTATAATTAATACTTCTCAGCGACGCCCTGGGCTGCTAGAACGACCAGAGCGACGGCTGTTATATCCACCTCTGCTACGTGTTGTAAATCCTTTGCGTCCTCTATCATCGTTTGGTTTCACAAATGCAAAGTCGCAAGTCAATGTTTGGTCTAACAGTTTCTCTCCATTCATGGCTTGAATTGCTGCCTCTGCCTCTGAGAACTTTTCGTATTCAATCAGTGCATATCCCTAGTCAATTAACATTAAAATAAAAAAATGTCAAAATTGTGTTTGCTTATTTCTTTTGTTTTTTCCCCTTAAAAAAATTTGCTACAATACCTTTACGAATCCTGTGCGACGATCCAGGTTCAAATGAATATTTTGAATCTCCCCAAACTCCCCAAACTTGTCTTGGATATCTTCTTCTGTTGCTTCCTCATGTACCCCTGTGATCAAGACGATCCAACCCTCAACAGCTGCAACAGCAACAGCAACAGCAACAAGAAGGGGGAAAAAAAAATGCTGTTAGTTTCAAAAAAAAAAAAAGAAAAATACCAATCAATTGCCAAAGACCCTACATTTCACGGCCTTCCCAGTGGCATTATCATCATTTGAATTTAACTTCTCGAATGAGCTGCCATGCACACCATCACCTCGCTGATCTGAAATAGATATAGAAAAATAAAAAAAAAAATGAGAATCAATGTCATCTATCAACTTCAATATTTGCCGTGCTCTGTCGTTTTTGGCCCGAAAATGGTGTACAATTACCTCCACTCTGAAAGCCACGCCCTTTCCTTTTGATGGTAATCTCCTGGACATCTATATGAAAGCGAATGGTAGTAGCACTTGTCATTAGTCAATAAATAATATTAGTTCCGAAGGGTAGTCAACGATAAGCCCTGTTCTAGTCAAGATATAATCTTGCAGTCGTTTTTATAAAAGCTTTAAGCAAATTCTGACGTGATCCCTCCCCCCTGCTGACCATCTTTCTAAAAGTCGACTTTCACCTGATCCACGTCCATTCCTGCTGCACTCGCGAAGTAAAAAAAAGTCGGGTATTGACAATGTATTACGAGGGTGCATTCGTTTTCATCCTGCTCCGCAAGCTTAGCAGAATATTGCTATTCTTGTCAGCCTTCTGTGTCCAGTATGCTTGGTTCTGTAATCTCACTAATCTTTTTTTATTTTTTTAATGTCCCTCATAATTTTTTGATTCCATTTAAAGTTCTATTGATGGCAGAATTATATTACCAGACATTTCCTCATCTTGCAAGTCATCGCCAGGCTTCACACTAAGATCAATGGCGTATTTATCAGACATGGCTGGTTATTTTGAGTTGTGATAGACTGGGGTGCGCAGAGGAAGAGAAAAAACAGGCATAACCTTGACCTATTCCAATCTGAATCATGGGACAAGTCACATTTGGGAGGAGGAAAGGCCCAAAAACAAAGAGAACTGTCACGCATGAAGTCGATTTGCCTGGATACCCTTGCTTTCAAAGTGTGGACTACATCCCACAGTTCTGTCACTGGGGGTTGCATATAACATCCTTTCGTTATTCCAGGACAACTGCGTCTCAAAAACAATGGCTGGCTTTTCACCCAAGCAATTTTGCTGTTCTTTTTTGCAGGTCTGCAATCATAATATAGCACCTAAACATTGTATATATCATGGTGTTTTTTTTTTTTTTTTTTTTTTTTTTTAGCCAACTATTTCAATTCTGCTATATTTTGCTTCGGGCTCTTTCTGGAAAATAATCCTGTTACTTGTGATGCATTGATGGATAGCCTTGAAAAAGCTGTTATTGAAGGGAAAAGCAGTGCCTTTATCAGAGATCTCACGGAACATAAACAAAAGGTCAGATCGCGAATTAGGCGATTCAAAAATAACAGAACTATATTCTACCCTCTATCTTTTTATACTTTACAAAAGGCATGGCACTGCACTAAAGGCCTAGGAACGGCGGTTGTTTTTAAAGTATGGATTCTAACTACCCTAAAAATTAATATTTCTCGCGCCCTCTCTTTGAGGCACCTGGCTTGCTATGAGTTGAAGATGTTACTGGCCGCTTGCTACTCTGGCCATGACTCGACGCTGTGTTCTGACTAAGACTGATCCCTCTGTCTGTCCATGTACTTGTGCCTATGTTTGCTCTTGTGCTTGTGTTTGTCACTGATATCGCTCTTTGATGTATCCAAGGAGACTGTTCCTTCGCATCTACAGGCTGAAGTTGATATGGTCGTCCTTGTCTCTTTGGGTGGTCACGAATAACATTGCATACATTATGCGTCACCATTACATTGCAAGCAGCTTGTCCAACAAAGTCTTTACAGGATGGATGGGTATCCCTTCATTACCTACCATCTATATAGCCAGGTGAGCACACTTACAAAGAAAAGCTGATCTAATCAGTTAATGAAGGGATAGAATTAGTGAGAAACGGTCGAACTATTGGCGGAGGTGGAGCTGTATCCCTTGGCCTTTCGAACGAACTTTTCCTTCCCCTGAGCCGGCTCTATGCATTACTCTGCTGTCTTCAATCTAAGAGCTTTGCTTCTCAAGAGACTCCTAATAGTTGTAGTAGTTAGATTTTAGTGGTTGGGATGTAAGAACATGCAACAACGAGGAGGTAGCTGTGCAATATAACTTACAATAAAGTTTCAGATAATTGCCAAAGAGCTGTCCTCGAGGAAGTTCAGAAGGTCACCCCTGTCTCTTGGTAATTGGATTGTTTCTGGGGCAGTTCTTCCAGCAATGACAATTTCGCCCATTGGTTTAACTTGGTAAAAAAAAATACCAGCGAAGTCTATTGCGAGATATATGGACGAGAGTTACAGAAAGTTGCTCTTCTGAACTCACTGCCTATTAGAGTTGACAGTTGACAGTTGACTTACCAGCAACATCAGCAACATGAACACAAGGAGGAGTTCATTCGGTTCATTTGGGTCTGAAATATCATCACTCAACACTTGGTGCTTATACAAAGTCTTGGCTTTCGATGTTCCTGCCTCTTGAGCAGCGACAGCTGTCTGATTAGTTATGGTCTCTGTCGCCAATCCCAAGACATGTTCACTCCAAAATTGATCTTCTCTATTATTTTGGGATTCTTGATATAACTACAGCGGTTTTACTTTTCGCTTTTTTCGAATTCCAACCGATGAGATAAGTGCTGAGAAGGTATCATGTACTGATTTCTTGTCAGAGAAATGAAAATGTCAAGCAACGCTTGGCAGCAGAATGTGTTCTTTCCCAGCTATTCTCGTATTGGCCCAGCAGAGATGTTGAAAATACGAAGACATATGGCTGAGGAAATCGCCAATATGGTAACCCGGACTCTATGAATATAGATATAAGCTAGATGGACGACCCGTGGCTTCGTTAACGGTCGCATCAGTCTAGCACTTCGCCTCGTGAGGCTCATTTGCCTGGTCGAATACCAACGCACCCCTCTTAGGTAGGATACCTGCAAGCAATAAAAGCATACCTAGCAATATTCCTTGGTTTGTAGCAAGTCGAAATTAAATTAAATATTCATGGAGGAAGAGTGGTATTGCTCAAGCATACGAAAACTATGATTGTTTTACTTACAGATTTGTAAAAGAAGAATCGTTCTCCCAATCATTGTTATCTCAAGCGCTTAATGGTGCCAATGAGGAAACCCCTCGCAGTCCTTGCTGCTGCAGTCCTGGGCTTAAACTTCTCAGGTCGCATTTGAGATGACACTTGCGCGGGGCACACCCCGCCAATATTTTTGGTACCAATCACATCACGATCAAATATACCACGCACCTACGGTAGTATTTTAATCGTGATAGGACTGGTTCTAGGGGACTGATATGGTTGGTATGGTAGCAACGTACACTGATGGGTCATCTATGAGCGCCACCTAGCGATTTCCCGTGATACTATTGCTGTTAGAGTCAAAGACTTGAGCATGCGATCAATCAACTATTTAAAGTCTAGAATGGCAACCGTTTTTAGATCAGTATGGAAATTCGATAACATACCTCTAGCGAAAAAGGAGTCAGAAAGGTGCTTTTTTTTTCTTTAGGCTGGGGAGGAAGGAATAAAACATGGTAAATGTTGCCAGGTGCGCTAGGGGAGTGGAGGCAAGTAAATGGTGGACATGGTGCATCGTGATGATATGGTTTTTGCTGATTTTTTTTGCCGATTGATTTTTACATTAACTGCTATTAATTTTTTTTCCTTCCTTGGCATGCAATGGGCGGCTATTTTCTCCTAGTAGAAATCACAGAGAACTGGATCTAATCTGCCCATGAGTTAATGGAAGCTAATTGGGCAAATTCGCCCGGTTTAGAGCCTGAAGGATAACTAAGTGATTAGGCCCAAAGAAATATCAAGATCTTGGCCTCGGTACCACTAGCCCATGCTTCTTTTTTCTTCTTTTTTTTTTTTTTTTTTTTTTTTTTTTTTTTTGAAGCACACAGTCGGATCGAGCTAATGAACAATTTAGAAAGAACCCATCAATTGCGTCATATTTCAACACTGTCCTTAAAAAAGAATGCGTATGAAATCTCAAGCATTTCGCATGGCACAGACTACACCTCAATTCCTTAATAGCAGGTAGGATAGGAGATTTTGGGTCCTTTTGATGGATTGTGGAGCCGGCCACTTCCAGCTACAGATAGATGAAATAATTCTCGAACACAATAAAAGAACAATACACTACTCAAAGGCTGAACGAGAACAGTCAGCACTCAAATGGCTCTTGTGTAAAAGAAGGAACAAGGAACCAGAGTTTCCTGAGCTGTTGCCCGTTAAATAGTTGGTGGCGAACTCTCTCCACGTGACTAAACTAAAGCCAACAATGTTCTCAACGCTCATATTCTACGACTTTTAATGTTCTATCAATTTAACCATGCACATGCATCAATGGCTGAAGGGGCCCATCATTGAAGCCTGACTATATCATGAAGGCTATGGACGGCGTTTGAAGGAAGCCATCATTGAGGCTGGAAAATGCATCCATCAAACTAATTCAGGTCCGTGCTTTTTTTTTTTTTGTGTGTGTAATGCTCAGTAGTAACTTGACAGTGTAAGCTTGGTCTCCCTTCTGTACCGTTGTTCTGAAGCAGGATAGATGCACCTTTGCTGAGAAGAGCAGCCTGTGTTCAAGCAAACGCTAAGCCCAAGCTCAGTTGCATTCTTAACTCTTCTTTCCTCTTGTTCTCTCTCCTCTTTTTTTCTCTTTTGGTCGAGAAAGTCAATCAGGACACACTTGCCAATGGAGTTGTCAACCTTATCATACAGCTTCTCTTCATCTTCCGTCGCCTGTTGGCCGTGTGGCTCCCCTTCAATCTCCACAGGCTGTGCTTGGATGAAATGTTTAACAGCCTGTTTGGTTCGCCGTGCTTGGGTGATACGTTGCGCGCCCGATGTGGATCCTTCCGATTGGGAAACGGTTGTCGAATGGCTCGAAGCTCCACAAATAGAGCAAGGACGTTTAACACGCGGCGGACGTATGGAAGATGAAGGCGCAGACGGCGAACGTGTGATAGGAGAACGTGTGGAACACGTGGCAAGCATAGTTTCAAGAAATGAAATAATAAATGTAAGTAAAGGTTCAGAGGTATAGGATGTGAGGAAATAAAACGAAAGCAAAGGCTCGGAGCTATAAGCTGCTTCAAGAAAATAGGGCAGTAAAGCAAGCCTTTTAAACCTCCATACATTGTAGACGATACAAATACAACAAATTTGGTTAGCTGTGAGAGGTTACATTGAAGTACTATACGATTCTTTACCACTCACTCATATATGTCAATACACATTTGTTTATTGATAAACGCTAGATGCAGGGACAGACATAAAATAATGCGTGCGTTTGTTTGTTTCTTTTCTTCTTTTCATTTTTTCTTTTCATTTGCTCCTTTTTCCTTTTCTCTTTTAAGCCGCACGGCATCGGACACTCTGGACAGTGTCTGGGAACGTGCCACAGAAGTTGCGGTATCCAGCAGAGTCGATCGTCGCAATGTAGTCGCTACTGCATCCATCAGACTTGTAAATATCGCAGGTCACACCTCGTCTGGTGATGGCAGAGCAGGCGCCAAAATCAGGCCAGTTTTGGCAAGAGTTCATGGCACCGACATTGAGATAGTTCAGAGTGCAGTCTCGGCCACGGTACAGAGCAATCTCGCCATCATCTGGAGGAGCACTCGAGTGGCTGCAGTCGGCCTTGACAACGGCAGCGAAGGCAATGAGGCCAAGAGTGAGGAGAGAGAAACGCATGGCTGTTGTTGTTGTTGTTGTTGTTGTTGTGATGAGCTTGTTGTAGTAGTGGTTGTTGTGGGAGATGATGAGGAGAAAAACACAGAGGGGTCGAAGGGTATTTATATAGAACCGACATCAGCTTGGAAGGCATAGATCACTGACAGATAGATAGGGCCTTGACCACCGCGATCCCCACTTCCACATTAGTCAATCGACACGCTGCTTTTTCAGTAGCAGCTATAATTGGCCAGGGACAGCCTTGAGTATCTCCAGTAATAATGAACACGCCCACGTAGAGCCATGTACAGTGGTCACTGGTTCAGTACCATTCAATAGTAGTCAACGTCTAGTGTATGTGTAAACAATAGCCATGATTAATGCGTAACAATGCATTCCCGGCTGTGAAATTCTACATATCCAATAAGATCGGCTGTTCTCTCTCAGGCTTGTCATCCTCTCACTACCCTCTCTCTTAGTATCGGCGGTATTCTCTTGATGTGATGGTGATCGAGCTATTTACCCCTTGATGCATCGACTGACGCCGCTTAGATAGGGTGTTTTTGCTGTATTGCATCAAGGCAATTTCCCCCTTTATTATGCTATGTCAGTCTGGCGTTTGTTCATTTGGCTTTTAGCAGTAATAGACGACACACTGGTTGATAGTCCAATAGGAGAGCCACATTTTTTTACCATTGGTTACAAAGGTAACATGTCAGTAGGAACCTGCATGAGAGGCCTACATTTGTTTCTTAGCCAGCGTCTTCACTATCGATGGGATGCATTATGCATTGAGTCAATGTCTTTTTATTGTTTTATTTATTCTATACAGCGATAATGCGATTCGAATTCCGCTTAATGAATCGTTTACATCGCTTTTCTATTACCTTGATGATCTGTTTGTGTGGATTTTGTCTTGTTATTTGTGTTGTATCAACAGAAGAATGTGTGTCGATTTTTGTTTATACGGCCTGGTGTGAACAAAATGTTTGCATGCCCTGGTACGAATAATACGTAAAAACGGTTTTGTATTACCATTCTTAACTCTACTTATTTTAGAGTTGGTCGTTTTTTATTCTGTAAGCATTGCCCTAAAATACGTATTGTACATGTCAATACGCCCAATACGCAATTTTTTTTTTTTTTTACGCTATTTCTCAAAGTCGATGACCCCTTGATTGGCGTAGTAGGGCTGACCTTGCAGCTTGCTACTGTCCATCACTGCTCCTGGTAAAACCCACCAAAAAGCGGTGAAATCATATTCAGCTTGTGTGGGGTCTATGCCATAGGCACGGCGTGCCGCGTTTGCTAGGATATGGATGTGAGGATTGCGTTTAGAAAAGAAAGAAGGGACGAGCTCATTTTGGTTAGATCTCCTAAACCGTAGAACAGCTCATCGCCTAATTTCAATACATCTCCAGCTTACCAGCCGCGTATGATGCAGGAACTTCTTCCATACGCAGCTTTGCTGATTATAGTAGATAGTAAAGATAACCGCCACATGCTGTATAAGAAACTACTAATTCACCACAACTGCTAGTATTATTAATAATTATAATGAATAGTTCAGGATTCGGTCTCCTTTAATGCTTTAGTGTGTAGATTTTAACAATATTACGCATACAAGGATGTGGAAAAGAGGATCTCAGAATCTTAAAATTGAATTGGCTCTTTATTGTTTTATACCATTGTCCCTATTTCATTAACGTCATTTACCATTTCATTAATATACATCTGCACAGGGATTACTATTTCTCTTGGAGAAATATTTTCGCATTTAAACTCGATACTAGATAACTCTTTGTCATGAATCATAATAAGCAATCGACCTTTCGACCTGCTTCGCTGACATCGCCGTATTCTGATGTCTGCAGTTGGCGCATTAATTTGGATTCACTGAGTGCTCACTCTCCCTTGAGTAATTAATGTAAAGAATGGACAGATTAATTCTCAAGAGACAGCACAGAGATAACACAGAGGCAATGCCCATCAACCAGCCTGTCATTTGCATGTGTAGTGTAACATTCTCACTTAAAACTGCAAATACGGAAACCCAGATATGCATGCAGTCCATCTCGAACGGAGCAACATCTCCAAATGGAGGATGGATTATTAACATTCATCTACAGGTTCATTATTAACTTGCGCCTGTAGATTCATTATTAAATGAACCTTGTTTGTCAGTAATATCTCAAAATGGTACAATGTAATTTTAGGATAACTGCTTTTGTCAAGGAAAAGTTCAAACTTACAGTAGTATTAAATTCAAATACTTTATTCTCAAGCAGCTGAGATGGTAGTGGAGGTCGAGATTTTCTGCTTTGAAGCAAACCCCGATCAATCTTCAAACTATCAGGAAAGGCTTCTACAGAAATTTCCTCAAGAATTGGAACATAGTTTTTTAGAACTTGTTTGTAAGGATGCTCTGTAAAGCCCTCCACAAGACTCTCTTCTCTCGCTTCCTCTAAGTGGATCCATCATTATAATTGCCAAAAGTAATACTGTACTTACTCGTGACATTTTCATCAAGTGTTTTTATAATACCTATGTTTACCTTGCATGTCAACGACGGCTCATTATGGTAGTCGTTTTGGGTCGTAACGCCCAAGGCGGTAAGTCCTTCTTTGGAGACTTAGAGGTGCTTAATGATATTATCCAACTTGTATTCAAGGACGTTAGATCTCGAAATTGTACTCCAAATGGTCTTAACGCTCCAGTATGCGAGCAGATCGATGTCTGTTGTGGCAGCGATGTCACCTCTTGACAGTCTTTTGCGATCTTCAAATCCGTTTCAGTTGAAGACATGATGGCGGTCCGACCTTCCGAGGTCATGTAAGCGACAAAGGATCTCTGAAACCAATCTATGATTGCAAGTACTCTCTGGACGCGTGGATCGCACTAATGACTTTATTGATCATGCTGCTTTACCAAGGACTTAATGGTATATAAGCCCTTCATTCTCACCTTGATTTCTTCTCATCACCGTTCATATCATCTCAACATGCTCCTTCGCCGTCCGCATCCACAACACTCGAATCACACAAAGGAATTAATTTTTCATCACTCACCCCAACATATCACCACGAACATAATATATTTGAGTGGCCCCAATAACTTCAACAGGCCCAACAAAGCGAATATAAAGGAGCAACAGACCTAAAAAATCGATACTATTCTGCAACTCTAATTACAGTGGTGACTATAATCATACTGTATTAAGTCTACAACAGGCTGGAATACTCCCAAGCGGATGCTGGGATTATGTGTAAGGCTTCACGGTCATTTTTATTTATTTATTTTATTGTGCAGCTACAGTTTTTTTTTGCTAACCTACTTCCCTATTCTTTTCAATATATAGGATCGCTTTCCCAAAGGAGAAGGTATAGGCCCCTATTTAGCAGGGGCCCTTAGTGCCCTGAACAAAAGAATATGCCTTGAAAAACCGTAAATACCATTTCTCAGAGATCTGCGCTGTTCGCTCTCTTTTGGTTCTTTTCAAATATAAATGGTTTGCTTAACAAAATCCTAATGGTCGAAAAGAGCGAACAGCACAGACAATAAAATATAATACAGCCAAGCCGGTTTTAAAGACTCTGATACCCTCTACATCCATATTTCTGCAATGCCCGTATGCATAGTGATTGATTAGACATTGTTATTCCATAGCATCAAAGATATTCTAATTGTAAAGAACCTCTGAACAGTACATTATAATTGTTAGTGATAGTGACAGTCTTGGTGAAATTAATTGTCGTGATATTTTATGCAGCATGGAGTGGTCAGCATAACTGTGCATGAAAGAAGTTCCTGCAACGCATGAAATCATAACCAGCTTGTGTGAGGTCAATAGATGCAGCCTCGCCTGCTTCCTAGGGTAAGGATGGAAGGAATATAGGTCTGGAAGAGGTAAAAGGGGTAAAGAGAGGAAGATGGAAAGGAGGAAGGCAAGCTTGTTTGATTAGATCCCCTATAATGTAGAACAGCCCATATGCCATCGCACCTCTGAATAGTTTCAACAGAAACAGCTTTGAAATGCAATATCGGCCCTATTACGCACATCAAGGAGTCGTCGACTTTGAGGTTTAGCGTGAAAAAAAAAAAAAAAAAAAAAAAAAAAAATTGCGTATTGGGCGTATTGACATGTACAATACGTATTTTAGGGCAATGCTTACAGAATAAAAAACGACCAACTCTAAAATAAGTAGAGTTAAGAATGGTAATACAAAACCGTTTTTACGTATTATTCGTACCAGGGCATGCAAACATTTTGTTCACACCAGGCCGTATAAACAAAAATCGACACACATTCTTCTGTTGATACAACACAAATAACAAGACAAAATCCACACAAACAGATCATCAAGGTAATAGAAAAGCGATGTAAACGATTCATTAAGCGGAATTCGAATCGCATTATCGCTGTATAGAATAAATAAAACAATAAAAAGACATTGACTCAATGCATAATGCATCCCATCGATAGTGAAGACGCTGGCTAAGAAACAAATGTAGGCCTCTCATGCAGGTTCCTACTGACATGTTACCTTTGTAACCAATGGTAAAAAAATGTGGCTCTCCTATTGGACTATCAACCAGTGTGTCGTCTATTACTGCTAAAAGCCAAATGAACAAACGCCAGACTGACATAGCATAATAAAGGGGGAAATTGCCTTGATGCAATACAGCAAAAACACCCTATCTAAGCGGCGTCAGTCGATGCATCAAGGGGTAAATAGCTCGATCACCATCACATCAAGAGAATACCGCCGATACTAAGAGAGAGGGTAGTGAGAGGATGACAAGCCTGAGAGAGAACAGCCGATCTTATTGGATATGTAGAATTTCACAGCCGGGAATGCATTGTTACGCATTAATCATGGCTATTGTTTACACATACACTAGACGTTGACTACTATTGAATGGTACTGAACCAGTGACCACTGTACATGGCTCTACGTGGGCGTGTTCATTATTACTGGAGATACTCAAGGCTGTCCCTGGCCAATTATAGCTGCTACTGAAAAAGCAGCGTGTCGATTGACTAATGTGGAAGTGGGGATCGCGGTGGTCAAGGCCCTATCTATCTGTCAGTGATCTATGCCTTCCAAGCTGATGTCGGTTCTATATAAATACCCTTCGACCCCTCTGTGTTTTTCTCCTCATCATCTCCCACAACAACCACTACTACAACAAGCTCATCACAACAACAACAACAACAACAACAACAGCCATGCGTTTCTCTCTCCTCACTCTTGGCCTCATTGCCTTCGCTGCCGTTGTCAAGGCCGACTGCAGCCACTCGAGTGCTCCTCCAGATGATGGCGAGATTGCTCTGTACCGTGGCCGAGACTGCACTCTGAACTATCTCAATGTCGGTGCCATGAACTCTTGCCAAAACTGGCCTGATTTTGGCGCCTGCTCTGCCATCACCAGACGAGGTGTGACCTGCGATATTTACAAGTCTGATGGATGCAGTAGCGACTACATTGCGACGATCGACTCTGCTGGATACCGCAACTTCTGTGGCACGTTCCCAGACACTGTCCAGAGTGTCCGATGCCGTGCGGCTTAAAAGAGAAAAGGAAAAAGGAGCAAATGAAAAGAAAAAATGAAAAGAAGAAAAGAAACAAACAAACGCACGCATTATTTTATGTCTGTCCCTGCATCTAGCGTTTATCAATAAACAAATGTGTATTGACATATATGAGTGAGTGGTAAAGAATCGTATAGTACTTCAATGTAACCTCTCACAGCTAGCTAAAGTTCTAGTACCCCGACGTGTATAATCTTAACTGTAAGCCGAATGCAAAGAGAAGAAAAGATAAAGGAGGCGTCACTCAAAGAATAGCCTTTATAAAGTCTTTGCACCTCGCTCTTCTCCATATGTCTTATTTCTGTAGTATCATCTCTGCATGCTGGGTGGCAACAATCCAATAGCCGGCTGTTTTCTTCTCGTAGGAACTGGAACTGGCCTGCGCATGAGTCGATGAAAGCTAAATGGGCAAATTTGCCCACTCTACGGTCCAAGGGATAGTAAGATTAATGACATCGTAAATATTGCTCATAAAAATATCTTCAAAAAAAAACATACACGCAGAGAGGCAAGGAGTATCTCCATAGTCTTACTATATATCTTTCTCTAGCAGCTTAGGCATGGGCCCGTCGCTCTGAACTTTGCTCTCAATAAATTTGTAAAGCATTTCGTGGAAGCCGGTCAAGTTTTTCGGCCACTCCTCGGGCAACGTCGCGTTTCCATCTTTGATCTAGAGAAGAATAAAATTTAAATAATCAGACATGCAGCCACTTTTCCATAAATGACTTTGGCTACAAATGTTGTGTATTATTATGCTTCCTCTAAAGTGAACATGCCTTTTCTAAGAGCTGCTCGTTAACCGACCGCCATGGCTCCATGATAGTCGAGTTCCTGCACTTGGCGATACTCTTCTCTTCAGCTAAAGTTGGTAGTGCTGCTGTAGAGCTTTTGGGAAGAAAGTGCAAAGCGGAACTGGAGCTGCTGGAGGACACTTCAGGGTTGGTTTGAATCTCTTGCTACTTTCGATATAGTAATTCAAATCCATATTTTAGGACTTTCGCGAATTCTAAACGCTAACAGTAAGAAAAAAAGAAAAAGAAAGAAAAAAACGTACCCACTTCTGCTTCCGCTACTATTGCACCAGTGCTGTTCCTTTTGCGCTTCAGTTCCCGCTCTAGCGAAAGCATGTACGCGTCGGATGAGAACATTATTAGGTTACTAAGCCCTGTGAGCGAAGATATAAATATTCATGCATGTAGAAGCAATAAACCACAAATGAACCTTTGGATATCTTTTGTGCTGGTACCCGTTTAGTGTTTAAACCATTGGTAACGCCCAAATAAAGACCTCGCACAGATGAACGCACAGCATTTTGTTGATCTTTCTCTAAAAGAGCAGTAAAGGTAGTGTTGAAATTGGTATACAAAGAACACTTTAGTATCTTTCTAGCCTGTTTCTTTAGGTTTTCATCAGCGAGTGTACTGTCTCTAATGATGTTAAGGCTGCTGTAATAAGAGTTTGGATCACGATGTTTGAAAAAAAGCTCAACAGAGGCCCAATGTCGACCATCAACCAAATGAAAGAAGCGACTAACATCGACCAATGGCTGGCCCACTGTGCCCATTGGGACTGAAGCTGTCATTATGAGATACCAGTTATTACGGCATCGGCGAAAGAACTAGCATGATTCTACCGAACGCGCCTCACGCGAAATTAACTCAAGCCGCGCCTCCTTTTTGCTTCGGTGACGTAACTTGGGCTGCCATTGCACTGTACTCATTGAGAGCCATTTTTGACAAAATAGAAAAATTTCTGCTTACTCCATGTTCTTCACACTCCTTACTCTTTACTTTCTCTCTCTTCACTCTCACTCTTTCTTTCACTCTCACTCTTTCTTTCACTCCCAATCGCCCTCATAATCTTTTACTTGATATCCTTTATCTTCCTTTCTTTTTTCTTTTTCCTTCTTTTCTGGCCTTTCTTATCTCCTATCCATTCTGTTTATCCTGTTTATCCTTTCCATATTAAATTTTTAATCGTTCTGACGGCCTTTGACATAAACCCTCGGGCTATTAATTTCTACAAAAGAAAAGCTGCTGCTTAGATTGCCATTGGACCCTTTCCATAGACTATGAATAAGGTTAAACTTCCCAATAGCGTAGCCCGAGTCCATGCTGATGCCAATGAGAAGCTAGGGCGGGACTATTGGGACTATGAAAGTTTCTCGTTGCAGTGGGGGTAGGTTTTTTTTGTTGAAGGAAAAAAAAAAAGAAAAAGATACAAATCTAAACTTGGAAAGTTCTAGCAACAGGTTGCTGCTCCTCCATCTTACATTAAGAATGATATTGCCAAACTACAAGATTTACTTTATTTCTTCAGATGCAGTGATTTGTGGTTTGGCAAAGAGGGGCTCTCTGACCAACAGCAACGCTCCATTCATGGCAGCCACATAAGCAAAGATCTTTAAGCTGTCTTGCGTTCTCCGTCTTATTCTTATTCTTATTGTAGTGTAGAGAATTAATAAGTTTGTTCATTACGTATGTATCATTGCTTCTTAGGATTCAGGATAATTACGAGATTATTCGTAAAGTTGGTCGAGGCAAGTACTCTGAGGTCTTTGAAGGCATCGACATCACTACAGGAGAGAAACGCTGTATCAAAGTCCTCAAACCCATCAAAAAGAAAAAAATCAAGCGTGAGATCAAAATTTTGGAAAATCTCCATAGTGGACCTAATATTATTCGATTACTTGACGTAGTTCGCGATCCACAGGTAAATTATAAGGACTGGATTCTTTTAGAAGATGAGGATGGAACGGGGGATTGACGGATGAATCATATTGTTACACAGTTAGTCTAAAATGGTGTTACATCTTGCTTACGGTAATCATAATTAATTAATTTTTTATTTGTTTTTTGATACTAGGCTAAAACACCTTCTTTGATATTTGAGTATATTGAGAACGACGATTTCAGGACACTCTACCCTAAATTTCGGGATTTTGATGTGCGATATTATATGATGGAGCTCTTAAAGGTGCGTTGTATATGCATCTATAAGGAAGGCAGGGCATGTTTAGATGGCATAAGGCCTTTATAAAGCTAAATCATATGGACTAATCACTGATCTGATGTCTATTCTTTTTTATAGGCTTTAGAATATTGTCATTCTATGGGCATCATGCACCGAGACCTCAAACCCCATAATGTCATGATTGATCATCGAAAGAGAAAAGTAAGGAAGGAAAAAAAAAAAAAAAAAAAAAAAAAGTCTGGAATGATCGCTGTTGATAAATGATATCATTTTTTTAAAAGTCTAAAAAGCATTTGTGAAATTACTATATGATTAATAGCTTAGACTGATTGACTGGGGTCTTGCAGAGTTTTACCATCCAGGGACTCTATACAATGTTCGTGTTGCATCTCGCTACTGGAAAGGACCTGAGCTGTTAGTGGATCTGCAGGATTATGACTATTCACTCGATATGTGGAGCCTTGGTGCCATGCTTGCAGGGCTGGTAAGGCACTTTGGATTTTTTTGTTTTTTTTATTGCTTTCCTTCTTGGCAAAATATTGAAAAATTCCTGTATCTTCATATTCACAATTATTATTATTTTATAACTGGACAGATCTTTCAAAAAGAGCCGTTTTTCCGAGGATCTGATAACAATGACCAACTTGTCAAGATTGCAGAAGTATTAGGATCGGAAGAGCTGTTCAAATACTTGGACAAATATGCATTGGAGCTGGAGGAAAATCATGAAGCCCTCAATGAGTACCTTCCTCGATCACCATGGCAGACCTTTATCACGCCAGAGAATCAGCATCTTGTTTCGAGGGATGCACTGGATCTGCTAGACAAACTTCTTCGATATGATCACCAAGTAAGAGAACTTCTCATATTACACAGTACTATCATATCAGCCATGGAGCATTTGATACAAAGTAATTGAACACTGTATGTATCTTGTGGCGTATCGCACTAATTTTTTTTTTTTTTTTTTTTTTTTTTTTTGAATTGAAATGTGTTTTTAGGAGCGACTGACGGCGTCAGAGGCAATGGAGCATTCATACTTTGATCCTGTTAAGGCTAGAGCCAACTTAGCGGTAGAGGGATCATTGACGACGACTGATTCATCTGATGCAGAAGACTGGAGCGAGTTGCTTTCTTGACAAATCATTACAAAAAAAAAAGAAAAAGAGGAAGAAGAGGGGAAGATGAATGTATGAATGTAAAATAGCATTGTGTACTGTAGTAACTAATGACTGACAAAGTAATACAGAAAAAGTATAAAGAAAAAAAAAATGTCTGCAAGCGATCTGTGTGAGCAAAAAGGGAAAGAAGAAAAACAAAAGCACGGTGAGAGCTGTTTGTCCGACCATGAGCATGTCAGGGTATTTTATTTTGCATGTTCCTCCACAGGTTTCCCATGTGGTGTTTGGAACAGGTCTACAACGTGTACATGTTCCACGGAATGAGACGGAGTGCGTGTGTGGAATAGTGTGGAATACACAGCAAAAGATTACGGGACATGGGAGCAAGTAAAAAAAGGATTTTGTACACTGCTTGATGGCTTTGGCTTGTGAGCGAGGGAGGTTGTCTCAATGGCAATGTCATTTATCACTGTCCACTTAAAGTCCCAGTTCCAGTCCCTAGTCCTCAGTCCCTGAGTCTATGGCTTGTTTACTTGTTCTATCTTTACCAATCTGTCACCTGGAATGGTCACCCCTCAGACCTTTTTTTTTTTTTTTTAGCCCTTTGTCTTTTTCTACTCTACATCCCTTTTTCGCTTTCATTCCATTCCTCTCATTCATTCCCATTCATTTCCTTCTATTTCTTCATATTGATTAAGAAAAATTAATAATTAATTTTACTTCTTGTTTTATTTTATTTTTACCTCTTCTCTCACTCAGACGCTGCTCTTTCCTTTCTTTCTCTTTTTTCCTTTCATCAATTTCTTCAGACTTTTTAACTTGCTGCCATTTGAAAAACAGTCTACACATGCCATCGACCCTTCATTGTTACACTCTCAAGACCTCATAAGCAACAACAATCGCAACTTATCCTTGCCCTCACCTCTCGCTCCTTTCACACCCCCCACCCTTTCACATAGACAGTTCTTGTCTCGGCTTGCACCCGTCTTTTTTTTTTTTTTTTTTAAGCTTTTACCTTTTGTCCAACACATCAATTCTCTTTTCTCAAAATCCATAACTTCACCTTTTGTCTTTCTCGACTTGACATCAAAGAAGAAAAAAAAGTAGACTAGACAAAAAATAGAACTATAGCCAGCGAATTCTAGGGGATAAAGAAAGAAAAAAAGAAAAAATAGTGGCAAGACTTGCCTACCGCCACCATGCCGGTCAACCACAATGATCACTATGTGGTAAACGCCGCCCAACCACGGAGGCAGATCATGGAACTCAAGCTTTCAGAAGAGGTTCTAGAAGAGATCCTCAATGGCAATGAATCCATTCAAATTGACATGAACCAATTTGTAAGTTTTTTTTTTTTTTTTTTTACTTTTATTTCTTATGCTCCTTCTGTTCACAATATCATAGTGTCTTTTATTTCAAAAGGATTCAAATGAAGTGATGGAGCCGGAAAATGTCCATTTAGGGATCGCATTGATGTGCTGTGTAAGCAATTGTTGCTCATTTAGGGTATGAATGAGCCAGGTACATGTAGGCACAGGGAGTGGCAAGCAAGCTGAAACGAAAGGCTAAATATCTGCCGTGCTCCTTTCTTCTCTTGGAAGTTTTGCGAGCCCTGATTCATTGTTATGATGATTATCACTCATCCATTTGTGTGGGAAGGGAGTGGATAGGGCTCTATTCATAGACAATAAGGAAAACTATCCCTTTGTTGACGTGATTGAAGAAGTACGGAAGAAGAGCCAACATTAAATTTTCTACGAGTATTTTTTTTTTTTTGTTCTCTAGAAATTGCTTGTGGGAGGAACTGCGCATGATTTTACGCACATGGGACAATCGGGGCCTCTCAAAGACATTGAAGTGTACAAGATGAAGTTTGGAACAAAGCAATTGGATCTGGTTGGCGATTTGACTGCAAAATGTGCTATCCAAAGGACTCATGTAAAGAAAGTTCACAAGAAAGCAACCAAACATGAGCCCGTGAGAACGTAAGATGGCAACATTGGATTTTAATATGTTTGTTTCTGTTAATGTTGTTATCAGTTCCCCGTGGCTATCTGTTGACTTCAACGAAATTTGTTTGTCGAAGCTTGGCTGATCGATCAAAACGCTTTTTTTTTTCCTTGTTGATGGATGCTGGGTAAATTGAATCAACCAAAACATTTCTCATCCTCAACGTCGATCACTTGCTTCTCTATCCCTCTCTTTGTGTCGCATTCATCGGCCAATCGAAACCCAATATCGTGATTTTATGTGCGGCGCATGTAACAGTACTCAAATTATTGACGCCAAGGACTGTAAGTGTCATATCTCTCCCGCTATGCGTCATCGGCTTTGCCCGTACATCTCGGATCGCCTTCAAAAGTGAATCAAAATCAACAGAAGAAATTCAAAGAAGAAAATGCATTGATGGCCATGAAAATAAGACTACTGACCTTGCAATAATTTCATTGTAGTGAAAAAAACAGCCGCCCCAGTACGGCGTCCACAATCGCCATTGACTTCATCAACAATAGCTACAGCAGGTACAGCAACATCGACAATATCAGCATCAACAGTACCCGCAAGTACAACAGCTACAGCAGGCACGATAGTGCCATTGAAGACTCGTGTCGTACAGTTATTAGCCCTGCAGTCGAAAGGCACAGAGGAAAAGGAATTACTCAAGATCCTGAGAGTTGGACATGACGACCTACAGTCCATTTTATCAATTGTAAGCGGGAGATCTAAGAGTTACTTTTATTTTATAAAAAAAAATCAAAAAAAAAAAAAAAAAAAAAAAGTTATTGACTAATATGAACTAACTTTTTTATTTATTGTTGCTATCATTTGCTTCCTCAAGGTGGCCAATCTATCTTCTTCAGGGCGATACGTTTTGAAACCGGAAACGTACAAGGAAGTAAAGATTTACGATTGGAAAAGCTACTCAGCAAAGGAGCGGCAAATTGTGGTAAAGAACGCCAGCGCTGCGTTTGACAAGTTGGGACTTGGATTAGATGCACCAGAACGGGATATCCTTTCAGAAGAAAAGGCGAGGCGGACGAGTCCACCTCAAGTGGCAGAAGGATATCACATTGTTGGAAACATGGAAACTCCCAACTCGAAACGGTGGGCGGGAGGAGGTGGAGGAGGATCAGAATCAGAAGGACTTGATAATGGGAGGATGGCCGGTGGTAATCCGCTACTGAAGCCGCCCACAGCAACACAAAAGAAAACTTCAGCAAAAAAATCACCAATACCAGGACAAACTCTGACCAAAAAAAAGGGTACATCAACAAAAGGTTCTAGTAAATCCAGCCGTCAATCAGCAGCGGCAGCAATATTGGAAAACGTAGCAAATCATAGCACAAAAGGAGTGTCTACCCCTTCCAGCACTACGAAACCCGCATTAGTAGGGACACCTAACGCGGTTGGTATAGGGTCACCTATCATTGCAGGACGGCGGCCTTCGATTAACGGTAATGGAAATACTGTATCTTCTGTAAAACGAGGCTCAGAGACAGTAAAAAAGGCGAGGTCAAGTAACCAAGAATTAGGAGGTATTGGTAATGGCTACAAAATCCCAAAAGTCAGCTCTGGAGTAACAGTACCACCAAAACCTCAAAGTCCGAGTAAGGCCTTACTTGATTCTCTCTGCTCCTTTTTTGATCCCATCGATATGATTGTCGTGTATGATTTGGTGTACGTTCTTTTACTGTTCAAAAAAGAAAAAGAAAAAGAAATTGACACATTTTTTCCCTACAACTTTTTCTTGTCCTATTAGCCTTTACAGTACCGCCAATTTCGACCCAGGCAGAGTTTGAAGAAGTCTCACGGCAATTCACAGCAAAATACCAAGAGATGATGATGATTAAAGCGCGGCTTGACAAGAAGAAGGAGCTATTTGATCGACTCGGTGCGGAGCTAGAGCGTGCTATTGGGACAGATCGGGAAGCAGAGTTGAAGCGCAAGGTGCAGGATGCGTTCGGCGAAGATGTTGTGGATCGCAAAGTATTACGTAGGACAGGTGAGCCCCGCAATGGCGTGAGTGCAGAAAAAGCAGCAGCAGCAAAAGCTGAGCAGAGCCAACATATGAGTCTCCGAACGATGGCAGAGCGGTATAAGAGTCTTCACCATGAGGTTGACACAATGAAGCGGGCCTTGTGGGAGGCAGGTACTGCACAGGCAGAAAAAGTTGCACAGTCCAATCCTATCTCTGTAGGCGGAGGTAATGGCTAATTGTTAAGAAGAGAAGACAGCGAGAAAGAAAGCCATGGATCAAAAAGAAAAGGAAGAGAAAAAAATAATAAAAAACAAAAACGTAATAAACAGCTTTCTTCCTGTTTCATTCTTTTTTTCTTTTATTTTATTTCAGGAACCACTTTTCAATGCAATGCAGAGGTGGCTTGTTCTGCCAGCATATATTTTTATAACCACTCACTAAGTGATCTCTTTCAATTTGCTACATTCATTCCATTTATTTTCTTTACTATGACCACATCATCGTCCACCCAGGAGTCAACTCCTTCTTCATCTCCTCCCCCTTCTTCTATCTCTACACATTCTATTCCTACAGATACCTCACCAGCAGCCGCTAGGACGTTGAGCCCACATTATTACTATAATACCATGGTAGTACAGCAACCGGATTTTTCAACAGCGCTCTCCAAGAACCCATTGTTGACACGGATAGGATTAGAGCCGATCAAACGGATCACATTGATAACAGGAACAGCAGCCTTTTGGGGATTTATATTAGGAGGGGTGATTGGATCACGTCAAGCAGGGATGCAATATCTAGCGGAGAATGCACATCGGTTACCCAAGAATATGGAAGGCTGGTATTTTTACCATAAGCGGAAAAACTATCGAATGGCATTTGGAGCCCTTAAAAAGGGAGCTGTATACTCGGCCAAGACAGGTGTTCTTGTGGGATTATTTGAAGTATTGGAAGCAAGTGCTGATTTTTATCGAGGTGGAGCTGATTTTTTGAATTCAATGATGGCAGGAGTCATATCAGGAGGCATCTTTTCAGCGGCTAGTAAGGAACCTTTTTTAAATATATATATAACAGGAATAAGTGGAGGAAGAAAGGAAAAAAGAAATTAGATCATCAGTTATTATATTTGTGATTTTGAATTGTATCAGGAACCTAACTATTCTATTTTATTTTATTTTATTTTTATCTCTTTTTTATTAATATTATAGACAAGTTGCCGAGACAGAGTACTAAACATACATTGATGTTGGGTGCAGGGTATGGTCTAGTCAGTGGAGGACTTCAGGATTTATCATCATTCCTAAAAGGCACGCCCGTTTGGTACTTACCTCAATCGTTGAAAGAACGATCCTTGGCCTTGAAGCTGCCCGTCAACGATAATGAAGATAACTAAGTTTTGAGGAAGATAGAAAGTCGAGATATAATAAGAGATATGAAATAAATAATAGTTAAAAAAAAAAAAAAAAAAAAGAAAGTAAATAGAGACTTTCAATATCCGCAACAGTACCTTATCCCTATAATCGGACAGCAATGCAACCTTTCATTAGAACATAGGCGCAAAAGCTATGAGATACAAGGTCTCCCCCGCCAAAAGAGCTGCTCTAGATCTTCGGTGTTTCGATAGGAATGTGATGAATAAAGGAGAATGTATTGAAGAAGCCTTTTGTGTGGGAAGTCACCACAAAATGTAGTATCACTTTGATATGTTGAAATCAATCACAAAAAAAGTTTCTCCAACTTTCAAGGAGGCATTTTCAGACGAGCATCATTTCAACATGATCAAGATCATTTCATCAGATGAAAGACCATTGTTATCTATGTTGATTTGACAATGGGGAGAGGAGTAGGAGTGTCCTTGCACCAGCCTCCCTGGAGTTACTAATTAACAGTGGACATCTATACCTTGGACCAACAGCCGAATTAACTGAACTTTGTGGCCAAGTCACGTCCATACTCTTGTACGAACACGAAAAAAAGATTGGGGTCATCATGAGTATTGCATTGTGGAATTATTTGCGCTATATTAATATAATGAATAGATATGGATCTATGCTTCTATACTATCTGTCTGAAACGAGGTATCCATTCTCAAGACGAGCAAAATGTATTTTTAACTGCTAGTAATTCGGATTATTCGATAATGACTTTGATCTTTGAGAAGGTAATTGCATTAATCACGAACGAAATTGGTGGCGTAACCTTAATTTTTTTTTTTTGATCCAATGTTGGATTTAAGATTATCACGTGGAGTACTCGCCACCAACCTATTTTGAAGCAAGGTTCTTGTACCTTCTTTTTATATAAAACTATTGAGTATTGCTCTTGTTCAGTCTTTTGTGTGAGTGTGTTTATTTTGTGTTCCTGTTTGAAGAATTCCTATCATTGTAGTCATTTCAAGGCCACAACTCCATATGATTCGACCCTGCCAAATTTTTTCCAAAAATAACTATCTTTCAATCAACCCTTCAACGGCTGTCAAACAAACGAAACGTTATAATGTAATCTGTACGGCCTCCTATTAAGTCAATGATATTATATAATTAGGCATTCCTACGCTTAATCTAAAGACGTAAATGCAGCTTTAAAAAAGATATCGAGGAGCAAAGAGATGATGATGGAGTGTGGTCATGGACGTGGCTGTCGTTTCAACTACATATCCAGTACACTTTCTATACAGTAGGAACGAGACTCTTCCATTGCATACAAAAAATATTATGCGGACGAAATATGCGGGATATCGAACCGGCAATATCCGGATCCTTATTCGTCGCAACATCTAAATAGAAGAATTTAGGCCAGTTTTCTACAATCCACTTTGCCTCTTCAGGCCCCATTGCCTGGTAATCATCAGATGTGGATCGCACTGTTGTTAACCTTTTCAGATTTGCTAACCCATTTAGTCCAGCTCCCAGCCTTAGATCCAACGTTGGCATCCTACAGTAGTGTGTCAAATCAAGGTATTGCAGCTCAGTTAGTTTTCCTAGCTGCCCAAATACCATCCGTTGCTTCTCCGTCCCTTCTTCAGATTCTGGGTCAAGGTCCATTTGGAAATAGAGACATAATTTCTCAATTCTTGAACAGACCCATTTTGGTCCCTGCACAATTTCCGTCACTGTGATTTTGGCTGCGGCCAGGACCCGCAGACGTGGACAATTAGACAAGATTGCTTGAGCAACACCGTCTGTTTTATCCCAGCCTGATGCAGCTTGCAGTTCCTCAATTGTATCACATAGTCGGTCTGTCCGTGTTATCCTGTCTCTATTCTCATGAACATCCAGTTGTCTTCCTCTGTCAGCCAATAGCTCATGAAGAGCAAGCGGCCCGAAATAGGAGGATGGGACTTTAAAGTTTCTGACTTGAGCCATCTGTCTGAGAATAGCAGCCAACTCCTCGTCGCTTACAGAGTCATTTAGAGTCAAGTCTCGCAAATGTGGAAATATCCATGGATTCTGCAATAGCGCCACTTTGAGTATCTTTCCATGTTTAGGGTGTAGACAATCAAGTTTTTCCAAGCTCGGACACTTTCGGACAAATATTCCCCATAAATGTAACATTACACCTGAAAATGGACGCTCATCTCCATGACGATTATAACGATTACAAAGAGTCAAGGAACGAAGATGCGGAAGAACGAAGTTACTGGATTCGTCCTGTACATATTCTGGGAGTTCAGAGATGCATCCATAGTCCAAGTTCAGTTTCTGAAGTTTTGTGCAAACTTGAAATAATAGATCAACTTCATCGTTTCGGAATTTCATGCAACCGATTGACAAAGAACTGATACGAGGACACTCTAAAAGTGTTTTCCAAGGCTCTGGTCCTGAAATTGAAATATGAAGACTATCTTCAATCCAAAATTCCACGTGGCGCATTGTCGAACTGTGGGCCTTGATCAAGCGAGAAAACTTGGTCAGGAGAGAGGATGTGCACTTTTCTGGCAATGTTGCACTTATGGTGTGAAGAACGCTGCATCCTTGCAATGACATGTATTCGCGGGGAGGGTTTCCGATAAAGACGAGCCTTTTAATATACTTTTTGTGGTTCTGAAGCGTCTTGCCTCTTGGATAAGTGCTTCGTTTCCTATCATGGTCCCAAGCGTCGATGGCTTCCCACAAATACTTGATTAAGACGCTATGGAAAGTCTTGGAGACGCGAAGGCAAGACAAAAGGTCTTCGTGCTGAAGAAACTGCCCAAGGTTTTGAATTACTTCAGGAAGGTCCAATGGATGTTGCTGCATGTCGCGATGGGATTGTGATGAATTGAGGCGAATGTATTGAAAGAAACTGTTGTGATTCGAAAGGTTTTTGTGTGAGATGTCACAAGGAAAGCGATGGCGAAGAAAAAAAAAAAAAAAAAGGTATTTTGGCGACTGTCCGGGCTCCATATGAAACCGTATAAACATCTGAACACTACCACATGTTATTGACTATCCTGTGCTCCTTGAACAATGATTTTAACATATTCCTGCACTTCTCCAAGGGATGTGTCAGTGCTTTAACAAACATGTATCCTTTGATAGTTGTGACTTACAACCCTTGGATCGAGAGAATGCTGGGAATATTTAAAAAGCGGGATTATGTGTGTATTTACTGATAACTGGCGTAACTTCGGGAAGCTTAGCTCAGAGAACAAGCTCTGCATCTTCCAGTACACATAAGAGACGAGAATATCTATTCTGCTTCTCAATAGCCACCGTAATTATATTAAAGTCTCTTAAGGCGTTATTTTGTGAGCGTTGGCTGACTACAGTTGAATTTTATTGTTTTGAACAGTGAACTCTAACGATTCTTACTAGTCCCTCTGGATGGCGGTCATTCAAGAAAAACTAAGCACTCCTGTTAATTACTGCTAAGTCCAGGCAGATGTGGAAATACAACAGGCACCGAGAACTCGCCTTTCTTAAGCCCAATCAATTCAATTGAGTAAATTTTATTCCTTCGCGATCCTTGTTGGATCGTCTTCAGTGTCATGGTGAAATTGTTTGAGAAGGAAGAAAAACCTTGACTGTGTATAACTTCTCTCTTCCTGGTTGGGTCTAGATCGTGGTGATCTCCTCACAGACGCGCTTCAACTTCTTTGTCCTCACCATGCCATGTTAATGCCCCTTTTCTTCGTCCCCTCATATGACGCCCTCATTTTGTTATCTATTCTTCTAGAAGGCCCTTTAATCCCAAGAGAACCTCGAGACCACCGCCTTCCAAGGACCCGTGGCCATCTATGGGTAGACGAAGGGTCTGGTTACTGATTTTGCTGGCCTTGTATATGTGATCAATTTTCTTGATCTGGTAGGCAAAAGCCCTGGGCCCTTGTGGATCAAGCACATACGGGGCCTTGATAGTCTTGTTCAGTCACAAGTTCCTGTGAGCTTGGACCCACAGAACTTTTTCGACCTAGCTTTGGGCCTTGGTCCCAAGCATTGCGATGTTCCTGCAAGCCTGCTTGCCGTTGACCCACTGATCATCTTCACAAAGGACTGGAGTAGGATGTTCACCTTTGACTCTTAATGTTGTCAGCTTTAAGAGCAAAAGTAGACTCGCTCCACTGTCTTTCAAACACAACCCTCCGATTCTACAGGTCATCGTTGGAGAGAAAAGATGTCTCCCACTTGCTCAAACACTCCGTCTCAGGGAGTTCATCTACCCGCTTGCCATGCTTGATAAGGGAGCACAAGTGCTCCACGACATCCACAAGTATGGCTTTGTGGCCTCAATCCATCCTATTTTCCAAGGCATAGATCTGCTCCTTTCGACAGTAATACTCCAACTTCACGAGGCCATACCCATTTCCCAGAGGCTTCACCATCTTCCCAATAATGATATCTACATCCTTCGAGAACGAAAGGAAACCCCCTTCGTAGCGCCCCTCCTTAAGCCTCTGAAAAGCGCTGTATTCGCTCATCTTATCGCCCCATCATCTTCATCTTCATCCTCCTCCTCTTCTTCCTCTTCTTCTTCCACTTCAACCGAGGCTGCCATGAAAGTACATAGCTCGCGGTTCAACTGGAGCAATATGAATAAGGCCATGTCCGAACCTTGTTTTGTGACCCTGACTCGCAATTGCCTCGACAGGCCCATGAGTAAATAATCTCAATGACCGAAGCAAGTCTGGAAGTTGAAGGGTTATCAAAAGCGTGTAAAAAAGAAAAATAAGTCCCGTGTTAGCCCTATATCAGTAAAGAGTATCTGTTGAGTTCTTGATTAGGAATAGAATATAAGCCTCTGTCAATCTTAATCAATGATAGAAAGCCCGTCAGAGACACCGGCCCAAAAGCGAGGCCCCCAGATGTCACCGCAGTGAGAATGAGCTATGCACAATTGGAATGTACGACATCCTTTCTCTCAATGCTTTATGCTTTCCTGTTAGGTCTGCCAAAGTATAGATAGTGAACAGGCATTTGCCTTACCTCATGGCCCTCGTTGCGCCTTCATGCAACTAATACGAGAAGGCTTCGTTATCCCATAGGTGTATTAGACTAGATCAGACCTAGTCCAATAAACTTCCTTTACTCACCATGCCTGTTACTATTTGCCGGGTTTTAAAAAAAATCCTATAATGAGTGAGCTTAAAATCGACCATGAATAGTCTTAATCAGAGAGTCAAGCTTGTCGCTCTTTTTGGCTAGACTCTTTCAAATATAAATGGTTTACTTAACAAAATTCTTATAATTGAAAAGGACTAACCAAAAAGAGTGACAAGCTTGACTCTCTACTCTTAATCCATCAAAGCCTATCTACCACATGTATACATTGAATGATGATGTCGGTTTTGCTTTTGCTCTAATATTGGCTGGAAGCGGCAAGGCAGCTTTAACTGGCGATGAAGTTATAGAAGAAAAAAAAAAAGGAAGCATTATTTGAGAGTTTTATGTGTTGTATGAAATTAGTTGATTGTTGCTGACATTGATAGAAAAGCTCATCTGACACTGATAGAAAAGCCCATCTGACACTGATAAAAAGTCTGCCAGTGATATGAGATATGGAGCGCGTCATAACTGCTCAAGATGTTCAGTATCCCTCCCTGCGCCTGTAGACAAAGACATTGGCTTGGGCAGGATGAATGAATCTACCTAGCTTTGTTGAGCTGCTGCCTTAGACTGTGATTGGAAAAGCCCTAGCAGCAGGATAGGAGTTACTGACTATATTGAACAACAAACTATGAACGTGTCATCTTCATGTTTTGAGGCTGTTTTGAACTGGACACTTGTGATCAAAATCTTGCCTTGGAAAGAGAAGAAGGAAAGTGTGTTTGAGTGAGTGAGGAGGGCGAGAAGAGAGGTCAAGGGAGTGAGTGGGTGTGAGCAAGAGCAGCCACTCTTTTGATCAGAAAATAGGGAAGGAACAGGAGTCAAACAATGACGGCAAGTAAAGCTCCATGACTCACGCCACCATTTAATAAATACAATAAAATATTTTTTGTTCCTTCGCCTCTCAACACCAAACCCCATATTCAGAGACCTTTTTTAGGCGGAAGTGCAAGATTTACTGATGAAAACCACTATTCCTATCCATTTCTCATTATCATGCCGAAACGTTGTTGCTACATGAGATTATTGCGTAATAGCCTTGTACAATGCTTTATTGACTATTGCTTTCCTTTTTTAGATGAGTGCATTGTCAGCCTCCTTAGAGTTTTCGGAAGAAGTTGACGCCCTTGAGAAGGAGATCTCAGTTGGTTGATTTCACCAAATCAAAAATGAAGGGGAGCTACCCTCCCAACATTACTCTCAAAGATGTAAGTCCAAATGAACATTTTAAATTCCGGTTTTGCGACGCTCGATGTGAACAAACATGTTACTGATAACTGGAATCATAAAATGGAGAAGCCCAGGTCAAGTGGCAATGCAGCCTTGCGGCAGTCGTGTTGCCTCCGTGTTCAATCCTGGTAGCGACTTGGAGGCGGATACCAACCCTATGTTCACTTCCAGTGTGAAACGTCACTCAACAGCGGTTATATGTTTCGACACCAGCTGATGTCAAGGATATATGCGACATTACAGCAATGCTAAAAGCGGGCCCTTGACACCTATTCTGTGTATGGTGATATTTTTTGAGACTGGACTAATATATTTCATATGGCTTTGACCAAAGACCTTTCTCCCATGCTTGCTAGCTCGATACAAGCGTTTTGCACACGGGTATATCTACAACAGTGCCGACAAATCCCAGAGACAACAAACGAACATTTCATTTATTACATTGGTTATTCTTTTTTCTTTTTTATTCGAGTCGCCATGTTATAAAGTACAAGCATGTAGTAAATTAAGTATTTCCGTAGCCCTTTTTTTTTTTTTTTTTTTTTTTTTTTAGAGCCAACAATCATAATCTTCACTCATTTCGATAGTAGCCTTAATATTACAGTGAGCACCTCCATTTGCGAATCCGAACCAATATTGGAAACAAGGTTGAGTGGATCGTCGCTTGATACAAGTTCCATCACGCTTCACAATGTTGGGTCGGATGTTGGAATAGGCATGTGCAAAGTAACCAAACGTGGAATAGGGTGAGGAGATGATCCGATCTGCTTGAGCTAAAAGATACATTTCTGCTACTGCATTTTGAACACCTTGAACTGAATTGCGGACGACGGCTTTTGTTTGTTGAATAGTGGAGCTAGATCTGGATCCTGTCCCTGATCCAGAGACTTGGACTGAAGGAGGTAGTGCTAATGATGGTATCGATCGATCGTCATTGTTACAGTGTTTATCTGGAGAAGATTCCTTGTCACCGTTAGGGGCATCGTTTTCTGTAGTGATTGAAATAGATGATGGTGAAGCCGAGCCATTATATGAGTGAAAGGTGTTCTCGAGAACGTAAAGTTGATCACCTAAAAGCTTTTGGAAATATGCACGAGTAGGGCGGTAATCTGTGGCCAGATAGTACGCGTATTTTTGGGTCTTTGTAGATTTAGATTTAGATCCAAATTCATCAACAAGTGTACGTGGGCCGAAAGAGTGGCCTCGCTGAACCATGGATGGTTGTCCGTCATCGCTATGGACTTCTTCCTCTTCTATGACCTCTGCAGCGCAGCTCAAGAAAGAATCCTCAATTCCTCGACCAACTGCATTATTCTCTGTTCTTCGAACCTGTAATCCAATCAATTTGACTCCTTGAGGGATACGATCCATGACAGAATCGATTTTGGTTTGGACGGGTTTAGAAGGTTTCAACAAACGTTTCGCCAACAACTCGAAAGCATTGTTATCACCATGAAGTCCTTGGTGAGGGAACATGTGGCAGAGTTGTTGACGATGATGAGGGTTATGTTGTAAAACAGGTAAGAACCATTGAGTGCTCAAGATTTGGACCACGGGCCATGTAGGATCGATTCCAAGGTCGGCATCACAGAGTAAAGGGGACCAAGGTGAATTTGGGGTGATGGGTGAACGAAGAGCACAATTGCGACAATAAGGGTACCAGATTACAGGCTTAGCTTTGTAAGAGTCAAGATCTTTATGGTTGGGAATGACACTATTGAGATCCCATTGGAGGCCCTCTGGCGGCTCGAATAAATCTGTAAAGTTTGCCTACGCAATTTTTTTTTTTTTTAAAAAAAAAATCGTACATTGATTAGTAATCCTTACGCTAAAAAGGGTTTTCCGATTCAGTCTTATTTTCCTGAGATTCCACTGACACATTCTCCTTTCCTTCTTCGCAAAGAATTTTCAGGAACCGACACACGAAGAAACAATTTAGCAGGGATACTGTTGCACAAGATTTGATTACTCTGTGTTTGACATGTTTGCAATAAACAGAATAGAGGTGGATGCGTGTGCTTTCGCCAGAACCGTTGGTTGGTTGCACATGTAGCATATAACGAACAGGGTGAACACCCACGTGGCAAAAATCATTTCTTTGTACTCCCAACCCCACCTCAAAAGAAAAAAAGGCATAGAGTATATAGATGAACACACAAGTCAGGAAGGATTTGTATCAAATAAAGGTTTTTTTCAGAGAAAATAGAGTTGTTGAGATCCAAATGTATGATAAAAAAAAAGTCAAGAAACCACTATAATAATTCTTGTCGAATAGGACGCACATGTGGACAACAAAAAAAAAAAAAAAAGAAAAGAAAAAGCAACGATAGCGATCAAAATAAAACTTACATTGCATTGAGGTGTAGCAACCCAGTCCAGAATGACGGCTCGACGAGTGATCATTCCCATGACTACAGAGCTCATCAACGCTTGAAGGCGGTTACCAAGGCCATCATCGCTTGGTTGAAAGACCAGGAATCGCTTTTGAGATTCAGGTATACCGCCTTCAGTCTCAGGCAAGACCATACTACGATGCAATTGCAGATAGTCTTGCCAATAACCCTCAAAAGAATCATAAAGTGGTTGAGATCCTTCCATTTCTGTGGCTGAACATAATAGTCCTGGGTGCTGGATGCCGAAAGATGGTGCTGATCGAGTAGGATCAAATGTTCGAGGTTCGTTCTTGACTGTCACTGGAATCACATAACTAAGCCAGAAGGCAAGGGCCAGTAACAAACGCCATCGCGTCGATTTATGGTTGGATAAGCTAACAAGATGAATGAGACATTCGACATTGGTGGTCACTGCTATCAAAGCTATCTTGAAATCATCCAAGAGATGATCCATGACTGATCTCGACTCTCGTTTATTGGCTGCAATATCGCTCTTACTGTTTTCATCATTGAAGGGGGAATATTTAAGACGGGCTGCGGGAAGTGGAAAAGACGATGGAGGAGAAGGCATAAGATGTAGTGATGATGATAACTCGGATGGTGATTTTTGATGAATAAATGGCTCTCTACAGGATTCGGACTGCAGTTGTTGTTGAATAACAATTGCTTTGATCCATGTCATAATCATGGAGCCAAAGGGAGCCAAGAACAGGATAGTATAACAGCTAGTGCACCATACTAACCATTCATCCATCAATCTGTTGAAGATGGAAAAAATCAAAAGATGGAATGGTAAACCGAGGATTAGGATTGGGAGAAAAGGTAATGTCGCAAGGATCGTAAAGGAGAGAAAGAGGAGGAACATAACGAGGTAAAGTAAATTGTTGGCGAAGACATGATATCCTGGCAAGTAGCGAATCGTGTCATTGAAGGAGTCCAGAGTAATGGCGCCGCTGGTAAGGGTCCAGGCCAGAGCTCCTACAATGAAGAGGGCCAGGAATAAAGTGGGCTGGCTTCTTTTCCTAATCAACTTTCGACTGAGGAAGAAGAGGAATGGAAGGGCACAATCTGATGGAAGAATGAGTGGAGCTAGTGCTCTTCTACTACTATTGTTGGTTTTTTTGCATTTGTTGCCATTAGCCTCAATGTCGGGCGAAGAACCTTGCTGGCGAGAGTATTGATGGGGTTGGGGCGTACTTTGGTCATCAGTATTGTTGCTGCTATGGTTATTTTTGCTATTGGTCTGGTAGTTAATGTGATTGGTGGCGACGTTTCCTAAGCTGAAGCTGCTAGAGAATGAGATCGAAAGGCCTTTCCCCATGGCTACTAAAGAAAGAATGAAAAAACAGAAGGGAGGAAAGGGAGTAAAGAAGAAATGAAGAAAGTAGAAAATCTAAATGGCTCAATGCGTATAAGTAAAGTAGAATACGATCAATTTGAGTAGCCTGAAGAAGAAATGAAGGGGGGAGATAAAGGAGAAGGAGCAGAGGAAAGGGGAAGACGCAATAGGCAGAATAATAACAATAGTAATAAAAGATGAGGAAGAGTGCGTTGTTGAAGAAGTCAATAAAAGTGGGAAACACGAGTCATTTATATTAATTGACAGCTGAATCGGGTTGAAAACAAGGTTTACATAAACAAAGTTGATAACCTTATTGTCCATCGATATGATTATGTGGCGTTGCACCCACGTCGATATAGTGGAACCTAGTTTGTTCTTCCACGTAAATTTGTTTGCTTGACATTTTTACAGCCAAAGCACATGCAACGTCAAAGACGGGGGGTTGCGAACCAAGTTATGTAGCAATACAACACAAGATAATGCAATTAAAGGAATAAGAGGCACTCATATTTAAAAAAAAAAAAAAAAAGGCATGGCTTAGTGTGATTATACTTCATGTCCTAAAAATCCTACAATAACAAAAACGGTATATCAAGTCGAGTAAGAAAAATGGTTCCTAATACTCTTGTCTATAGTGCACAAAAATGAGGCTGGATAATGTTATGTTCTTCAGCTGATTTGTAGACTTTAAAGCTTGGCATCCAGATTACAATACAGCCATCAAGTTTTTATGGATGTGGAGACATAAAAGGTTCAAGCCAGTAAGTAGCAACTATTGCTAGTTTGCCTATGGAGTCTTTTTTGTTTGCAAGATCGTCATCAAGTAGATTTTGGGCTGTTAGCTGGGCTTTATGTTCCCTATCAGGTGCTACGGTTATCTAGAAAGGATTCGCATTACGTAAATTACCCGGCGCCGCTTTCATCGTAAAAAAAAGATAGTGGACTACGTGCCATAGATTAATCATGCAGTTGGGATGGCGGCGTCGCCCAATAATCATTTTGTCCACTGTAACTGAACACAAAGCAGGGCGTTGAGGAAACACCAAGTCCACAAATAGCTTATTTCTAAAAAAAAAAAATAAAAAAAAAAAAAAAAAAACACAATAAAGTGAATGGAGAATACGGACAATGCCAATGTAAAATAAATTAACAGCCCAACCTTTATTATTGGTGGCAAACATCCATAAATTGAAATAGGCCACAATCACAAGATTCAAATTCAGATGCAAAACAGTTAAGCTATCTGTTGATGACAAGGTTTAATATTTTTATTTTTCTTTCCTTCTTTTCCCCGTCTTCTTTTATTCTAGACGGTGCGCTTGGCATGTATATCCAAGGCTGTTCTCGTCCGTTATGCATGGAGCGGATATGGGTCCAAGATAACATGTGAACTATTTCTATTATTTAACTACTTTAGATACAGAAATCTAGGCTGTTCTTTTGATTTTGAACGCGATACGGGCACCCAAGATGATAGTACCTAAACCCATTCCAGAGAGTAAGTACATGGGTATAACTCTTGGATCAAATTTCAACTTGAAATCGCGTCGAATCAAAAATAAATGATCTATACCAGTATCTTCATCCTTGACTTTGATCACATCATATCCCCGTGGGATGGCTATGATTGATTCTGAAGTCTTTGATATACACGTTGTGGTGAAGAGACATCCTAAAAGCGCAACACAAGTGGAGACTAGCCTTGAAGATGGCCAACGCGTGGAGCGAATGATGGCGTTCTGACGCAGTCCTACAGCAGCGAGTGCAGTCCCCCAAACGATTGCTTGAATAGTAGCCCAAAGATGAAAGCGATTGTAATGGGAAAAAACAGCTTGCTGTAGGGCCCTGCATTCAGGATTGATATGCACAATGACGGCTTTCCACTCATGACAGGCTCTTCGAAGCTCATATTGATTCATGCATGAGAGTGCTAAGAGGATGGCGTGTGCGGATGACGAAGAAGATGAAGATGAAGAAGAGGAAGAGGAGAAGGAGGCAGAGAGAGAGGAACCACTTTGTTTTTGTTGAGCCAGTCGACAAAGCCGAGCCATGTCTGCGTATGGCTGGAGACAACTCAAGATGAAGACATACTCTAGTGCGTGGAGGGTTGGAGAGTGTTAGAAGATGGAACACGTGTGGCAAGGGGATAGTGGGAGTAGGAGAATCATCTGTGCTATTCTATCAGTTTAGATTTATCAGATCACCACATCAAGGAGTCACTCTGTCGCTTGTCCTGTCACTTATCAAGGATAGGACGGTTTGAAGAAGGTGTAATTCTACAAAACAAGATGGAATAGCTGTGTTAAATTACCATCTGAAGCCAAGGGTGAAGCAAGTGGTGATGCCCAAGTGAATTGCTCAAGGTTTGAGAGTGATGTAGGAGTGACAGATGTCATTGAGTCGCGCGACATGAATGAAGGGATCTGTTGGAAAAAAACTTTTTTTTTTTTTTTGGTGCGCCTCCAAGTGACAAAAATGAATCGTAAAAACTACGGCAACATGTCACGTTTTCATTTATTAGATCAATGACTGAGAATGCGTGCGTGCCATGCAGGACGTGCGGTGCAAGCGCAAAAAAGTTTTTGTTTATCCTGAGACTTGCCCCAGTGAGCAGAAAAAAAGATTCAAATCATTGTCGTTCCTTTGGCTTCTAATCCCACTTTCTTGGTTTTTTTTCTTCTTCTTTTGTTTGCCACCATATCTTTTACCTTTTCCTTTCTCCTATTTCTTTCTTCATTACTGTCTTTAACGATTTCTTTCTTCTTGTTACTCATTTATTCATTTCTGTTCGCATTCACTCATTTACTCACACTATACATTAAAACAGAAAAATCTACTTCTCACTTGTGCCCATTGTTTAATTTCTTCTTACAATCCATAAAAAACTTCATTTTTGATAATTAGTTGGACAACAACTACATTTATACAAAAAAAAAAAAAAGGAAAAAAAGAAAAAAAGAAAAAAGAACAAAATATCGATAAATGGAACATATCGAAGAGGCCGTTGCTTGTGCGCTGAGCCCAACTGCAGACCTCGCCTTGAAGCAGCAGGTGGGTTTCTTGGTCATTGTTCTTTAAGCTTTTTTTTTTTTTTTTTTTTTTTTTTACTTTATCTTGCAAGGTCTTCTTCACTACTCTTCACTTTCGAGGGGTTCGTATGCAAAAAAAGCGATGGACCCTGCAAAAAAAAAAAAAAAAAAAAAAAAAGATTGATTATAAATGGAAGAGTCTAATCTGTCATGGCAAGAAAACTGATCTATTGTGACTGAAAGCCCATTACAGAACAACAGGACACAAACTTTACAGACTTCTGGATTTCAATTTATGATCAAGGTGCTTTAATTCGATTGCACGGAAGTTGTGCTATGAACATACTTTCAGTAAATGAAAGAGAAAAAGTCTGGCAATGTTCTCAAAGCCAGATCTATAAGTCTGTTGTTGAATAAAATCAGCTGTGGCTCCTCATTAACTTGGAAGAGCAAGCACCAAGTTGAGGTCAACACAAAACTATAGGAAGCTCAGGAGTCTTTGTTTTAACATGAATTGACTGTTCCCCATGCAAAGAAGCTCTTATTTTACTTTTTACTTTTTTTTTTTTTTTTTTTTTTTGTTATTGTTATTGCCACCGCGCCACAAGGCTCAGTGTTGACGAGTTCTAAATGTAATCTCTCCATGACACTGCGAATTAAACTAACTATTGTTTTATTTTGTCATTCATTCACAATCTAATACTTACAGGCGACGCAATACTGCGAGCAAGTCAAGGCGTCTCCAGATGGATGGCAATTGTGTCTGGCGTTATACATTCGGGAGCCCAAGAGGTAGTGTTTTTAATTTATTCAGTAGCTTTCTCAAGCTCTTTATGCTCACCTGTTCCAATCATCTTGTTTGATTTTATATTTTCTTATCCAAATTATATGTTATCCAATGACTGTACATGACTAATAACTAGGATTACTTCAAAATGAACATTTGGACATTCAAATAGCACTCCAGAAACACGCTTGTTCTGTCTACAAGTAATCGAAGAAGTTCTCATGGCCAGGTATGGAACAAGGGGCCGTGCACTCTGTGGTGAATCATAGTTTAGCTTCGATCTGTGAAGCAAATCGACTACGCCTCCTTGCTCGAAATGAATCACAGATTGACTCACCTCTCTTTTCTCTTTCTCGATCCTTTCTAATGATAATTCTAGGTCCAATACATTGGATGAGTCGAGGTTGAACTTCTTTCGACAGACTTTCATGGAATATATTCAACGTGAATTCGTCAACGGAGGCGTGGACAACACACTAAGTGGAGAGCCATCATGTGAGTACAGGGATCCGATCTTCTAAGCTTGGAAGGAGACCCATATGTGCATCATGGAGACAATCTTGGAGTGGACACATACTAACTGCCTCATGTCACAACCGTAATTCGTTTATCACATAGATCTCAAGAACAAATTCGCGCATGCAGTGGCACTTCTTTTCAGACAAACATATCTTAAATCATGGAACACCTTTTTTTCGGATATGCTTGCCCTCATCGCTCCTTTACCTCAGTCGTCTGGAAAGTCAAATATGAAGATGGTCGATCTGTTTCTTAGGATTCTTATGTCGATTGACGAAGAGGTTGTCAACACTCTTAGCGCTCGTGTCAGTTCAAAGGAGGAGAACACTTTGAACATTAACATCAAGGACCGCATGAGAGAACAGGATGTCCCAGCGCTCACTAATGCCTGGTACGAGCTACTAGCGGAATATAAAGAGCGTAGCCTGGATTTCGCAGAAATGCTACTTCGTATTGTAGGAGTTTATGTTGGTACGTGTTATTCACTACTCCAGTAGCCTATTGATTTATTGAGAATTTATTTGCGAGGCAGTAATACTCATCAAGATAGATATTTTCTTTCACCTGTAACTAGTTTGGATTGATATCTCCCTTATCGTCAATGAGCGATTTGTATCATTGATTTATAGCTTCCTGATGACCACATCCATCCGCAATGCAGCAGCAGATTGCTTGACAGACATTGTTAAAAAAGGAATGAAGCCATTGGACAAACTCCAGCTCATCGGCATACTTGGCGTGGTTGAAGTCCTCCAGCGAATCGATCTTTCGGTAAGCTTTTTTGTGGTATAAATCTGTATATTCTCCAAGACCATACTCGGACATCTCATATTGATTTAACCTGTTCTATTTGGTTGGTATGACTAGTCTGACTCTGAGTTCCGTGAACGTGTCGCTCGACTTGTCAACAATCTAGGCTTACAACTCTGTCAGATATGGCAGGATACTAACCCTCAAGCCAACTCGAACTATCCTCCTACTGCCAGCCCAACAGCCTACACTCATATTTCTCATCTTGTCCCCATCTTGCTCCAGTTCTTGAGAGATGAAAACGACAATGTTTCAGAGGCGGTGTTCGGCTTCTTGCGCGAAATCCTTAATATATTCAAGACAATCAAAAAGGCGACTGGATCGCTGCCTCAGGAACAAAAGGAGCTTATGCGCCAGATCCTAGAGTCGATTGTTATGAAAATGAAATATGGCGAGGACATGGATTGGGTTTGTGTCGCCATCGCAGGAGGCTCAGAATCGGTTGGAACCATTGGTGAGGACTCGATAGCGGACGAAGAAATGCTCGACTTTTTGGAACTACGTCGGGAGTTGAAACGTTTCTATGATCAGATCGCCACCCTTTCGGCCAGTATGACAACTACATTTTTGCATTCTGCTGTTACTACAACTCTTACGACTTATGTGAACGAAAAAGTGTCGGGATCCGCGGGTTCATCAGATTGGAGAGACTTGGAGTTGGCTTTGTACCTCCTCTATCTTTATGGAGAGGCCATCAAGGGGGTACCTCAATTTGCTGTTGTCGCTCCTAGTGTCGGAGCAAATGGAGGGAAGATTGTACATCCTGTTCCACCGGCTGGAGCACCATTGACTCCTCTGGGAGAATGCCTTTTTGAGATGTGTAAGAGTGGCGTTTCCGCATATCCACATCCATCCGTCTCTGCCAATTTTTTCGAGATTGCCTGTCGTTACTCCAACTTTTTTGAGATTCGTCCAGAGTGCATCCCTGACGTGCTGGAAGCGTTTGTTGACGCACGTGGACTTCATCATCCCATCTCCGCAAACCGCACCCGCGCCTGGTATCTGTTCTGGCGCTTCAGCAAGGATCTCAAATATAGACTTACTCCATATGTTCAAACAGTTCTTACCAATATTCAGGATGTATTGACTATTGAGGGTTCATTGCCCCCGATGTTGGCGCCTGACTTTGATATATCCACATACAAAGACCAGATTTTTGAGACAAAGACATATCTTTTTGAGGCCGTAGGGCTTTTAATCTCTCAAGATTCTATACCCGCTCAACAACAGGTCGAGTATCTTTCTGCGGTCATGACTCCATTCTTGACCGAGATTCAAGCGAGCTTGGAGGCATGCCGTACAATTCAACAGAGCTCGAATGGAATAATTGGAGGAGGTGCTGGTGTTGGAGTAGGATCGCCTAGGCATAATGAAATGGAGACTGTTTGGACATTGCATCAGCGTTTGATGGCGTTAGGTAGTGTTGCCAAAGGATTCCCAGATGTGATGAATGCCAAAAAGACTTCCAACACGGCGACAGGGGCAGGGACGGGAGCAGGAGCAGGAGGACCATGTGCACAGATCTTCAAGCAAGTGGCGGAGATTACATTGATAGCACTGGAAACACTTTCGAGATTTGAAATCATTCGAGCAGCGGCGAGATTTACGTTTGGAAGGCTTATCAACTGTTTGGGGCAAGATGTGCAGCCATACTTACCCACGTTGATCACTGGCTTACTCCAGGAATGCTCGGTTGTGGAGCTGGTCGAGTTTTTGCCTTTTATGGGTCAGGTAGCGCACAAGTTCAAGGCGACGATCATGTCTATTTTGAACGAGCTGTTCTTCCCTCTGGTGCAAAAAGTGTTCTTCTTCTTGAACCAAGTTCCTAGTGGTACAGATGAGGTCATGGCCCTAGTTGAACTTCGCAAGAGCTACTTGGCATTTTTGATGGGATTGTTTTCGTCTGAACTGGAAAGTGTGTTGATCACTGAAGGTAAGATAAGATGTGTTTATATTTCTTGAGGAACTGATTCAGATGAAAAAAAAAAAAAAAAAAAAAAAAACAGTGTGATTATACAGAACTTGACAAGTTGAACTTTGTTTATTATACTTAGTTAATGGCCAGCATCTGAACTTGATTTTGCAGAGCGTACTTCATTATGCACAAGATATGACGGATGTGCCGGTGAGCAGGATGGCATTTGGTATTTTGCTCAAAGCAGTCAATTCCTGGGGTAGTCAAGGAGAGACACCTGGGGAGAAGCCTTCAAATGGGGCCAATGGTGTTTCAGATGGATCGGTAGAGGGAGGAACTAAGCAGGAGGCGCCCGGGTTCTATCAGTTTATGTATGAGCATATTGTTCGGATTACATTTGAAGTACCCATGAAGCCCTCGTTTGATTTGCAGGATGGTCAATCGGTGTTGGTGCTAGGAGAGATTGCGGGGTTGCAAAAGGCTATGGCAGCGAAGCAGGGAGATGCGTTTTTAACGTACTTGAGTCAAGTTTACTTGCCATCGATCAACTGCCCCGTAGATTTGACGCAGGAATACGTACAGGCACTGCAACAACTGGATGCGAAGCAATTCAAGAAGTATTTCCAGGTATATTGATATGAGGATTGATTTGATTGAAAGATTTGGATGATTCTGTTTAAAATGTTGCTGATGTATTTCTGGGATTCACGATTCTTGTTTAGGCCTTTATTCAAAAATCAAGATCCTGAAAGGGCGATGTTTCAATTTAGATGTATTCTATTGTGAATGAAGCTCCATAATGCCTTTTTTTTTTTTTAAAAAAAAAAAAAAAAAAAAAAAAGAAAAAAAGAAGAAAAAGAAAGAGTGATCGACGACGACAACCAAAGATATATTTGCACCATCACACACAAGGTCGCGCGCTATAACCCTCACCTTGCCGAGCATACTTTTGCTATTTTTTTTATATGTTTTTCTAATGATACGCACACTCAAACTATGTTTAAAAGCAATTTTCCATGACCATTTACCTTTTCTCTTTTCCTCAAAGAAGCCATGGAGCTTAACTTAATTTAAATAACAACAATAAGGACAAGAAGAACAACAAAAAAAGAAAAAAAGAAAAAAAGAAAGAAAAAAAAAAAAAAAAAAAAAGAGATTTGTTCAAGGTCAAATGTGTTCGTTTGCAGATGTGTATTGTGTAGTTTATTTTACATTTTTGGGTTGCCAAGGATTTAGGGTACAAAGACTTTTTATGGTGCAATTCCTTTTGGTGTGAATATGGCAAAGTGTTACTGAGAGATAGCAAGTATATGGAATTTTTTTTTTTTCTTTTTGTTTGTAGAAAGTTAATAAAGTGTAGTAGTGATGATTCATTCATACATGATATTGCTGTCGAATGCTACTCGATCGATGCCTAAACCAGCTAACCAGCTATTACTAGACTCTATTTTCTCTTTTTTTATTTTTATTTTTATTTTTATTTTTCCCTTCTTCTTTTCTGGTTTGGAATAAATGTTCATGTCATCAAATGGGTTGCTTTTTAAAACTATAATAATACTAGCTAGATAGAAATATAAATAAAAATTAAATGTTAAAAGAAAATAAAAAAAAGCAATCCTGTTCGTTCATTCCAATCCAATTTTTTTTTTTTTTTTTTTTTTTTTTTTTGCTCATTGCTATTGCTGCTATTATTGATGGCTGAATGACTGGATGGCTGGATGACTGGATGACTGGATGACTGGATGACTGGATGGGTTAATGCTGGTCATTATTATGGTCGATCTTTTTTTTTTTTTTTTTATTTTTTTTTCTGTCCTTTTTCTGTCCTTTTTCCTTGCGTAATTTTCTTTACAAGAGTCCCGAGTTGCGAAGATTCAAGTGTTGAACGATCGAGTTCACTGCCACAACAATGGCTTTCATTTGGTTCGTATCCTAATAAGCATAAAGTATAAATTTGTTAATATTAACATATATATAATACATATAAAAAAGAGTTTGTGGTTTTTTTTTTTTTTTTTTTTTTTTTGTTGGCGGATCAAATTATGTTTTATCGATCCGGGTTAGGAACAGGGGCGAATGGATTGAATAATATGATGACTATGGTAAATGATAAATATACACATACATACATACATACATACATACATATACCCACTTCAATTCACAAAAAAAAAAAAAAAAAAGTAGGTCTCATCAAAACCAACCCAGCCAGTCAGTCCCCACTCATAAATACATCGTACAATATCCACGGCGAATAGGAGAAATTAAGGGTGGAAGTGAGATGAGATGAGATGGTAGGACAAGCTTCGTGTAAAAAATCGTTGGTTGTGTCACCCACATGGCAAAAAAAAAAAAAATAATAATAATAAATAAAATAAAATAAAATAAAAAGAACAATTATTTTTACACTAAGCAACAATATATATATAACACAATACACAAATATATATATATACAAGCAAAACTAAACCTTGAACCCATTTTTACATGTACATGTACCTTTTTTTTTTTTTCTTTTTTAAAACATAATAATAATTAAAAAAAAAAAAAAAAAAAAAAAAAAGAGAGAAAAAGAAAAGAGAAAAGAGAAAAGAGGGGAAAAAAACTTACCGTGGCATGTGTGAAATGGGTATAGACCTGTTTGGCTGTATCTTTACATTGTTGCAAGAACCGTTGTTGGAAGAACAGGGTCGTATGGGCATAATCATTGGGTCCTCTGTATTCTGGGAAATGATCACTGACCAAGGAACCGGCCTCCAACTTTTGTTGAAAGATATCGATCTTGTTCAGGAACAACAGGAAGGACGTGGTCTCGAACAACTTGTGGTTTGCAATCGAGTTGAAGAGCGCCATACATTCCTCTAATCGGTTCAATCGCTCATTATCCTCACACGGTTGATCGTATGCTGATAAGGCTACCATGAAAATAATCGCGTTGACGTCATCAAAATATGGCCTAAAATGTCAAGGAAAAAAAAAAAAAAAAAAAAAAGTCAACACAATTACAAAGTTAGTTTCCATAAAAAGAAAGAAGACGAGCAGAGGAAAGGAGGAAGTGGAGTGGAGAAGAAGGGACAAAGGGGGAAAGAGAGGGTGGGGAGGGGAGGAGTAGGAAACTTTATGAGAGCCCGATTTCAATATCCACACACAAAGAAATTGACATTTTAGAGCGTTGCTCCACACAGCGTTTTCTCCCTGATCATCATCAATTTTCAGAGTTATAGTTGTTATATGTAATTATATATTATTATTATTATTGTTGTTGTTGTTGTTGTTGTTGTTGTTGTTGTTGTTGTCGTTGTCGTCGTTCTAGTTGTTAGCGTTATTTTTCTTCTTCTTCTTCCTCTTCCTTAGCTCGTGAGTATATACATTTGTATATATAATGTATATATATTATCCCGTCAAAATATACCGATGATATAATTGTCCTGTTTGACCTGTATTATAAATATATATAAATATAATACTATTTTTTCCCTCCCATCATGCACTTATAAATCGCCACGTTGTCCGCAGAAGTACACACATGCATGCAGCTCGCTACCCGAAATCTTTTTCTTTGTTTCCAGTTACCGCAATTGATATTGAACACATTCCTTTTTGTTGTTGTTGTTGTTGTTCCATGAGATCATCAGGAGAAAAGAAAAACAAAAAACAAAAAATAAAAAAAAAAATATTGCAGTGTTTACTTACGCCCAATATTTTCGTAGTGACTTTTGGCCACCGACATCAAAGATCCTGTTATCGCAATTATCCCAAAAAATAAAAAAAAAACAAATAAACAGTTATATATATATGTTAGAAAGATCATCATCATCATGTAAAAAAGATTTTTTTTTTTTTTTTCGGTTTGAATTCATGAAAAAGTCCCGTTTGCATCGATTGCATCTGTTAAACATGCATGTTACTCACCTGTATATTACTCCATCAATATTGAAGAGATGTTCAGACACTGCCAACGTCCTAACCCGAGCCTGAAGAATATCATCATCTGTTGGGACATAATTTACATCTGCGATTCGGTCTACAGAATCCAGAAAACTATAAAAAGTTTTTTTTAACAATTAGTGTATGAGTTGTAAAAATAATAAAAAAAAAAATAGTAAGTAAAACAGTTATTCTCCGCTTCCCGCAGAGGGGGTTTTTTTTTTAAAAAATAATAATAATAATAATAATAATAATAATAATAATAACCGCTCTCTTTCGTCATTTTCTTACTATTTGGCAGAATCCTGAAGGTTAAGGTTGGATGCGTGCCTGTAGGTTTTTTGGATACCAGCGTCCGCCCAGAGGGCCTTGATGGCAGGGACCATTTCCAAAAACATGTCTGTCTCCGCCTTTGCATCTGTGATTTTACGTGGGATGGCCGGGTTGGTGAAACCGATGGAAGTAATCGAATATCGTTTCAACGTTGTTTCCAATCGCATCACAGTCTCCAGATGAGCAATGTTCTCTGCATGCTCCAGTGGGATGTTGGCTCGTTGAAGTCCATATGACAATGCCTGGATCGCCTTCATGGTGTTCAAATGAACAACTCTCCTGTATGTCTGACGCTCCGCATCCAATCCTTTACGACCATAGAGTAGCTTCAATTGCTTCAAGACTGTTGTCTTTCCTGTTTCTGATGGGCCTATATATCATATCATATTATATATTTTATTAGAAAGAAGAAGGGGAAAAAAAAAAAAAAGAATGGATATGATAGAGTTCAATTACTTTAGAGTTAGTATCTTTAAAATAAAATAGCAGTGAAAGTAAAAGTAAAAGTAAAAGTAGAAAATAAATAAAATAAAATAAAATAAAATAAAATAAAAAAGAGATCGGCAGCTTAACTCGCTACTTTAATCTTCTTTTCTTTTCTGCTGCTACTTCCAAGGTTTGTTTGATTGCGAAATAAAATAAAAATAAAAAAAACAAAGACGATCCTCATTCATCACTCGCCACTTTTCTTCTTTTTTCAGGACACATTATTATTGCAAAACCAGAGTTTAGGTTGGTTGCTAAATTGAATCATACATGCATATTACATGTACAGTAGCATCCAACTGTAACTGTAACTGCTCTACTCCTTCTCTTTCTCTCTTCTCCTTCCGCCTCTCCCACTTATCTATCGCAATCTCTTTTTAAACTTCATATTGTATATAGATATATATATTGATATTCGCATATCGCATATATAACAGTATCATAGCCTGCCTCTTCTTTCTCCTCCTCTCCCGATTGATTTGCAAAATAATATAAAAAAAAAATGAAATAACCTTGATGATGATGATGATGATGACGAGTTCTGCTCCATGACGCCTTTTTTTTTTTTTTTTTTTTTTTTTTTTTCCTTTCTTTCTTTCTTCCTCCCTTCAAAATGGCCATATGGAAAGGGGAAAATAATACCGCGTGGTTGCTCTGTAACACAACAACTTTTTTTTTTTTTTTTTTTTTTTTTACTTGACATGTAAAAAGGTTTAAACAATAATAAAATAACAACAATAATTGAATGAATAAAAAAATAATAATAATAATAAAAAAAGTAAACGAGGCGTCTGCAACAGAGTAAGAGATACAAAACACACACACAAAAACAAATACAACAAAAAAAAAAAACCATGCCATGCAACATGACAGAGTGTATATTCGGAATGAAGGGGGGGAAGTTTGGAAGGGGGTTCGTAAAGGGTTTAGTAGAAGGAGGGGGCAATTGATAAAGATTCACATCAACAACAACAACAACAACAACAACAACAACAACAATAGTAATAATAACGATAGTATATATCATAACGATGCGTGGTAAAGTAAGGGTTTGGAAGGACGGTTCATTCGATTGTAGCACCACTATCCCACCTAATTGAAGTTGCCACTTTACAAATCCTTTCCTTTACAGTTTTTTTTTTTTTTTTTAAAAAAAAAAACAGATAATGAACAGTAAAGCACTGTACGTTTTTTGATCTGTAAAAGATGAAAGACAACCGTAGATCATAATTGATCTCTATGCATCTACACGATCCACTTTCTTGTTTTGGAACACGTATTCCTTCCCCCTTTTCTCCTTGATAATTCTCTCCTTCTCTCTCTCTCTCCCAATTTTTCCCTTTCCCTTTCCTTCTTCCTCCCCCCCTTTCCCTTCCCCCCTTCTCCCTTTCCTTTACTGACAAACACATGCTTGTGATAACCACGTTTATTTTTTACTTTTCTTTTTTTTTTCACGGTTTTCGTCTCTTTAGTATGTGTGCTTTGCGCACATGTGGACAAAAGAAAGACGAGGGAATAAATGCAATGTACCACGTTGGGCAAGAGAAGGGGTGGGAAGAAGGATCAGAAGAGGGTTATAAAAAAAAAATTATAAAAAAAATAAAATAAAAAGGTATTTGTGTATTTGTTGTTTGCGTGTTGTGAAAGTTGTAATCAACTCTCTTTTATCCGTTTGTTTTTTTATACAAAACAAACAAATAATGATCTTGCACAAGAGCCAGTCAAGCAAGCCCAGCAAGCCCAGCCCAGCCCAAGTCCAGACCAAAGGTCAACACAAGAGGGTAGAGACAAACAAAAACACGCATCGCATCGATACACAAAATCACACAATGCGCTCCCTCCCTCTTATACTTCTCCACATGCTCTCGGGGGGGGGGGGGGGGGGTTCTTTTTTGGTGAAATGGGAATTAAAGAGAGAGAGAGAGAGAGAAAGAAAGAAAGAGAGCATACAACAACATCGCCTTCACTATCATCATCATCATCATCATCATCATCATCATCATCATCATCATCGTTATCAACAATAACAACAATAACAACAACAACAAATAAATAATTAAATGTCCCTTTTTTTTTTTTTTTTTTTTTTTTTTTTTTTTCCCTCTTTTGTTCACGGGTCATTCTTTGGATGTAGATGATCGAAGAAAGAAAGAAAGAAAGAAAGAAAGAAAGAAAAAAAAAAAAACAATTGCTTTTGTATATTACACACTTACCAAGAATCAGCAATTTTGCGCCTCGTTCTTTCTGCAGACGCTCTTTGTCCGCTCGAATGGCACGGTCAATGGCATCGCTCAGAGCTTTTGCTTTCTTTTCCTCTGCACGATTCTTTGATGCTGGGACAGGAGGAGAGGTGGAGGAGCCCTGGGGCTGTGCTGTACTGATAGAATGAGCTCCCCCTACGCCTGCTCCTGAATTACCTATTCCTCCAGCAGTAGAGGAGATGATCCCTGAGGGTGATGATGTATTGAGGTTGAGACTATTAAATGTATTGCTTAGAGAGTTGAGAGACTTTGATTTAGATCCTGTTCCTGATATGGGATCCATTATTATAAAATAAAATAAAATAAAATAGAATATAATAAAATAAAATAAAATAAAAAAAGATGTATGTATATGTGTATACGAATATATAAATGCAAAGATCTTTTCTTTTTTTTTTTTTAAGAGTAAAAGAGTGAAGGATTGAGTAAAGTTGAAGATGAAAAGGGTAGATAAAGAATAAAGTGGGATCAGGTATGTATGCGAATGGTAATTAATGGATGTTGTTTTGTGTTTCGGTTGGCGTTGTCTGTTTGAGCTGTTTGAGCTGTTTGAGTGAATAAATAAATAATAAAAGAGAGAATAGGGTCTAAATAAGATAGAGAGAGAGAGAGAGAGAGAGAGAGCAAATATTAGTCAGAATGAAGAAGGGAGGAAAAGACGAGAAAAGAAAGAAAGAAAGAAAGAAAGAAAGAAAGGAAAGAGTGGAAGGAAGGAAGGAAGGAAGAAAGAAAAGAGAGTGAATCAGCTTTGACTGTGCACAAACAGAAAAGGACGAGAGATGGAGAGATAGAGAAAGAAAGAGAGGAAGGAAGGAAGAGAAGAACGTGTGGAGAAAAAGAAAAAGAGAAAATACACAAGACTAATGTCTGCATTTGTCAGGACCATATATCGGTGTATTCAATTAGCCCATTCAATCCTCCTTTTCCACAAGGACATTTTCTTTTTTCTTAATGCCTCCCCCCCTGCACCTCCTACTCTCCTAAATGGGCATGCAACACAGAGACAGAGAACAAGACAAGACACGTTCGACGAGACAATTAAAAATGAGTGGTAACTCAATAATGCAATTCAAACACGGTTAGATTTACCAATGGCCAATGGAATACTGAATTAAAATAAAATACGGCATATATACATACACCTTTTTGTCCTCATCCTATACTCTCTCTCTCTCTCTCTCTTTTCTTTTTATCTTTCCTCTCCGAGTTTCTACTTTTTATATATTGCGTTCTTTGTATGTATATATATATATATATGTGTGTGTCATTAATCCTTTGTTTATTTTATCCGCACATCATTCCAACAGGTTTATTCAATGCCCAATGCTAAGGTCAATGTCAATGCAATGCAATTCAAACGTTGATGCTAATGCCCGTTGATACTCTTGACTGTTATTAACGCCAACGCCAATACCAGTACCGGTACCAATATCAGTACCAATACCCAGTACCACCACCAGTACCAATTCTAATACCAATGCTGATGCCAATCTCAATGCTAATTAATGTCAATGTCCCTCCCCCCCTCTACCTCCCATCCAATTGTTACTTTCTGCCCCCTCCTTCCCTTCCCTTCCCTTCTTCTTTCGCATCTTTTTTCCATGCTCCGTTCACACACATATATTATACACTCATGCATATATACACATAATCCAGGTACACTAGACTGGATGTACTACATGCTTAGTCTCTCCGGTGATCCGTAAAAAGTACATGAATTTTTTTCTTTCTTTCTTTCTTTCTTTCATTTTTTCAATACTCGACGTAGTGGAGATGGAGAGGAATGTGTCATACCGACTGACTGTTCAGGAAGAAAGTTGTTTACCAATCAGTCTCCCTTTTTTTTTTTTACATGTCTTACTGAGGAATGTGCCTCAAGGAAAGTGGGGAGCATCTGTGGGTCTGTGTTCAATGTCTGTGTTCAGTTGTATAAAATGTGGGATATATATATATATATATATACATACAAATATAAGATGTTTGAAGAAAAAAAAAAAAAAAAAAAAAAAAAAAAAGTCGGGGGATCTTGTGCGGACTAGCAAAAAAAAAAAAAAAAAAAAACAAGATCCTACTCTGCCCTACCCTACCCTGCCCTGCCCTGCCCTGCTCTGCCTTTTTTTTGTGTATATAAATGTACACTTGTCAACGTAAGAAGGTAACAAACATCGGCGGAAAACTCCCATTTTCTCCACTCGCTTTTTTTTTTTTTTTTTTTTTTTTTTCGTCTCCACTCCTTCACTTTTCTCAAAAAACAAGAGATTTAGTTTTTTTTCCAATCTGTAGTTAACCTTAAAAAAAAAAAAAAAAAAAAGGACCCCCTTTTCTTCCCTTCTTGATGGATACATACAAAGAGATATAGATGTGAAATTATGTGAATGAGTATGTAAAAGGTGGTATAGCCCGTTTCATTTGGTCACGATACCTTATATTTTTTAAATTGATTGAATAGACTCAAGCGAAAATTGAATTGTATTGAATAGCAACTCTAAATCCGATGTCGTTCGCTACTTGCAAGCTTGGCTCGCTGTCCTCTATTTGCACGCCGAGCGACGGAAGAGGTCAGTGGCTTTGACGTTGAATAACTGTTATGCGTCACTATGTTTTGCTTCCTTACCTTCACTCTAGCTCTCACGCAACACAATCAAACATGATGATCGTCAAATTCACAGAGTTCCATCAAGTAAGTAATAGACTATCTTTTTTTTATCATTTACCTGCGCTTCCTAATTATTTGTGAGTAATCTCTGGTTTCTTACGATGAATAGACGCGGAATCTTTCGATCCAATGAGAACATCGCAGCTTCCTTCTCCCTTTTCTTTTTTTTGACCTTGGAGGTCGTTACAAGGAGACGCCAGATGTTCTGCTGATTCGAACTGGCCACTACCCATAGTGGGGAAACTTTTTGAGCAGGTCTTTGACCTTGTGCAAAAGTTTCAGCCCTCCGGTTTTAAAAAGATTCTGTCAAGCATCTGAGTCTTTTCTTTTTTTTATATTTTCTTTTTCTTTTTCTATGGCTGCTGAGGGATATACGAAGGGACGCCGGATGCTCTGCTGATTCGAACTGGCCACTACCCATAGTGGGGAAACTTTTTGAGCAGGTCTTTGACCTTGTGCAAAAGTTTCAGCCCTCCGGTTTTAAAAAGATTCTGTCAAGCATCTGAGTCTTTTCTTTTTTTTATATTTTCTTTTTCTTTTTCTATGGCTGCTGAGGGATATACGAAGGGACGCCGGATGCTCTGCTGATTCGAACTGGCCACTACCCATAGTGGGGAAACTTTTTGAGCAGGTCTTTGACCT